CAAGCTTTTTTTTTTTTTTTCTTCCATCACCACTAGCAGTGCAGGGACTTGGGTGATGGTCGGACAACTCTGCATGTTCATCCTGTCTGCACCATAAGCTTATCAAGCCGCCCCTGTTCGATTTGTGTTTAAACTGCACCACTTGTGGGTATTATCAGCTCGAGCAACCCGGCTCGGCATGTTGCCGTAACGCTCGAGCCTTCGAAATAGCGGATAACATGAGGGGCGGAAGCAAGGGGGATGTTCGTTCGGGCAAAGCGTTGGTTTGCATCAAGGAAATTCAGAAATCGCCATTGTTCAGACAACAGCAGAATTGTCACGCTGAAGAATTGTTGACAAATGAATATCGTTGTCCTGGCACGTGACATGTGAGTCGCAAAGCAGGAAGGCAAAGAACGGCTAGAGCTGAGTTCCCATCTTAGATAGGTCCCAAATACGTCGCATCCATGGCATTGTGCAAGAAGAAGCGCCTGCTGCCACTGCTGATCCACTCATATCTCATCAGTATCATCTACGAATCTAGCTGCTCTGCTGCTCTCTCTGTCCTTCTGTTTACAGATTGTTGATCTGATATTTCGATGGGCATTTGATCCGTATGAAAAGACGTAGTTCATATTCCTATCTGATAAACAATGTTACTCTGCTTGACGCAACCTCAACTCTTTGGTTGTTTCCTTTATCTGTCATTCATCAGTCATGTAGCCGTATATCACTATTACGTTGTTGTGTATCGGCACTTGACTCGACGATGGATCGACGATGCCCTCGCCCAACTGGCAAAAATACTACGCATCACAATTCCAAAAGGCAATATAGACGTACACCTCTAACTGAGTATACATATTATAGCTATCAGGAATGGGTCTTGACCACCATCCAACATGATTCTATAACCCTTGATGAACCTGCACAAACTGACGGAGGACATAATGACAAAACTATAGGGTAAGCAGTCCAGAGGGTATCAGAAAATTCGACAGTGGAGAGAACACCGAACAAAATAGTTATGATACTTCCTGGTAGGTTAGAGCCTCTACTGTGTCTCTTATTCTGTCGCTTCAAAAGTTGTATGACAGTCTTTCTGTCACCCGATAAAGAGCTTACATGGGTTATGACGTCGGTACTCAGACTAGGAAACCTACAATATGGGCAACGTAAGTGATGTTGAGATACCGTAGCGTTAGTTGAAAACGACATAGGCAAACTATTGTGAGTTCAGCTTTTTTGTTGAATGAACTATGCAAAGAATTTGCAACTACCACGGCTCTGCTAGCCGACGGCGCCCAGGAACACTACTTACATTGTTACAAAATGCAGGGACTCAGGGATTTCCAAGTAGCCAGGAACTGATTGTCCTTGTGATGACACCCAGAATACAAGCTTGAGATGGTACACTAATCAGCATGCTAACCGTCCGCCTGCAGGGCTGAATCTGAGACGTGTGAGGCCATCACCTACAGTCTTGTCTCAGACCTGTTGCATCGTTCTCAAAATGATCTTCCTCATCGCGGCTCGGTCACGAATTGACATCAAGCAAGAGTAGGAAGAATACAAGCCGGCATGAGGTGACCTGACCTTTGACAATCCATGAGCTGCAATCAAGTTGACAGGATCAGTCGATTCACCTGCCTATCTCGGCTCCGATAAGGCACAATGCACAAAAAGAGAAAGGCTGGTATTCTCTCCGCTTTGCACAACTTGCAGCAAAGGATTCTGATTCGATTTGCGAGCATGCAATGGCAGGAGAAAAGAGGGACGTCAGGGCTGTAAGTGAATTTGAGTTGGAGAGGCGCTTTGAGAGGTGACTGGCTGCCCAAGAAACCACTTATGCTGGCTTGCAGAAGCCCAAGGTTGCCATTTATTCTTTTTTAGATCTAGTGGCCTCGCTCTAAAGTCGGTAGGGTTACGCCTCCGACGCAGCGGATTCGTCCCCGAGACATAAAAAACTTGGTGGTGTTGCGAAGCGCCGCAGTCGACATTCGAGAGCTGCGATTTTGATTGTCTCAGAGAAGTATGGCTGAATAGAAGAGCCAAGGACAAAGACCTTAGTGATGAAGGCTGACTGTCAGTTAAAAAGGCGTAAAGCATAAACAAAGAGGACATTGGTACTGGAGCTATACTGCGAGAAATCGTGTGATGTGCGTCGCTGTATGCAGTGGTGTATTCAGCCAGCCATCGAAACTTGACAACTGCTATTGGTACTACCGTCTTGCATCATCGCCGCGCATCGATTCCGGGCGGGGCAGTTTGTTTCTTCTGTCTGTACCCAGAGGCAGGCTATGACCCTTGCGTTTTTATTTTATTTCACAATCGCTCGGCAATGGATGTTGAATAAGAGAAATACCAGCAATTGCCAGGGTTGGTCACCCCCAACGAGTCTGGCCTCCTGCTGCATATTGTATCCACCAAGTTGAAGTGACGACGCTCCCTTCTTTTCGCACACAAACAATGGATACCTCTCCCCATCGCACTGTCTCACATTATGAGGAAACAACTCGAGTTCTAGCCTTAGCTGAGACGTTAGCTCTGCCCAATAGAATGCTCAAAGTGGTAGAACTCAACTGTTCTAGCTGCCAAGCTACTGAACCGTCAAAGAAACTTTATGTCCCTTGCGCACATGGGAAGCGCCCTTCGGACCGTCCCAGTAATCGCTTGCTCACTTGTCCCTCGTAGGACTCGCTTGGCCTTTGTGCCACGGCAGTTCGGCGATGGCATTCGTCCCCCATTGCATCGCATCCCAACCCAGGTGCATGTAAGTGGGCAACCCAGTGACTCGGCAGTGTGGACTAGGAAATCTAGATGTAGCACGCAGAGAAAAAGGAATGACAGTGTTAAAGTTGGTGGCCTAGATTGACTTGGGCCTGCATCATTGCTCCAATCCAAACTGGGTATGTGCACCAGGACTCGACGAGTCGCTCCTGCACTGGGTGACTCGACCTCGCTGGTAGGGAAGGAGCTCGTCAGTTGGCCCGGGCCGCTGGGCCACTGCAGCTCGTGAGATGCACACTGGGGACCACTGAAACAAGTCTCCAAGTCCACTGAGGGCTGCTGGAAACTTGCCTCCTTTAGCGCGGCCCCCCTCCACTCTTCTTTTGACCCTTGATGGCACTTGCTTCTTCTGGGCTTCCATAGACTGGCTGGGTTCCTCCACTCCCCGTCATCCATCTTTACTGGTCTCTATTCCTCGAGTCTCTCGAGACGTCTCTTTCCCTCTCCCGCCATCTTACCTCACCTCATTTCCACATCTTCGTTCCATGCTACACTCTTCGCCCTTTGTTGCTCTGACCATATAGTAGTCAGTCGATAACCAACGTAAATCTCATCCTTCATATACCAATCTTGACGCGATTATAAATCGGATTGTTTTATCTCAGCATGCGCTTTCGATTGTCGCGCTCGACATTCGACGCAACTCTTTAAAGCCAAGTTTGCGATTGTGTTCGGCGTGCCGGTTCACGTCCGTAGCCGCGTCCAACTGTCGCTTTCTCATTGAGATCTGCCATCAGCCTTCAAGCGCGTCGCCTACTTGCATGTCTCGGACTACCGTCTAACCTGTTCATGCTGTGTTCCGCAACTGTTCCAAAACCCTGCTTCCCGTCCGATAACTGCCAGCATGCCAACATCAAACCGTCCCAACATTGTTGTCGCGAAGCAAAAGTTTTAAAGATATTTTAATCAACCAAAGTCATGCTCTCGAGTGCACACTCCATCTCATCGCCAGTCATGATGGCACCGTCTGCCGATTATCCCTCTAAAGCACCATTCGAGGCCAGCCCGACTGGTCATTTGCAATTCAAAAGGCACAAAGTTCTACCGCGACCTCGCTCCGAAAGAGCATCTGAATTACCTACACGAATAGCAAGCCCTTTGACTAGACAAGATCTGGTCATTGATGCATCTCGTCCTGGTAATGGCAAGCAGCCATCAAGTCCACGAACTCTTAAACATCAGTCACGGAGGATAAGTAGCGGCCCGGATCTGCCACCAACTCCACCGAGACATTCGCGCCAGCCTTCTGATAACTCTTCTGGCAAGACCAGCAGCCCCGCCGCAACCGATATTGCGTTACGGACTCCCCAGCCATCCCATCTACGTTCACCTTCGACGCCTCCTAACCAGAAGAGTCCCCCTACACCTGATGTGACGCCACCCCATCATTCTACAAGCCGTCCACAACTATTGAGACCTGTTGTCAGTGATCGTGCTGGTTCAAATACTACCGTTGGGGAATCCCAATCTGGCTCCTTTACAACTGCTCGAGAGGATCCTATATCGTCCGAGGACGAGGGTAAGTCTGCAAATAACAAGAACTCGCGATCGAATGTTCGTCACGTTTCCGACACAAGTGCACGTGGTCGCAAACCCGACACATTGGGTTTCAATTTGGCAAACTTTGCACCTCCATCAGAGGGAAGCAGTGTTTCCAGATCGCTAGGAGGGGATTGGGGTCACAACGATAGCGACTGGGGCTCCGTGAGTGAGGTAGAGCAGGAATGGGACCATAATCTACAAAGAATGGTTACTGTCAAGAAGCGCCCCGAACCACTGGATATGATGCGATCAAGTCCCGCACGGGCAAAGGTCGTAGAGCCGAACACGGTCACATCGACACAGACTAACAAAGCTGTGCGGGGCCTGCCTCTGCACCAGAGGACCGAAGCTCTTTCTATGAAGGGCCCTTCAGCTCGAGAAATTCCTTCATCGACTACATCGAGCACTGTCGGAAGTTCCGACCCACGCAGAATGTCTGTGATCTCAAACAAATCCACCGTCTCAACTGTTGTAGAGGCATATCTTCTGGATCCAACTCCAAAGAGACAGAGGACTCTGCGGCATGTGCGGAAACAAACCATTTTGCGAGAACCTACAAACGCTTCATCTGTGACAACGACAGACTCTCTAAAATCGGAGAGATCACAAAACGACGCACGAGCTAGAACACGACCAAGTGCCCCAAAATCTGAAAGTCAGTCTTCTAACATGACGGTCAATTCTATGTCCAGTAGCAGAGCTCGACGCGAGGTCTGGAAAGCGGGTGGTATACCAGTCGTTGTTGTGCCCGATCGGCTTTCGTCTCATAAAACTAAATCGAGAGAACCATCGTTGAGGTCTCATTCAAGCCGACGGTCAAGCCGTACTGCGACCAGTGTCAGCCCTACACTGAACGATACTCCATCTACAAGAGGTGAACCCCCTATCGTTCGACGCCCAAACCGAGGTCGTTCGTACTCTTTGTCTGAAAGCTCTGATGAGAGAACCATGGACTATCCACCTATCGTTCCAGCTCGCTCATCTTCCCTCTCTGCTCCTACCAGCCGCAACGGCTCAAGGGCCAGTTCTTTGACAGCCGAGAGCATGAAGCTTCATAATGCTCTGCAGGAGTATCTCAACAAGAAGAAGGATTCCCAGAAAGTGCCCGAGATCCGATTTTCAGAGAATGGCCCGACGACGCAGACGCTTTCAAGCCCTTCTCATAGTCGCCGACGGTCGAGTTCGGAACATCATGATGATGGCTTGAATATCAAAGGATATGGCTCGCAAAATACGCCCTTTTCTGTGGCATCTGTTGATACGAATGGGACAAACCCAGTGATCACGGAAGCTCTCGCTGTGCAAATGTATCCTCACCAGAATTCATCTCTGCTGATGGTTGACCATTCCACAAAGCCCTCGGAGTCTGCAGATCAGAGTCAGACTGAGGCAGAGGAAATCCTGGACATTCCACTACCGACAGACTCCTCGGAAGAGATTCCTACCACACCTCCCCAACCTACCCGTTCTCTTGCCGATGTTGACTCCCCTCTCCGAAATCCCCGAGCTCCCCCTGAGCCACCGAGCCACGCGCCGGTTATTAATTTCATACCTGCGACACCGTCAGGGACGACTCCTGCGCACGAGAAGATGGCGTTTATGGGCAATTATTTTGAGGCAATGAACGAGAAACCATCCCGCCGACCTTCGATGGTTCGCCGTGCTTTCAACCGTACACGACGTCACTCGGTGGATTATTCCTCTTCAACGCGAAGACCATCAAGCTTTCTTTCTCGAACTCTATCTCTTTCACGTACTGGTCGGATCAGAGGCATGCCGACTATGGAACGTGAACCTGAATATCCTAGTCCCGACGATAGTCCTGTGGAGGAAGACAAGCTGCATCCTTTTTGGCGCCCGCAGTGGTCCAGTGATGAGTTGGATGAATGCGACGGAGACTGTGATGATGATTGTGATATTCATTGGCCGGCTGAACCGGCTGACGAGATCTATCGATACCCCCCGGTGGACAATCGACCCAAAGGACCACAGAGGAGCTTCAGCTCTAGAATGAAGCGCACGTTTGCTGTCCTCCCATCTCGCGAGGGTTCGTATTATACCAGTTACGACTGGCCGGCCACTGAGCGTCGTACTATTGGACGTACTCCAAGCGGAAACCTTCGGGTCATGAGGCACCGCTCAAGCTTCGACTCCTTACGACGAAGCTACAATGACGATGAGAGACCACATTCTGCGGATGGTGAGATCAAGAGATCGTTTTGGCGCGCCAACAGTGTCCAGAGGCGAGCCAGTAAGGAAAAGAGACGCCTTTCCCTGGGAAGTAGGCTGGAGGAGCTGCAGAATCTTCCCCGAAAGTACAGCGAGAAAAGACGTGAAAAACGTTCACAAGAGCTTCGCAAGAAAATTAGCGGACCAAAGGAGGTTCGTGACGGGGTAGGAGATGTGATTCGATCGAGCACAGCGCGCGACCACTACCAATCGCACGAAAGCACGACAAGTTATTAAGTGCCTTCTAAAGACGAAAGGAGTTCTTCTCGGGATGGGCAAGAGGAGAAAAACAAGAAGACGATTATTGCTATTACAGAAGATACAAAGACAAAACTCACGACTGAGATGACTCACGCTTTACGAATGATGGGGGATTATGAAAACGGTTATGCTTACGGTTTGCTATCTGAACTTTGCTACGAAATGGTCTACATGAAATGACATTTGGAGGACACCTGCGCTTTGCTACATGGCGGTGGTGACTGTTTATGTACGATAACTAATACATCTATATATATATATATATATATATATTTCAATCAATTTGCTTGTATCTGACAAGACAGCATACAGGAAGCGACTGACTACTGAGACTATTTGCATTTAAGGAATGTGAAATTTGGTTTAGTCAAGATCTTAACTGTCTGTAAGAAGTGTATAAATGTTCCTAGTGTCTAACCTAACGGTATCCCAAGTTGGGATACGTCCCATTTTCCCAAAGCTTGCCTTAACGCCTAATTCGCCAACAATGCTATGGGTGAAATCAGCCCAAAACGCGTCCTTAATCGCCAAAGAGAGGCCTATCGCTTCTCATGTCCAGGAGGTCCGGCGCCGGGAGGAGCAAATCCAGGTGGGGGAATACCACCGGGAGGGAACCCTTGACCAGGCGGGGGCATGCCGGGCATCCCAGGAAACGGAGGGGGAGCACCACCTGCGGCGCCAGGAGCGCCAGGAGCTCCGGGGGCACCTGGAGGAGGGAAAGGGAAGCCACCAGGAGGAGGGAACGGAAGGCCATTAGGAGGAATGGGCATGCCGTTGGGTCCAGGGAATGGAGGCATAGGAGGCATGCCTCGACCACCGCCAGGAGGAGCTGTCTAGAGTTAGGATTGTTCTCAATTGGTAGGATCGTTAGGAGCACTTACGAGGAAATTGTCCGGGAGGTGCGCCTGGCATTCCAGGGAATGGAGGAGGGACACCTAGCGCATGTTAGTCTTCTATTCCTCATATCATGATATCTTGGTACTTACCACCTGGGAAGCCGAAGGGAGGTGGGTGGAAACCTTGGCCAGGTTGATTCTGAGGAAGCATGGGATTCGCGTGGGCTTGGCCCTCGGCAGCATAAGAAGAAGTAATCGAATCAATAACCGACTGGGCCTTTTCGTGACCGATTTCTATCGATGTTGTTAGTCGCAGAGTCGCATCGCGGGTTGGAGGGAAAGCGCACGTTGGTAGTAGTCGACTACATTTCGTAAATGGTTTCGACCGCTGTTGTGGGCCTTGCGCACACTCATGGAGTCGTGCGTAAGGTAGACATCGCAATAATCGCCTGGTGATAAGAAGTCAGTTGGAGGGGTCTTTGTCGATTCGCGCGTACTGGGGAGCTTACAGAAGACTGTGACAGAAGTTAGCGGGAGTCCTCAAATGTTGAGTAGGTGGGAAGATTCGAACGTACACTTGGGCATCTTGAGGACAAAGCGCGATCGATGGTTTGGGGATTGTCAAGATGGCTACCAATGTTTTATATCGTATGCTATCAATGTAAAGTTGAGGCGCGAAAACAACTTGGAGTTGACAAGGCTGCCCCACACGTGATGGCAACGACAAGGCCAGGGCCAAGGCCCGATGTGATTGGTTACAAAGCTAGCCTAGGGGAACTCCCTCTTTCCCGTTTGTGGGTCACAGCTTCGACTGGGACACCTTTCAGTTTAGAGTCCAGTGCAAGCCCCTTGTCTAACTAACTGTATATCCTACGTAGCCTTTCCTCACCAACCTACCATCCTCGATACGATTTAACACTGGGAGAGGAAGACCGAATTTTCGACTATACAGCGTTTGACCACGACAATGGCTCTCCAAAAATCATTGCTGCAGTACTTCTGCAGCGTTTTGCTGCTTGTCAGCTCCGTTAGCGCTCTCAAATTCGACCTTATCGCAGGATCTAAGGAGCGCTGTGTTCGCAACTTTGTCGGAAAGGACACCCTCGTCGTGGTGACAGCGACCGTCGATGGCCACAAGGGCGATGGCATGGTCGTGAACCTCTACGTATGTTGCGCCGAACTGAAGACGGATTGGTCTGGTTAGGAAAAGTTAGAGTCTAACATGCATGATTGCAGATTCGCGATGCCGTTGGCAACGAGTACGGTCGCCCCAGAGATGTTGTTGGAGAGTCAAGGACCGTCTTTACTTCTCACGCCGACGCTGCTTTCGATGTCTGCTTTGAGAACGTTCCTTCTGGATGTACGTCGCCATCCCAATCTGAGCATGTGACGCCGCAACATGCTTAGCCCATGTTGTATTATCGACATACTGACAATTCTTTAGCCCAGCGACTCAACAGCCCCACCCGTCACATTGAGCTCGATATCGACATTGGCGCCGACGCCAAGGATTGGTCCGCTATCCAGGCCACCGAGAAGCTCAAGCCTGTCGAGGCTGAGCTCCGCCGTATCGAGGAGATCACCAGCGAGCTTGTTACCGAGATGGAATATCTTCGCGCCCGAGAGCAGAAGCTCCGAGATACCAACGAGAGCACCAACAACCGGGTTAAGTGGTTCGGTATCGCTACCACTTGGCTCCTCATCGGCCTCTGGGCTTGGCAGATCATGTACCTCCGAGCCTACTTCCGATCCAAGCATCTTATCTAAAAGAGTGTTTTTGCATGCGTGTTATCTACAGTGGAGCTCGTTGGTATCATAAAAGAGTCGGATGTTTTACTAGAGGTCATGAAGAGGTCTCGTCGCCGTGCAGTCCTTAGTCTCTATAAAGTCCAACTATATAAGTGGTCCAAGATTCCGGACATGCTGGCGTTGGAATCAGTGGCAGGTATATGATTGGAACTGGAAGCAAGGCTTAGTTCTTGCCAGATCTAGGGTCTGTTTTGAAGAGCTGAGTGTTACAAAAGTCATGAAAGAGAAATAATTTAACGTCTATACATATCAACGCTATTCGTTGACATCTTAAAGTCCACGCGATCATGATATTCATGGGATAATAGGCCTCGGCCAGTCCTTAATGTGGCGTGTGCTTGAATAGCAATTGTGGCTGAATGGTTCGCTCTGATTGGTGCGCTGTCACTCATTCCGTGACTCAACTTGGGAAGGTGCTGAAGCCCACGCTGCCCCTCCATACCCACCAGCTGGGCTCTTAGAAGAAAGACCCCGCGATACCTCGACAGAACAAAGGCCACTTCAAGTTCAACCACCAAGATCGAATTGAAATAATGGCGGACCTTAACCCTCCCAAGACTGCTGTTCAGGACCAGGACATTAACCCCTGGTCCGTTGAAGGAGCTCAAGGCGAGAATGGCGAGGTTGCTGCTATTGATTACGATGCCATTTGCTCGTGAGCGCCACACCCAAAAACCAATTTATACCAAGGTTGAATTTTGGAGCTGACAGGATGATTCAAGGAAGTGGAAGACCTCAAAGATCGACCATGCGCTTCTCGAGCGATTCGAGCAAGTGACAGGCAAGAAGCCCCATCGCTGGCTCCGACGCGGCCTCTTCTTCAGTCATCGCGACTTCGACAAGATCCTCACCAAGTACGAACACGGCGAGCCCTTCTTCCTCTACACCGGTCGTGGTCCCAGCACTGGCAGTCTTCACCTTGGACACACAATTCCTCTAGAGTTTACAAAGTGGCTGCAGGATGTCTTTGACGTGCCTCTGGTTTTCATGTTGACGGACGACGAGAAGGCGTTGTTCAAGGACACATTGACCTTTGAAGAGACTCTGAACTACGCTATGGAGAACGCTCGGGATATCATTGCGCTTGGCTTTGACCAAAAGAAGACCTTCCTCTACAGTGACCTCCAGTACCTAAGTGGTCATTTCCTCATGAACGCCTGGGAGTTCTCTAAGCTGGTTACTTTCAACCAGGTCCGTGGAGCGTTTGGCTTCAACGAGAGGTGGGTCAAATTATCGAAGTCTTCGCAAAGATACTAATCGAATACAGCACCAACGTCGGCAAGATTTTCTTCCCTTCAGTCCAGTGTGTTGCTGCTTTTGCGACATCCTACCCCGAGATCTGGTCTGATGAGCCTGCTACCACCCGAACAAAGGCGCTTGGCAAGATCCAGTGCCTGATTCCCATGGGTATTGACCAGGATCCTTACTTCAGACTCGTCCGAGACAACGCCCACCGCATGAAGAACCCTTCACCCAAGCCAGCTTTGATTCACTCCAAGTTCCTCACTGCCCTGCAGGGCGCTGGTGGCAAGATGTCATCCTCAAACCCCAACTCGGCCATTTTCATGACCGATACTGCTAAGCAAATTAAGGTGCGCATGCAATTATTTCATACGGGGGGCAAATACTAACAGAGATTCTCTCAGAACAAGATCAACAAGTTCGCTTTCAGTGGCGGCCGTGAGACTCTTGAGGAGCACCGCGAGAAGGGAGGAAACCCTGATGTCGATGTTGCTTACATCTACCTCACCTACTTCGAGGATGATGATGAGAAGCTCCAGAAGGTCTACGATGACTACAAGAGCGGATCTCTTCTCACCGGAGAGCTGAAGAAGATGGCAATCGAAGCTCTTCAGCCTGTTGTCCAGAGCTTCCAGGAGCGAAGAGCTGCTGTCACAGACGAGGTTCTTGAGTCATACATGAAGCCCAGGAGACTACAGTGGGGTGGAAACCCAAACCCCAAGCCCAAGGAGGACAAGAAGAAGGAGAAGGCCGAGAAGAAGCCTGAAGAGAAAAAGACCGAGTTGCCCGACCGTACTGCTGAGAAATCGGCTTAAACATGGAGGCAACGAAGATGAAATCCTCTGTATGAGAAGGATATAAAACAATGTTTATGAATAAAAAAGGAGTCGTTTTGCTTGTACAAGCTCAATCTCTCTTGTGATACAATATTGAACCATTTCGATAATGCTGCTGTTCAAGTGTAAGTCATCTGCCGAACCCTGCCTGTGAGATGCTTCCCCGGACCCACCCGTTCCGACATCGAAATTATATTATTCGGCCTCGGCTCTCAAGTCTTCGGAATCTCAACGTCAACGACCGGCGCTATTGCCACTATTCTACCAATTAAAACTCTGGCAGCTACCACGAATACAACTACAATCTTGAACATTCTAAAACACCACGCAATTACAGTCTAGACACAACCGACATGGCCTCTTTCGTTTCGCGCTCGCTGCGCCCAGCCGCCGCTCGCCGCATTGTCTCAATGTCCGTTCGACCCCTCTCCACAACAGTCTCGCTACGATCCGATAACGTCTCTTCGCAAGAGTTCGAGGTTGGCGAACTTCAGGGTGCCAAGTTCAGAGTCGAGCCTCTGCGTCGAGTCGGCGAGGACGACGCTACCAAGCGAGCACGTCTCGTCTGTGCGTATTAATCCAGCATCAACCACGATAGAAACCCTTGCTAACACATACCGGAATAGACCAGTCCCGAAAGCGTGGAACTCTTGAGTCCGATCTTCTCCTCTCTACCTTCGCGGCCGCTCACCTGCCCACACTGTCCCCCGAGCTGCTCGATCAGTACGACCGCATCCTTGACGAGAACGACTGGGACATTTACTACTGGGCCACGCAGAAGGAGGAGCTTTCTTCCACAAACCCTTCGTCCTCCGACTCGCCATCCACCAACAACATCGACGCCAAGCCACAGTCCGACCAGGTCACTCGCCAGCCTCCTTCGGGAGAGTGGGCGCAGACCGTAGGTAACTTCAAGCCAGCTTACAGGCCTGTGCCCGCGCGTTGGAGGGACAGCGAGATCCTCGAGAAGTTGAGGGCTCACGTGCGAAGTCGCAGCGTCGACGGTGGTGAGGGCGGTGGTATGGGCTTCATGCCCCCTCTTGAGCCTCCCGAGGTTAAGAACTAGGCGCCGATTGTTGGAAGAAGCAGATGCCGAGAATTATGTTATAAAATATCACGAAGTCATTGTACTATACGTCAAACATCATGTATCATCACGGCCATAGGGCCTGGAATTTTAAATCTCAAGATAGAGCATGCATAGCATTGTAAGATGCGTGGGGTAATCACCCAAAATATAAGATGAGTTTAAGCTCAACTCGTTGTTCCCGATCTACTTATCTCTTGCATGCTGACAACAAAAACCATACATGACCCCTTCCGCACTGCCCTATACGCCTCAGGTCGAGGGAGGTCTGCAAGGGTAACTGATACACCTGGACGGCGAGAGAAGCAGCCGAACTAATGAAATCGCAAAGGGCATTAACACTGCATTGTGGATATCGGGAAGAGTCTTGTACCATCGAATGAACGGTTTAACGGAGAATCTATCTGGGCAGTAATTTAGTTTGCCGAGAAGCATAACCCTTACTCAAGAAAAGAGAGATGTTGCGTGGCTGTAATATCGTTCCCTGATGCTCCAGTGATACGGTTCTTGAAAACTACATTAGTGACCGGGAGGAGGGTATCTTGAAGAGAGACCGAGCGTCGCGCTTATTCTATAGATATCGATAACGATATGAGGAGTATTGCTTTGTTTATCGCAGGGTTTGTTGAGAAAGGACGATTTGGCACTGCTCAGGATCCTCGGCAACTCAGTGGCAGACGGACTTCGCGCAGCATGGATCTGTGTCGCTCTACGTGCAACCCCTTGGTAGTCATTGTACCTGATTGAAGTTCGTGGTCTGTTGTAAGCATCGAACGAGGTGCAGGATTATCTCAGCGACGTTTAAGTCAGCACTGCCCGACCTTTGTTGTTGAGTTACAGTTTCAAAGCGGTGATTGTGAGTGACGAATCGAATGTTGATCTATGCAGGGAAATAAGACGAGAATAAACACAATACGCTTTTCAGCCCTATTAAGCTGACTATCGTGAGAATGTATAACTGTGTCAAATAAGATGTTACATAGAATTTCTCGGTACAGTCCATTGGAGTGTAAGGACATCCTCGATTTTATCTTGACTATGAGTATTTGGTTGAGTGACAAGCGGACTGACTCTTGCCATCCCGTATACAGCTTTCCCAGGTCTGTGATGCTAATGAGATGAGGGAACACATCTCATTAGAAGATGCACATGCTATATTGATGAGGCCACGAACACAACTCATCCGGAAGATTCTGCAAATTCCATCTCAACTAACCATTTGTCAAGTACCACTCAACGATTCTCAACATCAATAGTCTAGGGTAACCGCATGCTCAAGTGTAACATCTCATATATCCGAAATGATCACCATGTCCCGCAGCTCTGGGTCAAGCTAAACAATTAGACAATCAGAGCCGGATTAAAACCACCCAACTACCGATTTCCCCATGGAGACTATGAAGATTACAATGCGTCAGAATCACAGCAAAATTACTCTATATGGACGTATATCAACACGAGGCCAGCATGCAAAGCCGTTTAAGGCTTGGCGCACCCAGATACACTCACTGTACATACACCACCATCACTTCTCAAGTCCGAGACGGGGTTGTACACCGAATCTCGATCAGGTGTCATCCTAGATCTCGATTACCATTCAACAACCGATCTCTTTGTGAGACGGAATGACTTCGAAGGCGGATACTGGATGCCACCTAGACGGACCGACGCGCCAGCGAGCGGACTGCGTTGCGGGTATTTTGGGCCAACCACCGTAACTAGGAAGCATTAGACCAGATGCTCGTGATACCAAAGAATGGCCTATTCTATTATGGTTGCAAAGGGGGTACTGTAAAGGGGATGCGGTGTTGCATCGCTGGAATGGGAGACAGCAGCATGTCGCTCGGCCGAGTCCACTTAAACGTCATGTAAATGACATGGGGCATTAGAGTTTGGTGAAGCGGCTCTGCTCTGTTCTGCTCTGCTCTGCTACATGCTTCAAGATTGTTTCTAACACGAACCGAGCAAGATTTGGATTGAAGCGGGGATAAGGACAAGACGGGGCCTCAGCCCAGCTCAGTCCAGAGTCTTGGACCCATCTCGTGATATCAAACTTGGCTTCGACTTTAAGTTTCCAAGTTTCCAGAACTGTCAGTTTGGTTTAGATTAATTGACTGTCTAGGTGAGTCTGTCTGTGCTGGTGGAATCTGCGTCATAATCCAAGACCTAGCGGGTCTTGTTCCTGGTGCTTGCGGGGGGGAAGCAATTCACGACATGGATGCCATGAGAGGATCCTAATTGCTCATGCCATGAGAACGATGCCATACCGAGTCTGTGTGTTTTGTTGAGCCTCTACCGCAGGCTAGATTGGCTAAAGAAACAAAGCGTATGGATACACTACTGCAATCCCGCCCGTCCCCTGGACATCTGCATCGGCGCCAGCCAGTTTAGTTCGTGGAGATGATGGGAGCTTGGTGCTTCTGAGATGATGGAAAAGCTTGGAAATGCAAGACAAGGCACGGCTTGAACGGAACGGTGGCCCAAGCTAGCCTAGCCAGCCAACCTGGGTCTGATCCGGGGATGGAAGAGCGAAACTGGACTGTGAGTTCGAAACGGAGATCAAGGAAGCAACCATCTTGTGCCTTGTAAGTTGTGCCGCAGTATACGGTAGCATAGACGCTCATCTATGCACGCTATTTCAGATAGATGAAAAATACGAAGTAAAAACGACATCAAGAAATGTGCACACTTTAGTATTGTGAAACGATAAAGCAATAAATGCCATTGATGTAAATCTGTTTATAGTATTTATATTCGATACGCTTTTTCAATGCTTCGAACATCTCCAGCAGCACTAAGACAGTTGCTGAAAAGGGTGGAACAGTGTCTCTCGTTTTCTTGAACCGCGATGAGAGGACAGCAACAACATGGACAGAGATTCCTCATGTCAACAATGGCTGACGTCATGAGCAAGTCATTTGTGCTTCAACGTTATCGAGTATTGACACAGTGTCTGTCCTCGAGCGTATCTGTACATCCGAGGTGACACTGTGCTTACTCCGTACTGGATGGACCAAGTTTCCTAAGATTACCAATCTTGTCTTGCTTCTGGCTTCTCTTTGGTCGAGTTGATACTCGCATTCTTGTTCTTCTCCACGCAAGTGACAAAAGAGCCACCTGTTAAATCTAAACATGGATCTCTAAGTACCACAGACGCCACCAGAGATTAAGATTGTGATTGATAAAGTATCAATAGATATTTGAAACCCAGTATGATCACGGGGTAAAGCACACTCGTGCGTGAACACATGCAACTGCTCGTAAAAGCACAGGCTGAATGAAGGATGCGGTCCAGGGGGTGATTGTTAGCGTAAAGCCTCGATTTGTAAAAACGAGAACTTATCCAGTTATGAGCCAGTATCAAATCGATGAAGGGAAGAGGGTGGAGGTTTTTCGCCAGATCGCCACTAACAAAGGGGTCATCAAGATTCAAGACTGGAAGAATGGAGAAAAGCTCCCGTTGAGACCCCCGACTCACTCAATGTCTGGACATGACACTGGCCGAGGCAGGCATGGGCCAGAGAGTCGGTCAAAACTGTATTAGTAGCGAAAGGGGCTTGCAGCAGCAGAGCAGCAAGCAGCAAGAGGACGTCGAAAACAGCCCGTTTTTTTTTTTGCTCCCTACCAAACAAATGTGAGCATGTGTGTGCAGTGCTAAAGAGTTCAGGGGGGTGTTGCAACCGACGATCCCTCAACAACAACGCCTCGAATTATAAATCCATGGGTACCGAGAAGGACCGTGAGCTCGCCTGCGTGTACAGTACCGGATTGGTACAGAATGAAGTTACTGGGAGGCACATTCATCAGCAAAGAATAGAGAGGGCAATACAAATTGTGACCGTGATTGATATTGGTACTGGAATAGATGTCAAAAAAAGAGGCGGGGAACTTGACCCCCCCAGCCTCAACCATAGAGTTCCAGCAGCACGGAGCTTTTGCACCAGCACTTAAGCATTGATTGCATGAGCTATGAGCTTGTTAGTGACAGCTAGTTGATAGAGTAGCAATCTGGATCTGGATCACGACTGAAACAATTGGAATAGTCGGGATTAATCAGGGAACTGAACTGAGAAAACGGTGCGATCCACGACCAGGCTGAGAAGTGGCCGGACCCAGCATCAACGTTTTCCAAGATTGAACGAGGGTGGTGAAGGAATTGGTGTTGTTGTGAGGATGGATGAGCTCGAACAAGGCATCTCCTTGCGTCATCGCGACGTGAAGCAAGCCAATTGGCTTTGATGAGTGGGAATGACGGTACCGCTCCGGTGCAATGACCCACACCCTTCGATGGCTCCTGCTGCAAATGGGGTGTGGAGCCATGAAAACTTGATGTATCCGCACAGTGTCAAGCTTTCGATATCTCATTTCAAAGATTCCTGATAACTGGGTCCAACTGTTAAAGGTAATTGCGACCTGGGGCAGTTGCTGTTCGGAGATTGTTTCTTGTTAACTTTAAGCCAGCAACGTAGACTCAATCGCAATTGCGGTTTGCTGTATAGTATGTACTTGAGAAGGTATCATGCAGTCATTTGAGCACGGCACGGTGAGTGCTCGGCGGAACGTAACCCGTAATCACCGATTCGTGAGATGCTGTTCAAGAATCACGATCGACTCTGCTTCTGGTGCATTTCTATGGCCCTTCTGTTTCCTTATGCCGGGTTCTTGATCAGTGAAACGCTGTCCCCCTAGCCTCCTTGTAAGTCAACTAAAGTGATTTGCTCCGACTTGAGGTGTCTGGTTGGTTCCCCGGACCTTTTTTGGAGGGTAAGGATCGAACGATGCAATCCAGAATACAGTACACACAGTGCTCAGCCGGGGTGTGGACAGACCATCAGGCAGGTGCAGTGGGTTTTGTCAGCCGGTTTAGCGTCCCCTCAGTTCGGGCAGTCCTTTCCTTTATTTTCGCCCCCCCAGGCTTTGACTACTTTCAGGAGCCAGAGCCCAGCCGCCGTCGCCTTTTTTTTCTGCGCCTACTTTTTCTCTCGCTGCCCACAACGTCATCTCTGACGTCTTTTCTCAATCTAATCCTTTCACAATCCTCGTCCATCGACGCAATCCCGCAAGCAAAGCAACGCCCGCTTTGTCGATATTCGAGACACAGCGCGAATGTCTATCTGAGGCTATCATATCCTTTTTACTTTTCGATAGGCACGAGCCTCAACTCCACTGCAAACGTCTTTTTTCGCGTTTGTGCCTGTCTTTCGATATCCCCTAATTCTCAACCCATCTTTCGCTTAGTCTGTCTCTTAACTGTCTGAGAGACGCGCGCCTCTTGACCACATCTGCTTCGACTGTCTCGAATCTCAAGCAATTTCATATCCGCGCGCTCAAGCATCAAGGCTTAGGGCGCATTCTTTTGGCCGGAGAGGTTTCGGAGCGTATGCTGTGCGCTGTTCGCGCTGTTGACTTGTCGAAAAACAGTCTTCGCCCCCGGTCTATCTCTTAAACCGTCCCGTCCTGTAGTAAGAGTCGCAGACGGCTGCCGCGCTGCTTTTCTGTTTCTTCCTCGCCTCTGACCTCATTTGACTTTTTCGTCTTCCTCCATCTTTTGCTGCTCTTACTGCCACCCACCCCACACGTCCAATCCAGTCCAATACTATCAACCTTGCCGCCCGCCCCAGAATATAATACATCATCGTCATCATGGGGACTACAACTGAAGCCTCTGCTGGAGGTGAGTCGAAGTCCCCCAAGCAGTCCAACAGCTCTCCTCCTCGACCTGGTATGTTCTTGCTTTCCTGTACTCCAATTCCATTCCTCTCCCTGCAGCATAATATCGACTTCATCTCTGCTACATACTTTTTCCGTTTCCGCTGTTATGACGTATACTCGTCATCGGTCTTGAACATCCCTATCCTATCCCCTTCTTCATCCTCTTTCGTCATCGCTTTACTTCTCCGTCCCTTGTCCTCCGTCATTGTCAACCTAATGCCTTTTGCGTCAATCCGTCTGTAACACTTGCTCACATCTCGCCTTGCTGCAGATACCACGACCGACGCGAAGGCAGCCGATCCGCCCGTCAAAACAGAGGCTGCCAATGCCGAACAAGCCAAACCCCTTGCGCCTCCTCCTCGACCCGGCCAACAACAAGGCAACACTCCTGACTACTTCGCGGTCCAGGCCGGCGGATCACTCAGTCTGGAGCCCAATCCATTTGAGCAGTCCTTCGGGGGCGCTCCAGAGACACCAGGAGGAACAAAGCTGCCTTCAGTTGCTGCATTGACATCACCATCTTCATTACTGCCCGGTAGCAACGCGACACCCTTCAACTGGGGAGGTGGCTCATTGCGTACTGGTCCTTTAAGCCCTGCAATGCTTTCTGGTCCGGCGAACGACTACTTTGGCGACACACATCATCTACGTGGCGGATTTCCCACTCCTAACGAGTCCTCATTGAGGACGGGTTTAACACCAGGTGGTAGTGGTTCTATGTTCCCTGCCCCAAGTCCTAATTCCCAGGCACTCTTTGCTCAGCTTGCCAGCGGAGGAGCGACACCAAGCACGCTCGATTTCCATCGAACTGCTATCAGCGCTGCCGCTAAACGCGATCAGAACGGCGCTGCCCCACGATCCCAGGCACAACCAGCCCCCCAACCCCAACAGCCACCTCAGCAGCCTTCTGTTACTTCTCAACCCCAGGAAATGCCCAACGGTGTTTCTAACACCAAGTCCGAAGCTAAGCCTGCTTCGGGCCCCTTCGACCCGCACGATAACGACGCTGCAAACGGCCTATTTATGCTGGCCCAGGGTAGAAACGGTGCTCAGAACGCGAACCAATTTGCCGTGACATCAGGTGCTCCTGGCCACGCCCATCCTGCCCCTGTTGCACCACAGAATATGAACACCTCGCCACAAATGTCAAGCATTAACGGTGGCTCCGTTGGCTCTGCTCGTGGTATGAGCGAGGGTAGTATGATGTCGGACGACAGTGAGCAGGCTCGTCCTAACACTCGAGGCCGGGGCAAGAAAAACCCTCCTGCGACCAACGGTCGAAGGAAGGCTGATGAACTTCCATCTAAGGCACCCGCCAACAAAAAGTCAAAGACGAATAACGCTATGTCTATGGATATGGACATGTCCGACGACGAGGACAAGATGAAGTACGAAGATGGTGGCTCAAAGTCCAAGATGACTGATGAAGAGAAGCGTAAGAACTTCCTCGAGCGCAACCGGTATGTATTCTCCATCCTGCTATTTGAGAATGTGTATTAATTTGTATTAGTGTCGCGGCTCTCAAGTGTCGTCAAAGAAAGAAGCAGTGGCTGGCCAATCTTCAGACCAAGGTTGAAATGTTCAGCACGGAAAACGATGCTCTCACGCAACAGATTACCCAACTAAGGGAGGAAGTTGTAAACCTGAAGACTCTTCTTCTTGCTCATAAGGACTGCCCGGTTACCCAACAACAGGGAATCCATGGCGCATTTATGTCGCAGGTCGTAGAGCCCTTCAACCCCCAAATGAATCCTTATGGCATGGCAGCACCCATGCCCAACCAGCAAGTCATGGCTGGACAGGGTGTTCAGAGGCGATTCTCATAGAACGAGATGAAGCCCCAGCCAAGTCAACAAATTAAGGTGGAAACAGATATGTCTTCACCAAGCCGCATGATAGAGGGACTTGACGATCCCTTTTTTCTCTAACCACGAGACTATTAGCCTTTCCGGGCATACATTATTATACGCATATACACAGGGTTGCAGGGTTTGCCGTTCCGGGGCCTGCCAGCTTATATCTTCACTTCATGTTGGGGCTGTACAACATTTGATCAAAGGCAATATTCAGACGGGGACGATGTCTGAAATCAAGAGTTTGTTGGGTTTGCTTACAGTCAACTTGACACTTTTGTTGAGCAAGGACGCCTTTGCTGGGCGTTTCTTACTAGAGGCGGCGCCATTACAATTTTTTAACTTGTACGTAAGTATCTTTTCTGGCAAGGCACACGGAACGCGCACTTCAAAAAGGTGTTTGGCCAGGCGGACTGTTTTTAGTGCCTGGAGGGGCGTTTTGAGCATGCGGATCGATCCTAGGAGATGAACGTCTTTGGTGTTATTGGTTTTGCGATTTTTGTAAGTAGCTGCAGGCAACAAAAAGCTACCTGGTTTGAATGACGATAGTTGCACTATGAAATACGATATGCACAAATTAGTGATAACTTGAGTGCCTCAGAATATTGTGTTTTTTTGTATGACTATGTTTATAAACATTGATACTTAATGTCCTTTATGACATGTTGGTTAAAATAAACCCAGAGAACCCCACCATAAAACGTTGATGATAAAGTGCTAGTTGACTGATTCGTTTTCACGTCGAAGCTGTCTAGTTTAATAGAGGAAAAGGCTTACTAGGATTTGTCTTAGACTCCGTCAGGGTCGGCATTGACGATATTTGAAGGGCCTGGCTCTTGGTGAACAAGAGGAGGTTTTGAGGTGGGGCGGCAGCTGGGAATCGCTAAAACAGGCTTAGTGTCGTATGGGTAAATCATCCCTCATGTAAACAAGGCGATGCGCTTAAACCATCACAACCACGTCGCGAACCGCAATCCTTCATCGATCAAATCGTAACCCGGACGAGCTATCGTAAATTGCATTGCTATAGTCTTTGAGCGTTTTTTTTGCAGCATTTCAATCACCCGAAACACGTGCATCACTACGCGACGCGCCTCTTGAACCCTGGCCGACAGTTTCAGCACCTCCACTACACCAACGACTTCCCGCCATCACGACCCCGGGAATTTCGAATCGTATCGCCAACGGTCCCGAATGTGCCACCCATGACGACTCTGGTGACGACTCGGCGGCCGCTTCAAGTTATTAGCATGAGCAACGAGCACGGGCGACGGTTGAGTAAGCGTCTCGCTGGTAAGTGGATTGATGACGACGGCGAAGGCATTCGGGAAGGGCGACGCGCTGACGGCGGAAAACGAGCAGCGGCGACGGATTTTGAGCATGATGATGATTTTGCATTTGTGCGAAAGTCCAAAAGGGTCAAGACGGACAAGGAACCAGAACCAGAGCATGAACAAAAGGCCGAGCCAGTCAAGAAATCTTCGAGGGGACGTCCTGCAGCAAAGTCACGCGTTGCTAAGAGCTCGAAAACCAATGGAACGATCCCAGAAGAAGAGCCCACAGAGGACGAACCTAGTGCGACTACGAAGCCTGCAACAAGGAAGAGCAACAGGCAAAAAGCGAGCGTAGACGCGCCAGATGAACCACCACCCAAAGCAACTAAGAAACAACCAACGAGGAGGAGCACGCGACGGTCAGAGAAATTGGAGACGGAAATCGCTCAACCAGTGTCAGCTCCAGCGTTAGAACCCGCACCTGAGCCTGAACCTGAGCCTCAGCCAGAAACAGCACCACAGCCTCCAGCGGCAACGACTTCTCGCGTCAATGGAGCATCTAAGAAATCCCGAAGTCGCGCCAAATCGACCAAACCGCCCCCAGACTGGGACAAGTCACCCGAACGAGCGCCGCCTGTGCAATCTGCCACAATTGCGCTGCCAATGAGCGACACACCCATCATTAATAGAAACAAAGAAATGCGCAAGAAGGGCGGCAACTCCAACCGACGAAGCAGCTTGGGTAACCGAGGACGAAGGGCGAGCTCATTGATCGAAGGCGGCCAAACAGCGATACCCCACCGGGAGGTCAACCCGGCGGACTTTTATAAGCATATTGAGGCCGAGGGTTTGACAGAACCTAGACGTATGAAGCAACTATTGACCTGGTGTGGTGAGCGTGCATTGTCAGGGAAGCCTCGGCACGGCACACCGAATTCTAATGCTATTCTTGGTGGTAAGTTGGCCTTGTTGGTTATTCCTCGCTGTGAACCCCAACACTGACTGCGAACAGCTCGTGCCATTCAAGATCAGTTGTTAAAAGACTTTGCGGCTCGATCTGAGTTCTCAGACTGGTTCACTAGAGAGGATGATGACGCGCCCAAAGCCCCTGTAGTGACAAAACCTAACCCCAGAAACTTGGAACTGGATGAGAAGATGGCCCAGCTTGAGATAAATATCAAAAGGTACGCCATACATATGACAACCAACCGTGGACCAACACACTGACTTTCATAGACTACAAGAGGAGAAGAAGGCGTGGCAGGCAATACGAAAACCACCGCCTGAACAACCGTCTCTTTTCTCCGAAGAGGAGACAGGGCCCATTGTGTTGCCCGACTTCGATCTTCTAGATCCTGATGAAGGGAAAATTCGAGGATTCCTCGCGGACGAGAAAGCCTCGTCCGAAGCTGTTCGGTCACAAACAGAATCGCGATTACGGACTATTCAATCAACGCTTGAGTTCCAGGTCGACCAACTCGCTGATAACGTCCATAAGCTCGAGCAGCGGGTTCTGATTGCAGGCAAGGAAGCGGATAAGGTCCTCAGCGTCAGCGCTCTACGGCTTCGACAACGTGAGGAAAGGGAAAAGGCAAGCGCAGGAACAAGGGATATGCCGGTCATTGAGGTTCTAAGGAGCCTAGGGAATATTCTGCCTGAAGGAGGCGGGTGAAGGGTTACATTCTGGGAGTTGGAACGAAACGGATTGGCTTGATACCCTTTGCTTTTTTGCATTACTTTTATCCTTCAGCCTATGATAATGATGACGAGACGAGACAAGATGATGCGCCTTTTTCTCCCTCAACGCTTACTTGCTTCATTACCGGTTCGTTTTATGCCTTTGAAAGGTTCTTACCGGGCATGTGTGGTTTATGTGTAGTTCGTTTCTTTCGCAAAATTGCATGAGAGTAGGAGTTCACATCGTACGGCGTTGAGCGGCTATGAGTCTACCTTATAAACATGTCTCGAATTTACCATCCATCGTCGTCGCCGCCAGCGGTCTGAGCGACCGCGGCCCCATCATCAGGCCCCCATCCGCCATCGCCATCACCGAAGGCATCGGCCTCCTCAACTGGAGGGGCCTTGCACCGGACCTTGGTGTGGCCATACTCCTGGCAGTTGGAGCACTGGACCTTGCTCCCTGCAGCAAAATTAGCTATGAACCCGATAGCGTGAATCAAAGATAACTTACAATCCCGGGGAAGAGGACAGTCCTTGCTGAAATGGCCCTGCTGTTCACAGTTGCGGCAGGTCACGGTAGACATGTCTCGAGGTTGGTCACATTCTTTGGAAATGTGCCCCTCCTGACCGCAGTTGCGGCAGGCCCGGCCGCCGCCCTGAGGGCAATCCTTGGCAAAATGTCCGACTACGACTATTAGAAACTGGCCAGCAGATATATACTCATGGCGAACATACCCTCATTGCACTTGCGACACTCAACATTCGCGGGGTTGGGGGGCTCCTCACAATCCGCAGCCCTATGGCCGGATTGACTATACCAGTTAGTTACTATAATGTATGAAGTGATTTGTATGCTATACTAACCCGCAGTTCTTGCAAGCATTCTTGTCAACTCGAGGTTCGGGACCTGAGATCTGTCAGCTCCACTGGATAGTTAGAAGGTCAATGGGTCTAACTTACAGTCGCGGACACGGTGACCATCAGCGCCACAGTTGAAGCAAGAGATCTTGGGTGCGTCGCGTTCTCCCTTCTCCTGGGTGCAGAATTTGGAGGTATGCCCGAGTTCCTTGCAGTTGGTACAAAGGGGAACACCGCGGTCCACAATCTCGCCAGCGTCGTTCAAGCGCTCAAGGAGTTCCTCTCGATCCTTGGGCCAACCTTCCATCTCGCGGGGGCGGTCAGGCTTCTCGGCAAAGCGGTAGGAAACAGTGTATTTCTTGTCGATGTTGCCCTGAAGATCCATGTTGGTAAAGACCTGGATGAGGGTTCGCTCAGTAGGAACGAGCCAGAGACCAATGCCTTGCTCGATCAGGGATTCCTGAAGCTCCTTGTAGGTGATGTCGCCATCCATGGCCTTGATGTACTCATTGACGGCTTCTTTGGCGTCATCGACATCTTTCTCAACGACCGCCTGCTTGATCTTCTGCCAGGCAACGTCGGGGCCGACGTCGGCAATGTGATCACGATTGACCTTGCGAGGCTTCTCACAGTGCTTTCGGAAGTGACCTTCTTCGCCACAGTTCTCGCAGACCATGGGTGGTGCATCAGGACAATCCTTACGCATGTGGCCTTCCTTCTTGCAGTAGCGGCAGGTCATCTCCTGAGGGTTGGGACACTCGGCACGACGGTGGCTGTGAGATTAACACGTTAGATGGTGTTCGCTCTCAAGAAATCGACATCGATCACTTACCCAGTCTCACCACAACCGAAACACTTGTCATCACCGCCGGGCTGGCCATCTCCGTGACTCTCAGCACCGTCAAATCCGGTGCCGCCACCTTGTTCGTTACCCCAATCACTCATGTTTGGTTCGTTAGGTTTGAATGGAAGTGTGAAGTTGGTTGAAGGATGAAGAAAAGAGGAGGAGAGGGAGAGGATGAGGAAGAGAAGAGGAGGAGAGAAGAGGGTTAGAAAGGCAGGGAAATATAAAGAAGGAAACACGGGCAGTGAATCACTGTTGCCTGGAGTGACTGCCTGGAGAGCAGGTGCGCACTCGATTTTAGCATTGAAGGAAGGAGCAAAGGCTGTCGGCTGGTGACAGCTGCCAGCAGCCGGCAGTCACTTCCTTGCAGTGCAGGCACGGCAGGCACTACCTAGAGGAAATAGCAACAGAAGAGAGCACAGACCTTGTGCAAACGGACAGCAAGAGAGAACGAAGTCAGTTAGAAAGAAAAAGAAGGCGTGAATTGCGTGTTAATGATGGTGATGATACTGGCTTGGCCTGCAGTGTGTCAGAAGAATTGGCCCCTGGAGATATAAGAGACGAAATAATTTGGTCACTTTATTCCAGCTTAGAGTAGCACTTAGTTTATTTTATTTTGATAACCTAACCTAAGCCTTAGAGGACAATTCTTCTGTCACCCTTCTGCTTGGTTAAATCGATCTCATGCTTTGCTCGCAGGCGGTCTTGAGGTAACTTGCTCTGATTCCCCTCAGGAAGCAAGATAATATCAAATAGGTAGGTTATAATACCAACGAAATTCGATTCAAAACTATAACATATCTCATCAAGCAATTCGTGAATGTCCCGACTGTACACATCCTGCACTTCTTTCTATCGGTACAACCACAAGCACCTACATAGATTAGTAGAATCTTATGAAAGAAGGTGTCCGTTTTCATCTACTGAGCTTCTGCTTAGCGATATAAATTTGAAATACGAAACATGTACAGCCGGGGCCTCAAAAAGATAGGATATTCAAGTCTTGTTCCACCCGTATATATATCTAAGGCACTCTTGTATGCATGTGGCCGGACAGCCTATTAGAGAGAGGATAGTATAGAGCAACTCCATCTTAGACGCACACTTGACGCAAATCTACCTGGCTAAGCAATCCATTATTAGAAAACTGACAAGCAAGGGTGTTATGTCAGACTCTGTTTGACTAGAGGAGTAGGTTCTGTCAATGTTCTAGCGCAACACCAGAACACAGATCGTCACCAGCCAAACGGCAATGTGACAAGCTTCAATTACTGTGCTAAGCAAAACCAACCAACCACAGAACGACACCGGCATTCACTCCCTACCCCAGAAAGCCATCCCCACAAACGCATGGAACACTGGCCAGAAACCTGGGACCGGGATCGCGGCGCTGTCGGCGGAGATTTCCGCTCACGAGATCACTTACAAAGCCAGCAGACAGGAGTGACAAAAGCCAACCTATCGCCATCACGCATATTAGAGCTCAGCGAGCAATGGTCTTGGTCGGATTGGTCCGATATCGCCGGCATCCATACCCGACCCGTACAGTACAGAACCCGAGCCGTGGGTAAGTCGCAACCCGTCCCGCAGGGTGTCAAGGAGAATTGACCGTTGAAAGCATAAGAGACGAAATAAATTGATCACCTTATGCCAACTTAGGCTATCATTTAGCCTACTTCATTTCTGTAGCCTAAGTCTTAGAGGACATTTCTTCTGTTACCCACCCAGCCATCCCCCACCTGGGCTCTTCCATGGTTAGATTACCAATGATCATATGTCAGCCGAAACAAATGTGATGGCATAGGACAGAAAGGCAGAAAAAAAAAATAGGGACATGAAAGTCATAGCAAGGGCCGGAAGGGCCGAGTCATACGGTTGACATGCAACATTTGGTCAATTCGAGACTATGAGTTTCTTGCATCTCCGGGGAGAGCGACTGCTAAAGGAGATACTAATTCTTAGAGGTTGCTTCGTTATCAACTTATCAGTTACTTGCCCTGCATCTTTACCGTGACTGCATGCTTTAGAAACCCATGAGGAGATGCAATGCGGTGCGGGTGTGCTCCGCGTCTCCGCAGTCGGAATAAGGGCCCTTGATTTCCATCGAGAGAAATGGAATCGAAACCCCCGCCGTGGAAAAGCAGAAAGTGACCCCGCAATCCTGATATCAGATGTAATACCGTCCATCTGATATTCAGACCACACGGTACAACACCCCGTATGCTGGCGCAGACCGCACAGTTCGATTCTAGTGTCGCACGGAGTGCCGTTTGCATTTGACTAATTGATTCGGCACGCACTACGAGAGTCAAAAGCCAGAGCCTAACGTTGCCATCATATCTTTAAAACGTCCAGTCCTTCTCCTCATACAACCTTTTTTCGCTCCCTACCTAAGCCTCGTTTATTTTCTTTTCATTATTCGTGACACTACACAACAATGGCGCCCGCGACTCTCGTGATCGATAACAGCGACGACTTCGTCATGCCTGTCACAAAGTCTGTTCAGTCTACATCGCCACCCAAGCGAACCCTTCTTCTGGCACCTCCCTCTCTTGCTGCCAACGCGGATGCCCTTTCAACTGTCCTAGCCGACTATGATCGCTCTATCACCGATCTCCAGATGCTGGACCGTCTATCTGTGGGATTGGTCAATTTGCCTGCTTCAACCTACGACATCGTCCTCGTCCTCTCCGATGCGTCTTCCAAGTTGGACGAGTCCCTTGGCTTGATGAACCGAACAGTTCTGGGCCCCGTTGCCGATTCTCTGAAGCCCAGCGGTCGTTTGCAATCTCAGAATGGCAATGCTTTGGAGGAACCAAGTTTGGCAAAGGAAGCAGTCTTGGCTGGCCTCGTCTCGTCGCAGGGCGGTTTCGAGAAGCCCGATTATGGCGATAACGATGGAGCTGTCACACTGAAGTTTGGCAAGAAGAAGACACAACCTGCTCCTTTGGCAGATGGTTCTGTTCCGCTCAACCTTAAGAGGAAGCCTGCAGAGGCTGCTCCCAAGCCTGTTGTCCCTGCTGGTGTCGGCTTCATTGATCTCGAAGACGACCTTGACGATGACGAGCTCATTGACGAGGACACTCTCATGACTGAGGAGGACCTTGCCCGTCCTATTGAAATTCGTAAGTTTTACCTGAAAACCCAAGGAATGAATCATCATTAACATTGTCCTAGCTGCCGAATGTCAACCCAAGGCTGGCAAGCGTCGCCGTGCTTGCAAGGACTGCACTTGCGGTCTTGCCGAACGTCTCGCCGCCGAGGACGCCGACAAGCGTGCTACAGCCGACAAGCAACTCGAGAGTATCAAGCTGGCAACCGACGATCTGGCTGAGATCGACTTTACAGTTCAAGGCAAGGTTGGCTCATGCGGCAACTGCTCACTTGGCGACGCTTTCCGATGCGATGGATGTCCTTATATCGGACTTCCACCTTTCAAGCCTGGTGAAGAGGTTCGGTTGCTCAACAACGATGTGCAACTGTAAAACTTTGGACCGATTCTTTCTTTTTTTCCCCATGGATGACGGCGCAGCACTGCAGGCGTATATACAAACATTACTGGGTGGTTTGGTTATTTTTGGGCCACGGGATAGGATACAAAGGCTTCGACATACAAAGCCAGGGAGTAAACAGCAGATTTTATACGGAGCGCTCTTGATCTAGATATGGAGTTGTCGGCGTAGTATCGGACCAACATAGATGACGATAAAAGACATGATTCTATTCAACGTTTATCCTAAACAGAACGCCAGACTTTCCACTGGTGACATGACAAACTGCCATATGCAAAGTAAACAGAAACCTCAACGCCAACTAAGTGTACACATATAGTGAAGTGTTCCAAGTAACGACAAGCTCAAGTGTATATCATATATTTGTCGTATCTATTCGGCGTACTTGGTGATGAACTTCTCGCTGCCGTCTTGGTTTCTTGGGAACCTGGCGCTTGTACTGGTCCCCGGCGTTGTCACATGCAAGTCATCAAGCTCGCTTTCATCAAAAGCGGCGGACTCAAGATCACCGGGCTGCGACTTTGCTCGGTTACCGTTGGAGCGCCGAGAAAGATCATGATCAGCGAGAACGGAGTACGCAGCACCCTTGCGACGCTCGCGCCAGATCCAGTATCCCCAAGCAATAGCGCCAATGACAACAATGACCAGAACAATCTCACCAGACTTATAGTAAGCCGCCCACTTCGCTTCATCCAACTGCTTCTGGTGTTCTTGGTCAGCGGTCTGGGTAGTGTTCTTGGCATTGCCAACACTGGTCTCAGGTCCCTTCTCGCCATCAATACGGCTGTCGGCAGGATCGCCACCAACACTGCTGATATCGACACCCATAAAGCGATCCAGCATGTCTCGGCTCCGGCGAGGGAGATCGAAAGGAACCATGTGCGAGGAGTTATAGACAAGAACGTAGGTCAGGTTTCGAGCCTCTTGCCAGAAACCCGCTGTCTCGCCCTCAAACTCCCAATCACGTCGAGGAGCCCAGTTACCAGGCGTCACCTCGAAGCCCTTTCCGCCGTTCCATTCCATCTTGTTAATCATGTTCTCGGTTCCAATGTGATTGCAGATGAGGTCCTCGGCTCCAGAGAAAAGCATGATGGGAACTTCCTTAAGAAGCTTGGGAAGAAGCTCGACGGCGGGCTTCGAGTTCCTTGCATGGAAGGCGCCTCCAACAGCACCGTTACACTCTGTCCACCCAACAGACTTCTTCACACCATCGACATGGAGAGCGCTGGTCACCTCAGGCTTCCTCAAGTAGGGGGTTAGGTGCACCAAATCCGGAGGCCAGTTCATACCACAGCTAGGGTAGGAGTCCTTGAGTCGTACGTCGTACATGTTGATGCATGCGTTGTCGCCGTCACCCTTCTTGGTCAACTTGAGCATATTGGAGAGAATAGCCTCGCACTCTCCATAATCCACATGACCAGCGTCCGAAGCCATCATCTTTTCACAGCTGCGCCAATCGGCCTGGAGCTTCTTGTGGTCGTCGGAGTCCTTCTCGATAAGGCCCTTCTCGATTCCATATGTAATGTAAGCAGGATACTGCTCGGCTGGAGAGATCCAGCCGTTGCCGATCAAGAGTCCCTTCAGGTTCCATGCGGTTTTGGGGTCCTTCTTGTTGCGATCGAGAATTGCCCTGGCGATGTAAGGAATGTGTTGTCCAGCATAGGACTCGCCTGCGATGTAGATCTAGCTAGTCTTAGCATACTGACAATCTCGCAATATTAAATTCTACTCACGTCATCGCGGTCGTATTGAGGAAAGAGGTCAAACCACTTCTCGAGGAAGATGACGAATTGGTCGGCCATCTCCTTAAGCTCGTGAATGTAGTTGTTGGTATCGACGGAGCTGAAGCCCGTGCCGACGGGGTTGTCGACGAAAAGAAGATTGGCGAACTCGTTCCAGGAGCCATTGTTGTACATCAAATGGTCTTGATCCTTCAGGCGATAAGGACCAATTTCCATCATGGAGCCATCTTCGGAACTACAACCTGGTCCACCATTGATCCAAATGACGGTTCGCTGTTTATCGGCGATATGTTGATTCTCGAAATGCCAGAAGAATAGGTTTCCATGCGTATCAGGGGTAACCTCGATATGGCTGTGATGCAGACAGACGCGTCAGCAGGTCAAAGCACAGGGAGGAAACAAGCTGACTTACCCAGCATGCATGTTGACTTTGGGCCCGTCGGCGGGCAGACCTGGAAGATCGCGAACATAGTAGTCGGCAGCCGCAGCTTTTGTTGTTGTCGCAGCATTGGCGGCAGTGGCCAGAGCTGGCGCAAGGGTGAAGGAGAGTAGAGCGACCCATCGTCTCGGAGACGGGATCATCGATATAAAAGCCATGATGGATAGCGTTGCGGACGAAAGACGCCGCGGGCGAAGATGAAGGGACACTTGAGAGAAACCACAATGTCCAGTGAAGAATAATCCAACAAAAATCAGAAAAGGGAAGAAATGAATGCCCTGCCTGACAACGAAGACATGAGCAAGCAGAGTTGCGACTGGAATGAATGAAGAGCCAGGTCGGTTCTTGAAATGGAGATGAAGGGACGGGCAGTCTTAGGAGAGATGAGGTGGCCTCGGGACCCCGGGTTCTAGTGTGGGCCAGGTAGTAGCTTCCGCTGTAGTATTAGTGGCGGCAGGACCTCTGATGCTGGTCGCAGCTGTGGCTTGGCGCTTTATCCTGCCCGGTTGCAGTATTATTCGAGTATCCGGGTACCTAGTGTGCCCGCTGTAATTCTTCCGCCTCAGGGGTCTTGGTCCACTGATAGCAATCTCCTGTTTTGGGTTGTTTCTCGGAGTTGTTAAAGCCGAATCTTTAAACAGTTTCGCGCCGAGTATCATATATATGTATCTCAAACACGGAAATGTTTATACTAGATAATTATTTAAATGTTTGTTATTTTGTGTCCTTTTTCTGATCCTCTAGGTATGGATGTTTGTCTTGGCTTTATTGGACTAAAGTGGCGCTGTTGCTATTTGGTTATCAATAAGAATCAGCTTCGTTCTATGTGTGTAAAGTACCTATATGCATTGTCATACAGTACTATCAAGATTCCAGCCATGATGCATGATTTCCTACTGCGAGATGAAGAATTAATTGATTTCTGCAGTTCCTGTTGATATCATTTATATCTCATATTTGTTGATTGAACGGAATGGGAAACTGAACATCCACTGACGATCATTAGATCCAATTGCTTCAAGACTGGATGCTAAATTTAATGGGTAGGAGTTTTCAAAACCCTCTCTTCCCCAGCCAATCAACGTCATCACCACACACTCTTTCGTAAAGCCTCACATGAGGTAACCAAAAGTGAACTTGTATCATTTTCGATATCAAAGAAAGAAAAATCGATACTCTGATATTCATCACCAAAACTTGCCTAGTGCACTCGCCGCACTGATACAAACCAACGTTGCCCCTCATCCCAGAACAAAGAAAAAAATGGCAGCTAACGGCAAGACTTTTATTGTCGAGCATCTCGACCCTGAGTTAGGCCCCTGGTCAGAGCTTGAGTATCTCGCCATTGCTCGCGAGACTCAGGCTACTCAGGGATCTTTCATTCTCTCTAGTCTGCCTCCTACTTTCCAGGTTCCAACAGATCTCGCCAGCAACCCCGCCTTCACTGCTGAGCAGCGTGGTGTTGAGGAGCTTTATGCTGCCAACAAGCCCAAGGTTTGCCTGCTTGATCCTTCTGCCGCCAAGGACCTTTCTCCCGAGGATGGCGAGACCTTTGATGCCTTCTTGTTCGGTGGTATCCTCGGTACGTTCAAAAACCCGGGGATCAAAAGTAATGGATGATTCATGCTAATGTTCATATGCAATCAATAGGCGATGACCCCCCACGAGGTATGTATTTATTGTAGCATAACTCTCACTATTCCAACTGACTGGCAAAATAGACCGTACCTCGGAGCTCCGAAAGAAGGGCTTTGAGGGCCGCAGACTTGGTCCCAAGCAGATGACAACGGATACTGCCGTGCGAGTTACCCGTATTGTCGTTCAAGACAAGGGTTTGTTATACTTATACCTTACCCCTGCAACATGAAGCTTACCATATATCAGTACCCCTCGACCAGGTTCCCTACCTGGACTACCCCGAGCTCAAGTTCAACGAGCATGAGAGCACTGAGATGCCTTTCCGTTATGTCAAGGGTGAAGATGGCAAGCCTATCATGCCCAAGGTTTGTGAATTTCGATAGTGCCATTGACCAGAAGCTAATACTTCAATCTAGGGCATGGTTGAGTTGATCCAGAAGGATGCCGATAAGGCCGTTAATGACCTTTTTTAAATACAATATCCATATGGATTCAAGTATAAAGTTAGAATGGACTTGGATGGAGATATCTAGGCTGATGCCGGAACGATCTGTGATGCCGCATCACTTTGGGGGAAACCGCCAGTGTGAAATAAAACCCACCGTTTACTCTCCATAATGGATCTCATGCTTCAAGGAATATTTTATCTGATCATACCATGGCGAAGAATCATCGGCTCTGTACTTATTTGGTTGATTAAGTTAAGCAAGTGTCCTGGCGCATACAATGCTTCGTCTTCACCTTGTAGTATGACATTATATACCACGTATATGTTCCATCGATGATCACGAAACAACACGTCAGAAGAGTTTCCACTGAAGTATCTGTCGTTTGCTGCACTAATAAGAGATATATCAACGCTCTTAAATGGGCTTTGAGATCTACCCTGGAGGAACTACCTGGGATACGCACTTGTATGTTCGACAACGTATGACTGTGTTTAAAACAATTATTTGAATAGTCTCTGAGTTTGATTAGATACCTGAGTGCTCTATTCAAGTATTACAAATGTTAAACAACCTCGAACATATACGGTTCAGAACCAAAGTTGAATGCAAATAGCCGAGAAATGCAATAAACGGAATAGATATAACGAGAACCAATCGACGAGCTTCTACGTTGACAATTTGACATCAACTCGATAACAAGCTTAATCATATAGGCTTGCTTGAAGATTTAGGGATCTATCATGTGTGAGTAGTCATGATGTTTTCATATCTCAACAAATCTAGGTCGTTGCTCGGCCGGAATATTCCCCAATGGCGACGATGCTTCTCTCAAAGTACACCACGCCGCTCGTCAGACCCCCTACGCATTCTCTTCTGCGGCTCCGATGAGTTCAGCTGTGCATCTCTTAGAGCTGTTCATGAAGAGTACACTCGAAACAAGGGTCTGATTGAGTCGTTGGAGGTTATGGCTCTACCGCCAAAACGCACAGGAAGAGGATTTCAACACCTGAATCAAGGCAAGTCAAAGGGTTTCCCAAGTTCCATAGCAGGAGACTAATGCAACGCAGTACCTTGTAAGATTCAAGCAGAAGAGTTGGGATTGAATATACACGAACAGGGCACATTTACGAAGTGGGATGTAAGTTCTGGACCCCTGGACTGAGTGGCATGAATTAGTTACTGAAACTCTCTAGCTGGCCAGCGGAACAAATCTTGTGATTGCAGTGTCTTTTGGACTTTTTGTACCACCAAGGATCTTGAGATCAGCTAAGTACGGTGGCCTCAATGTGCACCCTTCACTACTCCCCGAGTAAGTCTTAGTACCGTACTATCGGAAATCGAGAAACTAATTGTGGCAGCCTACGTGGACCTGCACCAATTCACCACGCGATATTAAGAGGAGACACTCATGTTGGTGTTTCACTACAAACACTAGACGACAAAGCGTTTGATCATGGAACCGTGCTATCTCAAACACCACGCCCGGGAATACCAGTACCGCCCGGTTGCACCGTCAAAGAACTCACAGATCTCCTTGCCCCAATTGGAGCGCAGATGCTGGTACAAAGCCTAAGGGACGGCCTCTACAAACCACCGCACCAAAATAAAGGATGGAAGGGTGAAGAGCTCGATCAAGGGCAGCTCACTCATGCACCAAAGGTCAGCAAAGCTGATGGACACATCAAGTGGTCCAGCTGGACTGCGGATGACATTGTACGGAGGGTACGAGTCATGAAGTCGCTTTGGACAGAAGCTATCAACAAGAAGGGAGAGACAAAACGCCTGATTTTTTCAGATGCCGAGGCCATAGCTCTTGGCGGTTTCAATGGCAATGGTGCCACAGTTCGCTTTGTGGAAGGTCAAGGGTCAGGAGTATTCAGGACTATTGTGTCAGACCAAGGCGACGGTAGTTACGCCATTGCTACTTCAGACGACAGAATGATTCGAGTGAAGAAGATCAAAGAAGAGGGTAAGACGGAGAGGGAGGCTAAGGTGACACTAAGGTCTTATATCGAAGCGTAAGAACATACCCCGAGACCTTTAGTTCGTTGTGCGTTACTGTTAAGCCCAATCGATGTATTATGGTTATAAAAAGGACGGCAGTAATAGAGTGCTTCATCAAATTTATTCTCGTTTCTCGTTCTCCGCAATTCATTTTCAGGGTATCATTCAACTCCATCCTTCGTCTCGAGCACCACGTCTAGTCTAAACCCCTCATGCAAGTCTTGTACGAATCCATTCTGCCCATTTGCACAAGTCCTCCATATGTTCCAGCACTTTACCCAAGTCCGCTCGTGTAAGCCTCTTTCCCTGTGCATTGTCCTCAGAACGAGGAAGGACGTTCTCTTCGGCAACATCAACAACCCCATCCTCTAGGATCTTCAGTGTGATATTGGCGATTGAGTCCTTGAAGGGGAAGACAACCTGTAAATGGGGCATTGGATGAACCCACAAAGTAACGTCGAGCTTCAACTCTGAGGGCTCAGGAGTCGCAGTCTCATCAGACACAGAGGCTGACTTCATGAAATCAGCTAGCTCATCCCGAGTAGTAACATTTGACTTAGGTTGTTGCACCGCGGCATCTCCTCGCTTAGGCAGTGGTCCGGCCTCTTTTGTCTCCGATCCAAAGCTGTTCTCAAGTAACGTTGCGAGGAAGGCATACTGTCGGAGTAGTGGAAGCATATAAATAAGCTGCTGGGGGTGAGAGAATGGGATCTCGGTAACCCTGTGCGAGTAAACCTGCTTATAGATGTACAGGGTGTTGCGGTGAGGTTTAAGAGCCGGCTTCTGATTCTTATCGTAAGTTCGGACATCGCGTTGGCGAGAGATTGCACGGAGCTCGCTGGGATCCTGGGCACTCCCTGGAGGAATAGGGAAGAGTAGACTGTCAAAGGTCGGTACGTAGCCGTAAAGTTGGGGCGTCTTCATGTTGACGATGGTGTATAGATGTGACCAATCGTTGTGAGACATGATGATTGGCGGGTCAAAAGTAGCGATGAACATGACTTGCGGTACCCTCGCTGTAGACAGGTCTGGCTGAAGCATCTCCATTCCGGCATTCTTATTCTCCTCCGAGGGTGGGAGCACAACGTTGCCAGGTTCTTGCCAATCCAGATTTGGCTGCTTGGGGTTGATGGAAGGCTCTGACTTTATGACATCTTTGGAAAGCCAGTTCTCAGAGACTCGCACAGGCATCACCTCGTCAATTATAGGAGCACATCCGATAAGAAGGGACCAGACTTGTTCTCGCGATGCAGTAAATGAAGCCATCTGCTCATTCGTTGGCTGAATATGACGGAGAACCTTCCAATATTGTAGTGCCAGTCCTACTCGGTCTTTTGAGTGCATAACAGGGAAGCCGTGGCGGGTGCACATTGCTGCCATGGATAAAGCACCATCTGATTTGTCACTCATTCCTGGCTCTTCGCGAAGCTTGGCGACATCCCACTGATGGAGTCTCTCCAGGCTAGCATAGATGCCTGCCAGTGCTTCATGGCAATCGAGACCCGGGACGATGCTGAGTTTATCCAAGACGGCTAATCGTTCAAGGTTGTTCGCGAAATCATCGAGCGTTTTTGTCAACGGGCTTTGGTTTGGGCGAAGTTGCAGGTCTTTCAGAAGAATCTCACTTGCTCGGCCAACATGCTTGGTAACCGATGCAGCAGATTCTGGAAATGCCAATGAGATATTCTCGACAATATTATTGTCCAAAATAATGTCAAGCTGAATGGCCGAGCCTGCTATGACGAGAGTTCTTTGTTTTCGGCCATCAGGTGCTGTGGTGTCTTCTGAGAGGCAGTCGAGTCCTATGCGCTGCGCCAGACGCTCCAAGCCAGCCTCGCTTACAAGTCCCTTCTTTTTCTGCGTCGAGTTAGCAAGGCAAGAGGATGCGTAGAATGGAACGTCCATACATCTAAAGTTGCAATAATCGTCTCCAACCGTTTAAGCTTGTCGTCCTCGTTCACGAGGGATGGCAGCCCGCCCAGATTACCAACGTCGACGTTGTTCAGATTCACATCAAGACCGCCTGTGATACCAAGAGCGCCCATGGCCGCAGCAGTAGAAGGACTGTCAAAGTTCAGGGGGACATTTGACATATGCGCCATCAGCGATGATGTGGCAGGCGACTTCTTGAACTGCTGCGGCGAAGATTTCGGACCTCGGGGGGAGAAGGCAGCGTGAGCGGGGTTCGAGAACGGAGTCGATACGGGAGGAGTCGCGGCGGCGAGTTGCGAGGGAGTGCGGCCCTGTTGCGAAGCGTGCTTCATGGCTGTTGGTGTCGCCATTGTGAAGATATCAATGCCCTCTTTGTGAGGGCTCAAATCGCGACGTGTTTGATAGATGAAAGATGATTATTGGTTGACAAAAGTGGGTGTATTAGATATGGCGTAAGTTCAATGGCGACTATCAGTGAAGTATTTGGGATGCAGAAGTTATAGCCAAACAGTCAAGCAGTTCAAGATTCAAAATGGTTGGAGGTTGGAAAGTCAACATTAGATGCAGTAGCTGTACTGCCTGCATGGCTCGGCCCCACCAAAGCCGACAGTGGAGGACCCCTGGTCGGGTTAGCTAGGTCAGAACCTACAGTGCCTTTAGCGCTATAGGGCGGGAGCTCAAAGATTTGGGCGGCGGGGAGCAATTACCTATGCGACTTCTCACTTCGACTTCACGACGGGAGCAATGACTTCCACTGGCAACCTCTCCCGCACTGCGGTACGTGCTTCTTCTCAAGCCTCAGAGCACACCATTCGTTCTTCATCAACGAAAGTCCATAGATCCGAGCTACAAGCGCGGTCTTTGTATCTTTGGGTCTGGCCTGCACCTGTCAACTTTACTGAGAGACGATCGATTTTGAAAGCGCTTCAACAACACGGCCCAGTCGAGTCTTTTAAATGGTTACCGGTATGATCATTGATCTAACATAGAGATGCTTGAGAAGATCGCTAATCGCATTACATTGCAGGGTCAAAGCTCCAGTAACGTCTTAGGTTCCATCTTCATATCTTTAATGAAAGAAAGCCAAGATGCCGCCAAAGCTATTTCTTCCAGCCCGCTTAACATCACTGTCCCTAGGTCCAGCACGGAGCCGACATCCGTCGTAAAGATGGATGGCTTGAAAGCAGAATTCCAGAAGCCGGACTCTTCGAAAGAACAGAAATCAGAATTTCTTGTTGAAATTTCGGAGACCCTCACATATAGACATGAGCAGAGCGCCAAAAACTCACCATTGACCAGACCATGGCCGGAATTTGTTGTCAAATCACCAACGTTCGCATCGAAAACTCTAGAGCGATCTCTTCCTGACAACATGGCAGCCATTGGGTTGAGGCACTGGGATGTTGACTTGGGACAACAAGAAGTGGCAGACAACAAGAGATTTGAAAGAGAGCAAATGCGCAATTGGCTCCCAAGCAAGATAAAAGATCCCGCTGCCAAATCAAAGGCGACCCAGGGTCAACAGGAGGTTACCTCTTCGGCTGCCTCTTTGGAGTTTTCGACCGAGAACACTACAGAAACTTCTACGAAAGAGAAGATGGTAGAGACCTTGCCTGAAAAGGCAGCAGAAGAGAAGACGGAGACTTCGATAGGGAAGCCAGCCGATGATATTCGGAAAACTCAACCGAGAGCCCAAAATGACGAACAATAAACTTGAAGGCCAAATAACGTTTGAACACCACCAAGAGAGGGAGCCGCGTAATACCATTTATGCGAGCCAAGACCTCAAGATCTTAGCCTCGAGTCTATGGCTTAGTCGGCACTTGCGCAACACATTGCTAGTGTTCCCACCTTATTGACTCAGCCATGTTGAGAATCAATCACTTTTCCAAACACAGCGCGGATCATGGCCGTTTATCGCAAAACACAGCGCACAAGGAGACATCATTTCTGCCACGAATATGCTCTACAACAAGGAACCTTTGCTAAGAATAAAGATGGTTCCACACGGGTTAAACCAAGAAGTCTGACGCAGCTTTCGATGAAGGAAATTCTTAGTTTGGATGTTCTACCCGTGGTTCAATTCCTCTGAATCATTCAAAGTCAATTGCCAAGATGGGTGTGACGTTGGCCCTTGAGGAACAACTACTTTAACCACTTTACAGCAAAAAAGTAATCAAGCAAGGATCCTAGTCTCGTCTCATCTGGCCCGAAATGCAGGGTCATGATCGATCCCGAGGGAGAAGACCCCCAAAACAAGAAATTTGGGGCGGCCCACATCCTGGCAGATGAGCCACGATTCGACCAAAGCCACTTGACTTTACGTCACTGGGTAGTAGAATCGGCATCTTGCGACGAGGGAAGCTATACCGTGAATTAGCAAGGCTTGGCTCTGATCATGGCGGATTTCGGCACGTACGAGCGCTGGAACAAGGCTTGGTGATGACGTCTCACCCGAAAAGTCGCAGCTTCTGGCTGTATCTGTGCCGTGTCCAAGTGTTGGTTCCTGGCATGGATGGCATCATGACCCTGAAACGACGGTAATCTGTACAGCTATATATGTGCATCTTCTTCCTCGGGTTTCGTTAATATTTTCGTATTAGCACAGACAGACAACAAGATCGCATTTGGACATTGATATCAAGTCTCGACTTGTATATCCATCACAAGCCATACATACAACCGCCACATCCACCTCTCACTTACACCACAACGCCAAAATGGGTCTCGGAAGATTCATCCACCATGTCGGTGCCTTCTTTCTTCTGGCAGCAACAATCATGCTCATTGTTGTGAGCATCACCGCTCCTGTGGTCAATCATATCGCCCTCCTCAAGGTTCGATCCCAAGGAGACGGCGTCAACTTTGGTACATTTGGTTATTGTCTGTTGCGAAGCGGCCAGAGGTAAGCCACACTCTCTTTCCCTCAAAGACAACTTCACCAACTAACAAACTCAATAGTGATCGCTGCACAAGCTCCCACATCGGTTATGATCCCGCCGATGCTCTCCCAGGCACCGGCATGTCCGAGATCAGCTCCAACACTGCAAAGGCCATGACATATGTCATGGTTCTTCACCCTATCGCTGCTGGACTCTGCTTCATTGCTTTCCTTCTGGCCATCGGTGCCGGCATCTTTGGCTCTCTTATGTCAACTCTCGTCTCCGTCGCTGCCTTCATTGTCACTATCATCGCTTTGGCTTGTGACTTTGCTGGCTTCTCCATCATCCGACGACGAATCAACCGCGACACCAATGCCACTGCCAGCTGGTCTGTCGGTATCTGGCTTGTTCTTGCCGCTGCCATTCTTTGCCTCATTGGCACAGTCGCTGTGTTTATCACCTGCTGCTCTGGCCGCCGCAAGAAGAGCCGTGAGCAGAAGAAGATGGAGGCTTACAACTCTTCTCCTACCCGTTACTAAACAACCGAACATCAGCAATGATGCTGATTACACAACCAAATATTCACTTGTTAACAGAAAGAGGTGGACTAATTACGACGATTGGAACATACCAATACCCCAGGGCTTTATTGAAATATGAGATCACGAATTTATCTATTCAGACGGAGTCTTAATAGAGGCGATACCAGCGTGGCGTATGTCACATTGAATCTTTACTTGTCATTTATTTAAACTTAATACACTGCATATACTATCAACTATCATATTCGCTACAAAGTGATGCATACTAGTTTTGACCTAATCGATCAAGCGTGAAATATTGACACCGTCCCACAGGGGAAGAAGAAACGTCTCAAGGCGAGGGCTGTTCAGTGCCATCTCATTGAACTCACGGATAGCCAAGATGTTTTTCAGTTGGTCCCCCTCAAGCTTGTCGTCGCCAAGTGCCTTGTCGTCAGCGACCAGACCTCGACGTAGAACATTATCTGAGACAATGAGTGCTCCTGGACGAAGAAGTCTGTTGGAGTTGCCGGGCTTCGACAGTTCGAGAAGCTGCCTCAAGTACCCAGGATACCCGGTCTTGTCCGCATCTATAAAGACAAGGTCATATGGCTCAGAAGGATTGAGTTTAGGTAGACTATCCAAGGGCGTTAACATTTCGGTACAGGTTATACTTTCGGATCAACTTACGATTCAGACGCAGGACCAACAATGATCTCTGCGTTCTTCACTCCGTTCGCCTCAAAGGCTTTCTTAGACAAGTCGGCATATTCGGTTTCAAATTCCAATCCTGTGACAAGTCCATCTGGGCCGACGGCGTCAGCCCAGACAAGGGCAGAGAATCCAATGTAGACACCGATTTCAAGGACTATTGCCACATTTGTTAGTTATTGTTCCTTAACAGTTGAGCCAGGTCAAGACTTGTATCTATAACCACTTACCTCTCTTGGTGCCAGTGGACTTGACGAGAAATTTGTTAAACTGGGATTGAAAGACAGAACTCATATAGTTGGAGTCTTCGCGATTAGCAGAGATCTCGGCATGATAATCGCTGATGTACTTGGGCAGCGTGGTTGAGTATTGCTCCGCGTAGGAGGTAACAGTCTGGCCCAACTGAGGCGACGCATAAAGAGGAATGCTATTATCTTTCATATTGTAAGTTGTATGATTGATTCTTTGATTGATAACGACAGCTAAAATTGCGAAAGCATTTGTTTATATATGCATCTGTCTTGTTGATCCCACCATCCTCCCCTCATCGACCCACCAATAGAGCGAAGCCATCCTTCGTATGTTCGGCAACTCAGCTCGGATTTAAGATGCTCAAAGTAAAAGCACATTGACGTCAGATGTGAATTCACACGATGAGTTCGGCGATATAATGTCTATCCGATGTTTATTCCGAATAATTCACCGTTCTGTGGCGGTCTTTTTGTTGTTGTTCACATGGACAGGAGTGAGGATCTTGTATATCAGGTACAACTAAACGAGTGGACAATCAATTGAAGACCTATCTAGATGTCTACATATGCAGTCCAATAGAATTAAAATGGCCGTGTTCCAATGATCTTTTAGTAAGAAAAGACAGAAAAAGAAAGACAAGACAGACAAGCAATATCTTAGTCCATAAACCATTATGTCTTGTCTAATTGCTCAGCCCATTGTATCGCCTTTATAAGCCTAGGCCTTAAGCTCAAAGGAGCATCATGCCGACAATACCGACAGCAAGGGTGCCGGCAATGGAGACGGTGCTGGAGCTGGCACCTGACTTGGAGACAGTCAAGGGAACTCGGGGAGCTTCTCCGGAGCCCTCGCCCTGAGGTCGAACCTGCTCAGGCTGGACAGGGACAGGAGGCTGGGGAGGGGCGGGAGCAGGCACAGGAACAGGCTTGATCTCCTCAGGCTTGGGCATAGGAGGAGGGGCTGGCATAGGTTCGACCTTGGGAGGTTGAGGCTCAGAAGCAGGAGCAGGCGCAGGAGCAGGCATGGGCTTAACCTCAGGAGCGGGAGCGGGAGCTGGACAGCCCTTGATCTTGTCGCAGATATCCTCCTCCTCCTTCTGGGGGTACTGAGGCTGGGGAGCAGGGACCGGAACAGGCTCAACCTTGGGTTGCTGAGGAGCGGGGGCAGGGACAGGTACAGGCTTCACCTCGGGGTATTGAGGTTGGGGAGCGGGAGCAGGAGCAGGGCAACCTTTGATCTTATCACAGATGTCCTCCTCCTTCTTGGGGTACTGAGGCTGGGGAGCGGGAGCGGGAGCAGGTAGAGGCTTCACCTCAGGGTAATGGGGCTGAGGAGCAGGAGCAGGAGTAGGGCAACCTTTGACCTTATCGCAGACGTCCTCTTTCTTGGGCTCGTAGTGGACCTTGGGCTGTTCCTTTTGAGGCTCGATCCTCTCACAGACAATCTCTTCTTTTCTGTACTTTCCGTGGCCACTGACGATCTTACGGCAGATGTCCTGGTGCTTGTGCTCCTTCTTGGGAGGTTCCTTCTGGTACTTGATCTTGTCACAAACAGTCTCCTCGTACTTGTTCTCACCATGTCCCTTGACAACCTTGTGGCAGATATCCTTCTCCTTCTCCTTCTTCTTTTCTTCCTCGACGACAACGACAACCTTCTTGGGCTGCTCCTTGGGCTTCTCAACCTTGGGGGCTTCAGGGGCCTTGGTCTGCTTGGGGACAATGACAGTAACACCCTTGTGGGTGTATGTCTTAGCGTTCTCGTACTCTCCAGTCTTCTCAGGAGCGTACTTGGTGGTCTTGGCCGCCTCACCATAATTGCCCTTGTGGTTCTTGCAGTGCCAGCAGCCAGGTTGAGCCCAGTCATTGCCACACTCCTTGCAAGGCTTGCGATCGCACCTGTCACCGTAGCACTTGGGGCTGAGCTTAGGATCATGGTACTTGGTGTAGGTATGATGCTCTACAATGGGCTTGTGAATGTAGTCATACTTCTTGCCGTCGATCACGTAGGGCTTCTTGTAGTGGTGAGCATCGTAGTGATCGCCGTTGTGCTTGTGCTTTTCAGCATGATGCCCGTGATGTTGCTTGTGGTGCTCAGGGTCATACTTCTTGTTGTCCTTGTGTTCCTTCTCCTCGGTCTCATATTCCTCCTCCTCTTCTGCTTCCACCTTCTCTTTCTCCAGCTTTTTCTTCAGCTTCTGGAGCTTCTCGTAGTCGTCCTTGGATTGCTTCTTCACTTCCTCGACCTTCTTGTCTTCTTCATCGTCAAGAAGAGATCCGACCCACTTCTTGTCCTCGTCTGGCTTGAGTACCTCGTTTGACTTGAACTCATTGTCAAGACCTTGCTTGCTGACATCGGTCTCAGCGTTGCTTTGCCAGGAGAACCGATTGGCCTGGGCAAGGCCGTTGACAAGGGCCATAACGGCCAAGACGTTATGCCTCATGGTGAATGCTGATACAATGTAAAGGAAGATAAGATTGTGTACAAAACGATTGACTGAATACAAGCGAAGAGCTGTCCGTTACAAGTCCTAAGAAGCTGAGGAGGAAGTTCAAGCAGACGGACATCATGGAGGAAATGGTTGATTTATACCTGCAACTTTGCATTGCTTGATGACAAAGAGACGAGGATTTTGCACCAAGCTGCTCACTCATCTGCGAACATTGCCTCAAGTTGAGGCAATAGGGGACACCGATTGCCCCAGAGACCTGACGCCCATTCACAAAAATCCCTTTCCATGACCCTCACTCATCACCAAACGGCATGCTGAGAGGATGATAGAACATTGAGGCTTTACAGACGACCTCTCGCTTCTCGAGGACACCATAGAAAGTACCACCGGATAAACCACCCAACAAGGTTTGCCAGCACCACGACAACAGTGCGGGGAGGTCGTGTATCCAAAGGCAACAGAAGAGGGGCGTACAAGGACGAGTAAGATGATGAGAAAAGATGATAATACCCAAATCCAATTGTTTCGATGCTACCGCTGAAAGACCGAACATTACGTCCGCCCGCTGCCTGACACATAATACTCGCTATTAACTTGCACAATCTCAGCCCCTTCTTTTATTTTGCAATGCCTCCCGTTCTCTTCCGTGCCAAAGATTACCTTTACCTTAACCTAACGCCCCTGATTTCAGTCGAGCAAGTCGGACCTGCGGTGCTTATTCCCATTTCCGATCTCCAGCCGTCCTCTATTCCTCCGGGACACCTGAGAATAGTCCGAACCGCATTCGGTGGCTCTGCGAAAAGTTAGTATCAAGTTGCATAGAAACATACCGACTATATGACACAAGAGGAACGTTTTAGGTTCAGGAAGGAACCCAATGGGAGCACAGGAGAGTAGAGTAACGTACAAAAGGTAGCTTAGGGATGACGACTCCCAAGACAGCCAAAAGGTTGATGGTAAAGTACGTCAAGTCGTAATGTGTGTAGTGAGTGCTGACAAGGAACAGTGCGATTGGCACACTAAGAAGGAATTTCTTGGTAGGTGTGTATTGTGCCCCGTTATCAATTTGCTCCCACATGTTGAGGTTGTCAAAGGCGCCGCTGTTGAAATCGAAAGGAACGCCGCGGACATGGTGGAACATGATGTAGGAGCCAAACATGTAGGACATGTTGGTAAGGGTCCACGACGTCTCCTGCGAGACACCAGGAATGGCGTCAAAGATAATCTTGGCGCAGAGAATCAGGACAAGATGAATGGTCCAGGCACCTGTAGTTGGCGGTTTATGTCAGCATGTGGCTCTTGCAAGCAGACTGGTGCATTTGCACAACGATAGGTCGACATACCTTTAGCGTTTGTCCAGTTGGCGTTGAGATTAGGCAGAGAAGCCTGATCACTGATTTGCTCGAGGGTCTCAGGAGGCTCATGGTAGACCTGGAGGATACTGCTAGATCTCCTCCTTCGAGCTCCAGCAGCTCCTTCTCCTCCTGTGTTTCGCTCGGGCATGTTGAGATAGATACTGCCCCGACGCGGAGGTTTGTTCGCCGCGTCGTAGGAGACGGTGCGCTGAAGTAGAATTGGGGAAGACAGCTTGGCGGTATTGACGGGGTGAAGACGAAAAAAGCGTCAATCGAGCGGATGGAGGGGAGGATCGGCGGGTTCGTGACTGAGGCCGACGGACGCCCAGGATTCGCGCGTTATCGATGGAAGATAGTATTCCTTGTTAAGTTTGGAGTTGAAAGAAGAAGAGTGTAGTTGGAGGTTCCCCCTAATGATGTCACGGAGATAGCGTCCGGGGGCAAATGCGAAGCCAATGCAAGGGCAGGGCAAAGAAAGTGGCTTTGTATGTTTGATGCTGTATAATGAGAACGGATGGTCAGTAAGACGTGATAACGGCAGAGGCCAATATGAAGAATGAAGAACAAGTAAGTGAAGTGTCTGATCAAAGATGGACGGATGTTATTAGTTGGAAGTATCAAAAGAGAATCGACGTGGAAGGACTGGACGAGATGAGAGGGGATAGGATTGGATTGGATGCCGAACCGGAATATTCAATGTCCCCCGTAAGATGGTGAAGGAGCCACTCTCATGAGGAAAGGAGCCGACAGAAGGATGGAACAGCCAATCGACAGAAAGGGACACGCAATGCAACCTGGACGAGCAACGGGGATTAGGCGGAACAAGTGGGACCTGCTGCTGAAATTAGTGACTGTAGCGGGTGAGCTTGCAGCAGTAGTCTGCTGGAGCATGGTTAGTCCGGGGATTTAATCAGGGGACCTTCAAGGGATGGATGAATGGTGTAGGGTACATTTGCTTGTTCAGGGGCATGCATTTAACGTTTTGTCAATAATTAGGGGACCTATCCTTACTCACCTGACCTTTACAGCACCAAATATAGAGGTTTCTGTCTCGTGATGATTAAAATCGAGTTCGAAGGTTCGATCTGAGCAGGGATTGGCCGCATTCAGATCCAGAGATGGTAGAATAGGCCGAGAACTGGCCAGAACGCAACTAGTTATGGCCTGTGACCTTGCAATACGTCTGCGACGCCAAGGGGAAGGGGATCCAGAGCAGTCTCAACGTTTTGGTTAACCTACACGTGATCGGCTATTGGAACGAACAGCAAACGTTAATTCGAATCGCCATAGGATGTGACCGGCCAGGAGTTTGTTAGTGCTTGTTTTGAGTCAATGAATAAAGAAATCTTGCTAAAGCAGGTTGCGATGTTTTGTTATTTATCTGCTGTGATTGGACAAACAAAATGAAGCGAGATCTATGGGCCAAGATGTCGCAGCGAGATTACTGTCCGATTTATAGAAGCTCTGTTCTACCCGAAATGAGGAAGCAAAAGACCCATGACAATCCGACGATGGCGTGGAATGGCATGTCAAAGCTACGCAGCCACAAAACTGACATGGATTTTCGACCTCTACTATTATTCAGTGTACGACCATAGACGCGAAACAGAAGACAAGACGTCTGATACGGACCCACGACGTCTTGAACAGCGCACGGGAACGCTTGTAAATCGGCTGACATCAGGCGTATCTCGAAACACTGTATGTTGTTGCTTGATGAGTCAGCTTCGGTTAATCCTCGGAATGCTAACTAAGACTCGACACTGAGACACCATGCTTTTCCCTGCAGCGCGCTCTTTCCCTGATTGGCTAGCCGAGGAATTTTTCCTTGCAAGCCTGGTCTATCAACTTATCGATAGCATCACAGCCTTCATTTCGCGTCTCGTCTCCCTGATACGAAAGAGAAGCATCACCGCATCTCGCTTTAGCAAAAGCTTGACTTTCGCTACTTGAGTAACAGACCAGTCAGAGAGACCTGAACTGCCGTTGTAGCGCCATTAAGGCTGCTTTTTTGCTTTTCAATATCCTGCCAAACTTTACTCACATTACTTCATATCATAGGTACGTTAGTCAAAGTATTTTCCCATTGCATCAGAGATCAAGCCAACGCAGGTTACAAACGCCTCTCGGGTGAGACCTTGAATGGGATGTACGCGCCCGCCTATCCTAATACCATTTTTGCTGGACATTGTTTATTAAGACTTTTGATCAGATAACATTGGAAAATATTGACAAAGCCAAGTGGCTTCGAATACTGTGAGGTTGGAAGTTTTGCCTCACAGTTGATACGTCAAAGGTCGAAAGTCTGAGCACTTCATCAAAAGAAACACACCCCAAGACTTTACTATCACATTCACAAGCTATCTCTAGTACCGCTTCTTTAAGATGGCGACTGAAGATAATGACCCTGGTGATATCATCTACCTGTCTAGCGGCGACGAGGCCGAAGCCAAGGCTGCAGCTGTGAAAACCAAAAAGAGGTCCCTGGAGGATGCCTCCGACACGAAGAGTAACGATGGACAATCTTCAGCGCCCGAACCGAAGCGCTTGAGGAAAGATGCGTCTGCTGCACAGTCCTCCGAGACTGATACCTCATTGGGCGATGGCTCGAAATCTACGGGTGGCATTCCCGATTTCAAACATTCGGGACGGAGCTTCAAAATGCCTGAGTCTCCCAACCAGAAAAGCGGCTCCTGGTTAAAACGATTCAAGGTCTGGGTTACAGAATTCTTCGAAGCCAATTCAGACATCAACCATGCCATCAACGCGCAAGTAGCCGAGTCTGCTTACGGTTGGTACATCGACCACCAGAGAGATATGAAGGCGAGGAAGAAAAAGAATGCGAAACAAGTTGCTGAAGAATTTGGTGACCTCGAGGCTTTCCTCCAAAGTCTTCGACCTTCCAAAGCAAGATCTAATCAATCGACACTGGATAGCTGGTTCACTAAGCAAGCCAACAGGGAGCCGGTTCATAAAGGAAAACGCTCTTACGCCTCTAGTGTAAGCGAAGGCGAGATCAATGAAGCAGAGGAAAATGAGTCCGAGAGCGAAGCAGAGTACGAACCAACACTAAGTACCGGCGAGAAGACGGGAGGTCCCAAAGAGGCGAATGGCGAGGCTGCACCTCAAGTCTCCAACCATCACAACCTGCCGATAATTGAGACACACAGAAATGTCCCCACAGGAGACGAGGCTCTGAAACAGCAACGGAGATACTTCCCATCCGCCAATGATCCTGCTCAAATGTGTCTTCTTTGCGGCTTGAACACGCACTTGGCCCCGAGCTGCCCAACACTTGTCTGCTCATCATGCGGAAGCCTAGATCACTCGATTATATGTTGCCCCGAGAAAGAAAGGTGCAGCAAATGTCGTCAAATTGGCCATCGAGAAAGTAGCTGCACTGAGAAACTGGCGTTGACCAAAGAGGAAGGACTTGCTTGTGTGTTCTGCAACTCAAAGGATCATCTTGAGGAACAGTGTACAGAAGTATGGCGATCATTCCATCCAGACGCATCCACGGTCAAAAAGGTTGCGTTTATTCCTGCCTCATGTTCTGCGTGTGGAAGTGATGGACACTTTTCCTCGGATTGTAAGACCCAGCGCAATGATTTTATCAACCCTACATGGTCTGTCAAGAATCGCGATCAGTATATCGACCCCGAGTGTGGTATGGCAGCGATTGAGGAGGCGACGGGGGGACAGCCAGCCGGCAGATCCGCAAGAGCTCCTGAGCTAAGGATCCGTGGCCACGCTGCGCGAACCACAAACGTACATTACTCAGAGAGCGACGACTCAGAGGTAGAATTCTTGGGCAACAAACGCGTTCAGAAACCAGCCGTCGGACAGATTCGAATGGCCAGTAACATCCAGATGCCAAACATGCAGAATGGAAGAAGGAATACCAGACAAAATGGAGTGTCAGCCCAGCCTCCCCTCCCTCCTGGACCCCCTCCTCCTGGACCACCAGGTGTGCGAGGGACAGGTTCGTTTTCGTCACTCCCACGAAAGCCCCCTCCGCGAGACTTCAGAAACGTCCCCCCACCGCCTCCACAAGGCTCACAGGGGCAGGGAAGGTCGTACGGCAATAACGCGCCTCCATCTTTTAAGTCAAGAGGGGGCGGGCGTGGCGGCCGCGGTGGACGAGGAGGTCGTGGAAGAGGAAGGGGCAGGGGCAAATAGAGACCTTCAGTTTTGACACAGAACTAAGGGAAAAGCATTGATAGGCGCAGGGCTAGAGCTAATGGTGCATTGGGATACCCTCGGGAGCTGAGTGGCTCTGGGAACTGGTTGGCGCATGAAAGCCGAGCTGTCTGCCCGAGCGGGACTCCCACAGACTTGGCGAAAGGGATCGTAGACTTTGATACCCATCACTTATTGCTGTATACAAATTAGTTGATGTGAGTTGTTTGAAACGAAACCGGACGTGATAAGTTGGAGAAGTCGTGGCCGATAGAGTCAGATGTCCTGGAACCATGTGTGACTGTTGTAGTTAGTGACGGCTTTGCTTTGGCTCGGATATGCCAGTATGTAGCCCGAGTAGACGAACGAGCTGCAACAAGGCCCATGCCTATGGCCTAAGCCAGACATGCTTTTGCATGTAGGACCTGCTTACTTGCAAGGATCTCAAGTGGACTGAGACAAACCATCCAACGGTCGAGAGAACCGGTAGTAGCTGGGCGCAGATCTCAGATATTGACCAGACCTTTGAACCAGGTTCAACTAACCGTTACATCACGCAACAATGACAACAATGTATTTACTGAGGTATCTTGTCGAGGTCTTTTAGCAGTAAAGGCGAGATCTAATAGAGAGAAATGTTTTATTGGACAATGACCTTTACTACGTAGTAAATCAAAAGTGATAGGGAATACTTGGTGTGACAAAGTCTCGCGACAATGCAGCATCACATCCGAGAAAAAGTAAAAGGCACTAACAGCCAGTACCTTGCTTGACCTTGACTATGGGCATAGATGGATCCATTTGCCACGAGATGTTTGGACGCGGCAGAAGCGTCCTGCAGTAGCCAAAGAGTCATAGAGTCAAAGGGACTGCTGAATAGAGTAAAGTGGTGGATAATAAGAAGCTTAACGTAGATGCATGTTTTAGGGTTGAGGCTTTTACATCCTCTTGATCATGACAGGACCTTTTTGAGAGCAAGGGTATACCAACAGGGATATGCTAGACCGGAATGGATGGCGGCGAATGGATGTCATTGAATTGGATGCTAAGTTAGCGTTGAGATGCGCTGTGTTCAGTTCAAGGGTAGGATAGGATAGAATGTCACTAGAGCACATTCTATGACTCCGTGTAGCATTCTCGCATCCAGTCTGCGAGGGGAACGTGGATGATTTGCTGTTGGATGAGTCTATCTCAGACTCACAAGTTTCGACGATGAATGGATGATAACCTGTAGAGTCCTTGTTTATACTCGAGAAACCCAAAATAGCAATGCTAGACCCTCTCAGATCCATAACAAGAAAACTCAGAGTTTTAGCCCACAGAAACGAGAATAGTATTCTTTTCGTCCTGTCCCGTTTACTTCATAGTCAGTGACTAACATCGCGAGTTGAAGTCGATGAATAGTAATAAGCAGCCTATCACAGCGCGACAAGTGCCGTTGAAACCACGCGTCTGCCGCGTTGTTGGACACGGCAATGATTGGATAGAAAGTAGATGCATGTTTCCTGGGCGCGGGACCACAAGATGGAGAAGCGCTATCGATAAACATCCGATGGGAGAGGTACTTGAAGGGTACCTGAGGGGAGGATCCGGAGGCCTGAACCGAAGGATCAACGAAACAAACTAGGGAGAGGTTGGAGACAGGAAACACACGTGGCGAGACTCGAGAAACAGCGCATCTGCATTGAAAGAGTTTGCAGTTGGCCTCGTGAGTGGTTGTAGATCTTGAGGCCAGTCAAGTACTCGTCAGGTACACCGCCACGATCCCCTCGCGGCAGATCTGCAAAGACCAGGATAAGGTCAAGACGACAAACGAAGTCCAACCAATCAAGACTCAAGCGCAACGCGTCTTTGGACTTTGTTCCAACGCGCACAGAAAGTCTCCACGATCTAAAGTCTAGACAGGGCCAGGGACTTGAAGCTCTGAGTCACCGACAGCCAGTCGTTGTTAGTGGAGGGTGACCTTCTCGCGATAGCACCTGCAGCCGACCTACCTTAGGGCAGGAGTAAGTGCATGAAGGAAAAAATGGAGAGAAAGAGAAAGGAGGAAAACGAAATTCCCATTCTCTCTCGGTTATACAGACGAGGCTGATCTTGAGGCAATGGCCAAAGTAGAAATATCTCGGCCGCCCGGACCCGGCGCTTGTGGCCTGACTTGAACCCTTTGTCTTTCTTGATATTCTATAATTGAACGATTCTATCTGAGATCATCCCATCTTTGCTTGATCTATTATATCATTGTACTTGACTACTTGCATTGTCTTGACTGAGTTGCCACCAAATACTATCATCTTGACTTACAAGAACTAAACAACTGCCTACTCATATCACCAACACTTAAACACACCCATACATCTCAAGACAAACATCAAATAGAGGCTAAAGCCCTCCACGACATGAGATTACAATGGCCTCCTCAACAGAACAACTCTTTCTCGCCATCTTGAGAAGCGATCACATCAAAGACTCTCTCTTCCCTCACCTCTCAACCACCGACCTCTGCAACATTCGTCAATCCTCATCAGCTTGTTGTAACCTCCTCACTAAGCGTCTCTTCACACGCATCCACGTCTCTTTTTCATCCTCAACTTTTACTAAATCAGCACGGGTTGCTGCTCTCGCTCGTATCGGTCATTATATTGAGCATCTCACTTTCTACTTCCCTCACTCAGATGCTACCTTTCTTCCTCCTCTCATTCATCCTGTCTCTGGCAATGAGATATGTTTCCTTTATACCCCTCATACCAGCATGGGCTCTGTGCTATCAAGACCCAAGTATGCCAACGCTGAACTGGGTGATATCCTTACCCAGCAGTATCCTCCTCTCTTCCATGCTGCTACCAATGTACCCAGCTTCATCAATGCTATGCGCAACTTGACAAACATGCGCCATCTCACAATCAGATGCCCTGGACAAGATCCCAGAGAGAGATACCGTCGCGATATTGTCGACTATGCTCTCATTAGTCTGCGCATCTCTCTTGAGCGCGCCCCTCTCGAGAAACTCCACAAGCTGTCACTGTCTCAATTGCATCCCGCTGCCTTCAACTACCTCCGTCATGTCAATGGTTTCGGAACAGTTCCTTCTGCTGGACGTCGCTGGCGACAGATCAACAAGCTCTCCGTCTCAGTAGACGCATGGGACTTTTACGGCTCATCACCTGGCCGTGATCATCTCAAGGTCATGGATGAGTATATCCGCGCCTTCGCTCCCAACCTTGAAAAGTTCGCCTTTACATGGCTTGGCCGTAAGGGACCATGTCCAGTTGCTCTGGCTGCTGACCCTATCTTCGCACCACCTCGCGCCTCGAGGAAACTCTTCCACGAGGTTACATCTCCCATGTCCCCATTACCAGAAACACCCGGAAAGGGTGCTATTTACTTCCCCAAGCTGCGATACCTTCAAGTTCGCAACGCTACCATGAACGCTCCCCAGCTCAGCAACTTGATCAACTCTCATCGTCCAACCGTCAAAGAGTTTGACTTTGAGAGTGTTGTTCTTGCTGATAACGGCAACTGGGATGATGTTCTTGCTCCGATTGACACTGACGATTCATGGTCTCGAAGCAACAGCATGGCTGCTCAGTCAGAATACAGTCTAGTCACAAGCCCCAGCTCTGAGCATCTTCCCAGTCCAAGTGCTGCTGTCACTGCTGCTAGTCGCGAGCTCTTGGATATGGACCTCGGTGGCTTCCCCTTTGATGACATCGAGAACGAGGTCATTGATGACTACCCGACTAGGGATGTTCTCATCGACGACGATGTCTTTGCCCCGATTGATGAATCAGACGCGGGCTTTAGCACAAAACTGCGCAAGAAGCGCTCTCGTCGTCGCAGAAGAAAGCATCGCAGCAGCGACGATGATATCCCAGAAACCCCTACACCATCTCCCAAATCCTCTCTGCGCTCTCTATCGCGCCGCCATAAACCCTCTCGCCCCAAACTCCAACCTTCAGTAGAAGAAGAGACCCTCCGTCCTCGTACTCCGAGCCCCCATATCACCGCACCTCTTCTCATCAGTGATCCCCAACCTGTCCTCCTCCAACCCACTACATATGACCCAACCGCAAGAAAGAGCACAAGTCGAGATCCCGACGAGGGCATATCACCTGTCCAGCGTAACATCGAACAAGAAGAGGCGCACCGTCTTCTCGCCGAGGACGCCGCCGCAAGAGTCAGCGCGTTGCAAAAAGCTAAAGCAGCTGTTCTATCGAAGTTGAGTCGCGAGTTCTGCCACAGCAAGAAGTCTCGCGTTGGTGAAGCAAACGCATGCCGCTTCCTGGCAGGCCGGGACTTGGGCACAGCCTTTGGACCTAACATGGTCATGGAAGACCGAAGAGCACTTGAAAGTCGGAGCGTGCTGGTGCCTCTGATGTTCAGTCGCTCATGAAAATAACGATGTACGATGGACGAGAAATGTATGAAAACTAAGAGCTCTTGGAGAGAGTGGTATGACCTTGTAATGAGATATGATATCATGTCCTTCGTTTCTTCATGTATTTTACTATCGACATTCTTTCCAAGAAATACGAATGTTATGTTATGATTAATGATAAACATATCCCTAACTGCTCGCTCTTGGTGATCATGTGCTCTCTTTCTTGATTGTCTCCATAGCCTTGACATACTCTGATACTTCTTTCAGTCCAGTGAGCGTCAAGTCTCTCCTTCGTCCCTCAATGATGACGGTAGGAACAGAGTCAATGTCCATACCGATACTTCTAATGTCCTCTTTTGTTTTCCTCTCCCCTTTTGCTTTGTTTTCAACCAAGCTCTTCGCCTCTTTCTCATCCACGCCAGCCTCGACGCATGCTTCAACTAACATCTCATCCTCACCAGGATGTCTCCCCTCAGCGAAGTACAACCTGAACAATGCGTCCACAAGCTTGTTGGTTACTTCCGCCCCCTGCGACTCCTGGATTTGTTGAATGATTCGATGAGCAGGGAACGAATTACCTGTTGGGCCTGCAAAGGCGATTGGGACATCCAGTGGTTTTGCGAGTGAGAGCATATGTTCTTCGAAGAGCTTTTGTGCTTCTTCATTATCATTGTGCTTCTCGTGAAGAGCATACGCAGCACGGTCCGGGATGGTCTCAGGACGACTGGGGCTGGGTTGGTAAGATGAGAACTGCAGGTCAAAAGAGATAGAGTCTGCTGAGGGAGAGGCACGGAATTGTTTGAGAGCATCGTCAAGTCTGAGTAGTCATCTTGTTAAAATGTGGCTCATGGGAGCAGATTCAATATGTACCTCTTCTTTCCGATGTATGTCCTGAGACCAGGTCAGCCAATTGTACTCTTTTCAATTCGCAACGAGCATCCATACCAAGGACAGATGGTGTCCATGACCAAGGTCACTTGTGATTCGTACATCTTGACCAAGTTTGTTGAGAGAAAGAAAGGATGATTCTGTTGTTTAAAATTCGTCAAATATTAATAGCAAAACAAGTTATATAGATGCGGGGGAGACAAAGGCTCCGCACCGGGCCTCGGGATCGGCGACTGAGCGGTAGTAGGGCGATCATTGATCAACAATTAATAAATCCATTAGGGATTGCTAAGTAAGTACATGGTTCACATCAGATGCTAAGAATCGTCGAAACTGGGGGTATCTCGAAACGTGAATTATATCTCGCTGTACTTAGTCAAACGTCATCTTGGAACCCGTATGCTTCACCACAGCACCCGTCAATCTCGCAACAGCAATATCTTCAGCCTCCTTAAGAGGCTTTGCTTCCCTAGGAGCCTTTGCCTCACCATCATCGTCACCCTTCCTCTCGCGCGCTCCACCGTTGCCTCGGTCATTTCTACGTGGTGGAGGACGGCCTCGGGGATTGCTATCTCCTTCAGGAACTGCCTGTCTGTCCTTGCCAAAACGCTTCTTGTATCGCGCTTGGTCATCCTCGGCCAGCTCAATCTTGAGGTCGCGGCCCATGATTCGGTTCACCCACCACTTGCGCGTCTTGAACTGCTTCTCTTGAGACTTGTCTTTCTCTTCCTCGTCCTTGAAGTCCTCTTCTGTCTCAATTGCCTCCTTGATCTTGACGAAACCCTTGACAGCCCACGCAGCAGCCTCGGGCTCCTTGAACTTGACCCAACCAAAGCCCTTGCACTTGCCAGTGTCCTCGAACGTAGCAACCTTGACCCACTCGATCTCGCCGCACTTTTCAAAGTTTCTGTACAGATCGTCATCGGTCGTCTTGAAGCCCATGTTACCCACAAAGATCTTGCGACTGGCGTTGGTCTCTTGCCTCTGCTCCTGGCTGGTCTTGCCATCGGCAGCACCCTCCTCAGCAGCCTCGGCCTCCTTCTTGGGTCGACCCTCGAAGGATGTCGCATCCTTGATAAGAAGTTTTCGGCCACCGAGGTCGTTCTCAGTAAGAGCGATGGCAGAGATCTTGGGTCCAATGTCGTTAAAATCGACGTAGGCGAATCCCTTATTCGTAGGCTTGACGCTCTTGTCTCGGCCGGGCTCCTTGTTGGTCGGTAGCTTGATGCGAGTGATCATCTCGTCGGTAATGACACCGCCAGAGTTATCCACGAGCCATTTGCGCATCTCAACGGCCGTAACGTAGAAAGGCAGGTTACCAATCCAGACGCTGTGTTCCGACCGGGCGGCCTTCTTATCTTTGGCATCCTCGCCCTTCTTCTCCTCGTCGCTATCGTGCTTCGCGGGCAAAGCTTTGCCCTTCTTGAGTGCACGCTTTGCGCGCTTGGATGGGGGCTCGGGGGCGTCTACATCGACTTCGATTTCCTCAAGCTCGATCTTGCGCTTGATCGCGGAAGCAGGCTCAGTCTCTGCCATGTCGACATCTTCTGTTGTTTTGGTCTTTTCGATCTCGACGACCTTCTCAGGCTTTTCAGCCTTCGATTCCGATCGGGAAGACTTGGACTTCTTCTCCTTCTTTTCTTTTGTCGCCATTTTGAATTGTGGTTGTCGGATCGTGATCTGATGGGCGATCTAGATCTGGGCCTCAGGTCAGTCCAGCAAAGTTGCCAGAAATTTTCTGCCAGTTTGGTTGCGATAAGCGATAAGAGACTCGGAGGAGTGGGTCCAAAGTCTCCCGAAGCTGGACCCTGCAGATGCTTCCGATAGTGGGGCTTTCGACCTCCGTCTCGATGGGCGGTCGGCCGCGTTGAGGAGCCCAGCCTCCCGGAATCTCGGAGAAGTCAAGAGATCATGATTACGGTGAAGCCGTGAGTCATGGAGCAAAGATTGTGCTGGCATTGCCAAGAATATTACATGTCGTATTTGTCAAGACTGACTTGTGCCAACTGAAGGATTCATGCTCGACTCTCCCCAGTCTACACTCTAGAACAACAGATAACCGAGAGACCAGTGCTGCAAGTTAATTAACAAACATCAAGATGAAAGCTAATTCGTAGTCTCATGCGGTCATCGAGAGTCTAGCAAATGCTTGGAGTTGACTTGGGGGCATTATGGTGTCCGTGCAATATCGGGGAGTATTCTTCCTTGATTCCAAGTTTCACCTTAGAAAATGGCAATAACTTGACATCCATGGGTCAATCAGTTCTATGGAAAATTCCCTAAAGCTAGCGACTCCTTTCGAATGATTTACTATTCCTTGTACATATTGACACAATTAACTGTTGATCATATCTTTCACCGCTTAGCTCATTTAAATCTTAGCAAACAGGGGGTTCGTTGTCTCAGCTGTGGCCTAGACATCCAATCGATGCGACATTAAAAAACAAAGCATTGAGGTCCGTGTAGCTCACGCTTGTTGAATGAAGCTTACCATGGAACAGCCCTGCAGCAAATTATCCATCAGACATGGTTTATCTATTTTGCTTTATGCTATTGTTTACATCACACTGTTAATTGAGGTCGCCCTTCAATCTTTCTCCAAATATCTCTCAACAATCACTCCTCGATTTCATCGTTTCGGGCAAGCAAAGTTGCGCCGATATTCTACGCCGAGGCCGTCGCCGGCCGAAGTCCCGCGTCGGACTACTAATTGGGTAAAGATCCCGATCCGGCCCCGTAATGACGGCCCGGCTTGGTTAATCTCAAAAGTTCCGGGGCCTAATATAAGCAATGATACCGTAACTGGAGCCGGTAATTTGACCGATCTTATGCCACGTGTGCTGTTCAGATTGTTGACATGAGACTCTTGGTTGATATGGATGAAATTGCGTCGAGAACAAGAGTCATGACAAGCAGCTGAAGACCAAGCCGGGCCACGGTGGGGTTCTGAAACTAACCTAATGCTTGGAACTTACCTACCAACAGCCACTTTGGCACTAAAAATTCACGCTGGATGTGCACCTGGAGGGTGAATATGCCCCTCAATGGCCCTGTTCACGTGTGGCTTCAATACTGGCCCCCAGGCGGTTTGCGGGTCTCAAGTATGGCCCAAGCCGCTGGCCCATAGCGAATAAGGTGCTTGTGACCCACCCTCGGCCTAGGCTCTAGCAGGCAAAATTCACTAGCCCCAGACAACCAAAAACTGGAACCTTGGAAAGTCTCCCTCATTCAAAGCCAGTCCAACCCCAAACAAAGCCTATTCCGTCCCGTCCACTTCTTCACCTTCCTCCACCTTCTCAAAACCCTCTTCTTCCACGCCATCATCAATCAGTCTCACTTCCACTGCATTCGAACAACTACCTACCTTCAACGCACCGCAACCTTTTGCGCGACGACTCTGCCATCTTTCCAGCGCACGATTTATCAATCAAGCTAGCGACCGATCGTATCGCCGCTCACCCTTTAAAGCGGACGCTGGAAATCTAAGCTTAGCAAGACTCGACATTAAGATTACCGTTGTTTTGCTTGGAAGCCGAACAAGCGGCCATTCTTTATCGACAAACTTTTGCCCATACGATTTTGATTAGGCCGATCTGTTGTCCTTGAGTGACTTGTTTCATTCATCGACTATAAACAAATATCGCAGCCGACTATCTTCAACGAGCTTACGACCTTGATCAATATGAACGTTCTGCTCACGCCTCAACCTCCCGTCTTCCCTCACCAACACGAAAACCCTCGAATTTCTCCTCAGCGATCTCGTAAGTCATTTTAATCCCCTTTCCGATGCTTTCTTTTTCATCCTTTGTCGTGCTTGCCACTAACCGAGTCAGTGTCTCCATTTCACAACATGAACCCCCGCAAGAGAAAAGCCGACGAGGATGGCGACGAGACCATGTCCCCCAGGAGCTCCCCTACCATCTCTGCTCGAGCTCTTGCTCGACCTTCCAAGAAAGTCCGTGGAAATGAAGTTATCGGTCGACCCCTCACCCTCCCCCGACTTCTCGAGACCCTCGACACTTCTCAACTAAGAACTGTCCTCGAGCGCATTTGTGAATCTCATCCTGATATCGGCCACGAGGTTGTCACTCAAGCTCCTCGCCCCTCAGTCTCTTCGGCTGTAGAAGTCTTGCAAGGATACGAGACGAAACTGAAAGATGCCATCCCCTACGGCGAAACCAGTCCCGAATACACTTATTACCGAATCAAGGAGCCCCTAATTGCTCTGATTGACGCCCTATCTGATTTCACACCTCAATTCCTTCCTCCTATCGAGACTCAGCCTACCAAGTCTCTCGAGTTCTTGAACGAGGCCACAGACTTCATCCACAGGTTGCCTAACTGGGAACCTCAGGCATATCGTCATCATAAGGAAACTGCATATGAAGAGATATCCAAGGCATGGGCGCTTGTCATCAATGAGGCAGGCAAGAAGGCCGGCGGTCTTAACTTGCACAGTGGAGGTTGGGACCAGATCTTATCTCGACACAACGAACAATCCGGTGGTCGCCTCTCTTCTGCTATCAACGCCATGTCCATGAGTGTGGGGTGGATGGGGTCCAATGCAAACGCCGGACCTGGCGGCCCCTCGGAATCCAACTCCATTTTGAACCAGTTGATGTCAGGTACATACGGAGCGCCCGTAAGAGTTGGACCCTGGTAGGGCATGGCTGTTTAACCTTGAAAAAATTACGATTGCATACTGTGGCGCACCGGACGAGTCAACTTCGCACATCTAACGACCGTATCATCACGACAACTTTCATTTTATAGCATAGGTGGCATAGATTTGAGGCACCCTTTTTCCTTGTGTGGCAGGGTGGTTGGCGTTTTGCGTGCATTTCTTGATATCCCTTTCCTTCACTCATGAACTAGTAGGGATTATTGTTAACAACACACTTGTGCTGCGGTTTGCTGTAGCTAGATATCTGATATATTTTATTTGTCATGACGTCTCTTCCCTCATCATTGCATGCTCAGTGGCTAGCAAAACCATGGTTGACTGGCTGTTCTTGGTTATGGCTTATGAGACGAGAAACACAGCGTATTAATAATATTTTATATGTATTCATCATCGTATTACGGCTCAATTACATGCACCAGCCTCACCAAAAACTATATTACCACAAACCATCACATTTGCGTCAGGATACTGGTATTACGATGCGATCAGAGTAGACTAACATCGAATCCTCTTACCTAGATCATACTTTTTCATAGGGCATTCAGGTACATCGAAGTTGACTGGACACAACCTTATATATAAGAAGCCGGGCCTACTATATCTTAAGCTCGTATTAGACTCTTTCTTAAACATTGTTTCCGCCGTGATGCACTGTCTGTTTACTTGTTGGGCGCAACCTTTCTGAGCACCATATGGACATCGGCTATGGTTTGTTCCAGGCAGAACAGAGTTTACTCAGTGGGTGATTAAGAAACTTTCTACAACTTCGTGAACACTTGATAGATCCCCACCACCTTGTGTGTCTTTCTGATCTCAACAAACGGTGAACGGATATAAAAGTCACTAAGATATCAGAGTGACATACCATTAGCAGACATTGTAGCCGTCTCAGTTAACATAAAATGCCTCACAACTAGCGGATGAATTCTAGTAAAGAATACTATCTTCTTCATGCTGACGTATATATACTTCTAAGGGAGTGTTTCTCCACTTCAAAGTTGAAAGTCACAAGATACTCGTCGCGTGACGATTACCATAGAAAGAGGTTGTCTCGATTCTCAGCCCAAGCCTTGAAATTAGCGTCGAGACAGCCGAGACGATGGTGGGGCAATCGCGGGAAGATCTGGTAAACTTCAGTGGAGCCTTGGTCCCTCCGAAGTTTCCAATGTTCTAGGCAGAGTCACGTGCTCTCCCGTCATTTCGAATGAGAGGCGCGACTGCCTGGACCGTTAACGCGCTCTCGCCCATTAATCAACATTCAGCCCGCTACCACTGGCGAAGATCGTCTTTCACTACAATACATTACTTGTCATCTCCGACTTGCTGTGTTGCTTCGGGACGCTCTTCAAACTTGCTTAATTTTTCTTCATGTTGGCATAATTCTACGTCGAGTGTTGAATCATTTATCATGCCTGCGTATGTTTCAAGACGTGTTGCGTTCTTTGGTCTATTACTATTACTAACTGTTCTGCAGCCCAGGCGATCAACATACCACGGTGACGAATCCTTTCGAGGAGCAGCGCCCACGAGTCGCTGAATGGGCTGCCAAGGATATTGCTACAATCTCAGCGAAGCTCGATAAACAACTTGGTCCCGAATACATCTCCGCACGCGCAGGTCCCGGTGGTACTAAAGTCCACTATCTCACTGCTGAGAAATGCATCACATTGGCGAACGAAGTCTTTGGGTTTAACGGATGGTCGTCTTCCATCCAAAACATTCAGGTCGATTTTGCCGACGAGAACCCACAGACACAGCGCGTCAGCATTGGCTTGTCGGTTATTGTTCGAATCACACTACGAGATGGAACCTACCATGAAGACATCGGCTACGGTTCCATCGAGAACGCCAAAGGAAAGGCGATGGCTTTCGAGAAGGCCAAAAAGGAGGGTACTACTGATGGACTGAAGCGTGCATTGAGGAGCTTCGGCAATGTCTTGGGTAACTGCATCTACGACAAAGATTACGTGAAGCAGGTTACCAAGATGAAGGCGGAGCCTGTCAAGAAGTTTGACCAAGACAACTTGCACCGTCACGCTGACTTCATAAAACGTGACGTTCCGAGAACAGAACCCGCGGCCCCGGCGGCTCCTGCTCCTCCCGCGATCAAGGCCGAGCCCGTACCGCCGCTCCCGGTCGCAGAGTCATTTGACGACTATCTTGGAGGTATTTTGTCCTCCGACGGATTTGAGGAGATCGAGGCTGAATATCTGTAGAGCTCGACGAGGCCGACTTCTGTGTGCCAGAAGATGGCCATCCAGACGAAATTATGCTTTCAACATCAATCTTGGGCCAAAATGCGAACGAAAAGCCCGTCGCGAAACCTCAAGGCCAACAAATGCAACAACCCAGCAGATCGAACTCTACCGGGCCTCCGAGCCGAGCGCCCCAAACTCCGATACAAGGACAGCAACGCTCAAATCCCTCCAACGGTCCCAACCCTCTTGCAAATCGTCCCCAAGGCGGGCCATCGGGACGTACAACTCCAAGCCAAATGGGGAACCCTCGCCCGCCGCCGAATGCACCTCAAAATATGCCCGAGACTGTAGGATTCTTTTCGGCAAAGGCTGTCAATCAGTTGCCTGAGTCCACTCTAGAAGGTTCGAGCAATGCCCGGCTTTCTTTGCCACAAGGACAACAAGCCTTTAACCCTAAGGCCGAAAGCCCTTCGATTCGAAAAACACCTGGCATCGACCACAATTCATCCAAACCTGTCGCAAAGAATGGCCAGCACGTTGCCCCGACTAACAGTCAAGCAACTCCTGCACCTGCACCTGCTCAGCGATCCAACTCCAGTAGCTTCACTCCGGTACGGCCATCCATGCCACCGAGCTCCCAGAGTGCCCGGGGAAATGTGGTGAATCCATCCCTGGACCAGACTCGTCGAATTGGTGCACCATCTGGTCCAGGTAGTCCCCTGGCGAACAGAGGTAGCTATCGACCGCCGGCGATGAAACGACCACCCCCTGCTGATGGGCGAACTGCCTTGGCCGATCTTCCCGCCAACGGAAACGGAGGCGCAACTTCGACTGCGGCTAGCGGGTTGGATGCGAAGAGACAGAAGATGGCGTAGATTTCTTGAACTTCTTTTGACTTTCAGAGGGAAAATGGATGGCACGGTCGTCAGGCGTATCGGTTTTCGAAGGTTTTGTGAATTGCAAGGAGCTCAGGTCTGGGAAATTTCTATGGAACAAAGTAAGAATGGTGATGATTGGAGTCTAGAATTGACCGGAAGACTACCAGGCGTATTCCCTAGAAATTATGGCATGTATTATTTAATTCCTGACGGAGTTATAGCTGGGCTACAGCGTGAAGAAACCCTGTGGTAGTTGACAGCAGCTATTCCAAGACCTAACACTACGCGAGATGAAGTATCCAGGGACTAATTCTGTTTATTTTATCCATCTTTCTATTTGTACATGGTAGATTTTCCAGCCCAGTCATTATACATACTCTTCCAGAGTGGGAGAAGTTTATTTTGACCATGGATAGCTTAATTGATATCCTCTTTTACTTTCAAGGCAGCTTTGCGAGTCCTGAGCGGGCCTGCTTTACTGCGTCAGGGAAGCCGAGCTTGCCAGCCATTTCGATACACTGCTTGTACTTCTTGCGAGCTAGGTCATTATTGCCGAGCATGGCGGCGACATCGCCCCAGTTACACAAAGCAACAGCACACGCCTCATCACACTCGGCTGTGCGCTCGTCGCCTGTAACGTCCTTAGCATGTTTGTAGGCGTTCTTGGCCCAGTTCTGCGCAGCCTCCAGGCACTCCTTTCGAGTAGCAGGCATGGCAGGGTCGTGCAACTCCTTGATCATGTCAGAGGGCTCGCTGTTGGCGGGGACAAAGATGGGATGTTGAGCAAAGCTGGCGGCCAAGTTGTTCATGATAATAGGGCGGTGGCAGGGCGTTTCGCAAAGACGAAGAGCCTGGAAAAACAGAGGAATTGCAAGATGGAACTGGTTTTTGCGTTCGTAGTCACGGCCAAGCGACTCCATAGCGCCACCCATTTGTCCAGGGCTCAGCCAGTCACCCTCACTGGGCTTGACACCTTCGGCTTTTCGGCGACGAGCCTCCTTCAAGGCTGTTTCGACAGCCCAGATGAGGTGCTTTTGAGAGTTGTCAGGGTCGAGAACGTGCTCATCAGCATACAATTCTCCGAGCTTGATAGCAATCCCAACAGTCTTGGCGAGGATGCGCTGCCTCTTATGCCATAGGCTTTCGGGCGCCTCCTCCTCCTCTTCAGGCTTTCCTTGCTCTGGGGTAGATGCAGCGACGGTGGTGACTTGACTTGACGAGGTCTCGGGGGTCTCTGATGCTGGCTTGATAAGTCTACCTTCATCGCTGACCTTGCCCTCCTTAACTGATTGCTCCATAACACTAATCCACCTGTTGCAATCGGCGAGGATACCCTCCAACACCTGCAAGCATCCATTATAGTTTGTAATCTTCTCGAGCCAGTAGGAGGTCTGAATTCGAATACCCAGAACCTCGTCAGAGTAAGGGTCCAAGCCATGCTCAGCGCATTGGTCCATAGCACGCTTGTAATACTTAAGAGCTAGTTCGGCATCGGGATTGATGTTGGTGTAGTATAAGGCACGTCGCAGAGAGTTTGCGATAGGCTTAGGGTATCTCGTGAATTGGTAATGGTAAAAGTAGTTGAAGTAGAGGTAAACGGTATATGCGCCGATGATAGATACTACACCCAGACTTGTATTGTTAGCTGATTCAACAGAGATAAGAACCTGACAACTTACACAAAGATTCCCAGTGTGGTGGTACCTGGATTTTGTCTATAAGCAGTTTTGATACCAGTCGGGCTCATGGCAACTGCAAGACTGCGAAGACCAGCAGCAAGAGCCCGGCCAGCGAATTGACGAAATGTGATCTGTGGCTGCGTCGGTGGTTGGTTCTTCTTCGGCAACTGATCCTTCTTGGCTTCCAAATCCCTATCATGCTGTCTATTAGACGAGTTCGTCGTTTGGAATCGATGCTGATCTAATCGGAGATCGATAACGGTGCGGAAGTAGACAGTGGCGGTTCGCGACCGGAGCTGGACGGAGAGCAGGCCAGAGGTTGCATGCTGCCAGCATCTCCCGCGAAGAGGCCTCAGCGAAGCAACCGCTGAGACCGACATGGCAGGCCAATTAATGAAGCAATTGGCGAACGATGTTAGTTGGTGCTGGTGATGACGAACATTGAAACTGAAAAGCTGCAAGTCAGTGGGACCGTAGTTCCATCATACTTACGCACAGACCAGTTCCATTTTCGACGAATACTGGCCCGTGCGTTTCCAATCAACCGGAATCTTCAGTGAGCTTCCGGTCGCTAAAGTTGACTTCGGCCGAGGGTAGCGGGTAGGTTCAGGGTCTCGTTGGCCATGGTTTTGGTGGGGGAGGGGGAGGTTCTAGCATATGACGGAGGGGAGCATTTAAAGATCCACCCATCCTCTATTTGGCCCAATCTTCAATAACTTCTCGTTATCCTCTACGACACAAATACTCTCGCAACAATGGCTGGAAAGTTCGAGCCCAAGGTTCCCGTCAACCTCGACCCTCCTAAGGACGACGTTATCTCCAAGGAGGAGCTCGCCAGAGCCAATGGTACAGTTACCACGCCCAGACGCTCAGCAAGCTGTGATAATATTATCTCAGCAACTTCACTTGGCCTCCAGTAGTTTTGAGCAGAACCCAGCTAATGGATCATCAGGCGCTACTGAAGGAGGCAAGTGCTACGTGGCCATCAAGGTAAGTCATTGCACATCTACGAGTCAAGATGCAACTCACCGTGCAACTCATCTCATCCAAGGAAGCACAACTGATCGTCTTTCACCACAGGGCAAGGTTTACGACGTGACTGGAAACAAGGCCTACCTTCCAGGAGCTTCCTACAATGGTAACTGCATATCTTTGCCAAGATGGCATGCATGATATCTAACTAGTTTCTCTAGTCTTCGCCGGCAAGGATGCCTCGAGAGCTCTGGCCAAGTCCTCGACAAAGCCCGAGGACGCACTTCCAGAGTGGAAGGACTTGGATGATAAGGAGAAGGGCGTTCTTAACGACTGGATCACCTTCTTCTCCAAGCGGTACAACATCGTTGGTGTTGTGGAGGGAGCCACAAACATGGAGTGACTAGCCGAGTTGCCTCCGAGTACTCACGTCAAGCTATGAATTTATTGTGTTCCGGTCTTCTATTTTTTTCAAGCTCGTGAATGTTCTGTGGCATTCTATCTTGTTATTCTCCGCTGTTGTGAGTCTGTGGAAGCTTCAGCCACCATGCGATGTCTCACCGAACAATTGATTGTGCCCACTCACTAGATGTTTCAAGACATACAGCATAAGCACCCAATCTTGGACAAACTGCAGCACATACATATCCAGGCATCCCTGTCGAGAAAAGTGTGAGACTTGGGTACGGCCACCAGGTTGGTCGTTGCATAGTCAATTCCCTTGCAGAACTGGAAAATCGTTTCTCAACGTAGCTCTCGCTCATACATGAACAACATTACACGAAACGGGCCGCAGCACAACCATCCCATACGGATAGCCTTGCGTTCCGATCCTTTGTCTGTGGCGCCGTTCAGAGCCGTACGGTAACATGTTATTAACCGCAAGGCGGCAGGGGTTTATATCCAGGTTGACACTTCGTTCCACACAGACGTTGCGCATTTGCAGAAGCAGCTTGAACGAGCAACTGTGGGTACCATTGTGCCTTTGGGTGTAACAGATGAGATCTTTGATGACTGAATAGGGTTCATGCATGTAGCTTGCTTTTATTCTATACTACAGCTTCAAGGGTACTTGTGTTACGTCTTAAAAAAACAACTTCGGTGTTTAGTTCTAGCTACATATATCTAATAAGAGACAAACCAGGATACAGACAGAGTACATTTTTAACTCCAGACAAGAGAGAAACATTTTGAAACCGTACATCGCAGAGGCTAGTTAGCCTTAATCTTCATGCGCTCTGCATGCTAATATATAGTTTGAGGATCCTGTCAGTTGTGCTGTGTCTGCATTTGGCTCGCACGCCAAGCAGTTGCGCAGCTTTCGCATGGGACACATTGCCTCCAGGACTTCCGAAGCACTTTGACACCGAAACATTGATGGTTGGGGTCGTTGCGGGCAAAGTGGCAATATGACTTGAGACGAAGAGTCGAGTGGTTGCAAGCAAAGAGGAACTCTTCCCAGTCGCACATTTTAAGCTGTTGATAAAGGTGCTCCGGTCTTGACAGGTGCTAATGAGATTGCGTTAGCCAGAGTCGTATGGATAGTGGGAGATGCTTGCTCACACAGAGAATGTTGGTCAATGGATTCAGCAATGAAGATCCGGTGTGTGCTGTATGTACGTCTTCGAAACTGAGCTTGTAGATGAAGAATATCGGGTCTGATGGTATAGCCAAAACCAACGGCAGAGACCAAGCCTCTTATAGCAAGAAATCGTACCCTGGCGTTGAAGTTTGTCTATTGATGTATCTCCTATTTTCTTTTCCCTGGTCCATGGCTCGTGTGGCTGTCCGTCGATGAGAATCAGAGCAAGGATGCCATGCTCTGCTATCCAATTGACATTCGTTCATGCAAGCAATCGGTATGATCTCCGTAGATGATATGATAAATCACTTTTGAACCAAAAGAGAACTTAGTGGCACAGATGGAGACCCAGATTCCCGTTTCTGAAAGCAGGCGGCTGCATAGACATCAAAGCAGACAGCCGGAGCACGCGTGGGGTTGTCGAGGAGCCTCGAGTCTTCGGCAAGCTTACATGAGCTAGGCTGTAGTACCGAAAGTTTTTTTCTGTGAGGTCAAGAGCCTGTTTGGGCTATAGCTGGGACGTTGTACGAGCATAGAAGTACGAGGGTTCCAAATAAGGAGCGAAGATATCGAGACCACATCCCAATTGCGGATCAGGTTGTATAACAAACTGAATTTGCCAATAGGTCCAACCAAGAACCTAAGAGATCACCGCATTGCATCAAGCATCGAAGCCACTCAGCATTGAAAGTCTGATGAAAGCAGAAGCAAGGTTGGCAGTCCTCGTATATCATGCATGTGCCAACAGTCAACCTAAGAAAAAGAAATACCGGCACTGACAATACATCTTGTGCTGAATGTTTTGTACGAATACTGTTCGTCTAGCCGAGATCGAATCCGATGGTCTACACCAAGGATAAAGGGTAGTATTGTCGGGAGGATGCAGAATTATCCAAGTGGAAAGAGGAGCCAGAATGCAGGCAACCAAATTGAGTTGGGTAAAGTTGAGTGTAAACAATCGAGGGAAGAGACAACGAAATGAGACATCAAGGAGATTTTGGAGAGTTACATAAGAGAAAACAATGCTTGAGGGCCATAGTGCAGTTTGGAGGAGACTAGAAACTTGAAGATCGTCGTCGCACCTTGGGCTGGCGTGAATAGTAAGACATACAAAACCAACCAAGTGAATGATTGACGCAACAAAGAGAATATCCAATGTAAGCAACCTCGTCAGCAATTGGAAGATACTGTAGGTTAACCATGATGAGGATTGAGAGAATGGCATGAGATAAGAAATGTTATGTAACAAATGTCGAAAGGATATGCCGAATTGTTGGATAGATCATGATAATACTTCAATAAGAAGAATCGCAACTATTAACCAGAATTGTACGTGATTTAATCACGCTGTGCAGCTTGTGTGGTGGTTGGATGGAGATGGAGGCCGCCTTGATACCCTCCAGTGCCAAGATTGTACGTTGATGTAAGTGCCGAGGGAGTAAGTATTTGTGATGGATATATTTCCACTTCATTGAACGAGAGGAAAGAGGTAACGAGACTTATAATAATGAAATTAGTGGGACTTTAAATGACGTATTTGATCGATGTTATTGAAAATGATGAAATTCTCATTCTGTTGTTGAGCCGCATCATTAATTGACTAATAAATGGTTCGCAAAATGGACTTTTCCCTCTTATTTCTTCAGCGCGGACACAGGTTGCCTCGCTGGATGCCTAGCAGCTTGAGGGTTGAAACAAGACATCTGATTGGCCAAAATTCATCGCAATGCCCCAAAGTGAGGCGGTTTGGGGAAGACAAGACAGGAAAAAGAGGAAAGGACGGGACGGGAGGAGAGGAGCTCACCTCACAGACCGGGCATTCTATTAATCTCCTTGTACATGTACTGCACCTTCCTTCATTCTCACTCCCATCAGTATTTCATCGCAGCGACACCACGCCCTCTCCTCTCCTCCATTTCCTCCCCCTTTCCCCGCCGCTTTCGATCCTATTTGTGCTTTATCCTCTATTTGCCTCGTCACCTGCGTCTCTTCTTCTTCTTCATCTAGGTTATGCTACCTTGTGTCTTGTACTTGACTCTGTGACTCGCCCATACTGTCGCATTGTTTGTCGATAGCAGCCTAACGCGAACCACAACACCACGTCCATAGCATAACCAGCTCCCGACTCGTTCAAACCTTTGGACGCCTCTTTTGACCTGACCCAGCGACCTTGTCGAGCACGAAACAATTGCCTTGACACAGACCATCGCACTAGTATCTGTCAAGTCCGTGATCCGCCTGGGATCCCTTGTTGGGAGGATTCTCACCAAGCGAGGAGGGACCTTGCAGTTGATCTTGTTGCAATCAATGTATGCAATTCTTTTCATTTGTTCATTTGTGATGGCATGGCCTCTTCCTGTTTCTTCTTCGGCCTATTGCCCTGACATGCACCATTCTGGCTGTATCAACTTTCAAGCTGTTCCATCAACCTCCATCCTATGAACATAGTCGTCACCACTACCTATCAGTTACCTATCTCTGTTCTATATCAAGTTCATTGGACTACCTCTCATGGTCTGCTCAATACTCACCGAGGAATTCGCCACCCCCATTGAACTAGACCACCTGTCGGCCTCAATGTACAACATAGTTCAATGAAGATATCTGCCTACCTAGTCTCCATGTGTTATTATATCGTATTCTCGGATGCTAATCCAGAAGCAGCGACAGCTCCCCGAAACCTATCAGCTGCGTGGCCGTCATCAGAATTAGTAGCATAGACGGCACAGCTCGACTCTGTGCATACCAACTTCATCCAGCCAGTCGTCATTATGGATTCGTTCGATTCTTCACAAGACGAGGGCAACAGTTCCAATATTTCTCCCCAAACAGCTCAACAAAACGTAAATCTGGCAGGCTTGAGTCAAACAAGGCCTCAGACCGCGAACACCATTTGGCCGACCTGGCCTGTTACTGATGACCCCTGGAATGCCCTTTATGGCTCATCTAGTGACGGCCCGACTCGATCGCAAATTGTCGGATCTGCCGACTTTCAAACCTCATACCAAGATTACAGAAGTAAACCCATATTGTCTGAATGTGACACCAACGCGGAAGATTCGGCTTACGGAAGTCGTCTCACACACAGTATCGGCAATCACTCTGCATATGGCGAAGATCTAGACCCCGATATTCAAACACTGGATACTCCAAACCCAGACACACAACTCGTTTACAGTAATCTGGAATCCCTCCAACTGACAAATGAATCTCGACAATATCGAGATCAATGGCAACGCTCTCGTCCTCCTGCAAGCATCGCAACAGCGCCCGTTGGCGGAGAAAGGCGACTAAGATGTAAAGACTGCCAGAAGACATGTCGTACGCAATCAGAGTTAAGGTAAACTTTGAGCCCCTATATCGTGTCAATTTGATGCTTGTACTAATGTGTCAAAGAAAACATGTGTTGAGACATTCTCTTCCATTCGAATGTGACGTCTCCGGCTGCTCACGCGACAAGGGATTTACCTCGAAGAATGACCTCGAAAGACACAAGAGAACTGTACACAATGATCGTACAGTTTCTGGGCGTACCTTCGTATGCAGTATCGGCAATTGTGCGAAGAAGAATAAAGTCTGGCCTAGAGCTGACAACTTCCGCTCCCATCTCGAACGGATGCATCGCAAGAAATACTCAGCTAATGATGATCTGTCCGAATTCGTCCATCGGTAGGCCTCCTGAGCTTCCCCTTACATCACCTTGTCCTTGGCTAATGAACACAAAGGCCCATCCCGTCACAAGGCCTAGAGGGTGTAGGAGGAAGTGCCATGGCATATGTCCAAGCCCAGGAACAATTGCCTGGCCTAGCTCATCCTTCCCCAATCTTATCCTTCCGTGGATACCATGGCGACAGACGGGCTTCACAGCCGCAACCTGGCATCGGCAGCTTGTCTCGAGGTCCAGCTTCTATCTCAGCTGATCGAGACGTAGCGGGCCTTACTCCCGTACGAGAAAGCGATGAGAATTTTATTAGACCGGAGATACTCAATGGGTCGGACCCACTACTACAAAATCGATGGGCTCCGTCTGCTGCATCTGAAGAGGATGCACCGGGTGACGATATTATGACTTCTGACTCTGAGCAACGTCATGATTCTGCTCCAGATGCTATGGAAGATGTGCAACAAACCGGAATTTCAGAAGCGGATTCGCCCAGCGTTGACGAAGACCCAAGATCTCAGCAGCCCGATATCAGAATGGCAGATGCTGACGAGGCTCAACGGACCCCAAGAGCAGTCTCGTTGCCAGACCGTCCGAGCTTTGACTATTCCCATGCTAATCCTGAGGCAACATACGAGCTCCTTGACAAACTCCCGAAAGACTTGATTGCAAGCTATGTAAAGAAACATCTGCCTGGAATGAGAGATGAAGTTGAAACCCCGAAGCCAGATATACCTAGTGCCAAGAGCCAGGGTCATTCACACAAGTGCCCAGACTGCGATAAGACGTTCCCTCGGCTGTGTGAACTCAAGTAGGTCATGTTACGCCTCAACATCTTGGTATTTTACTTAAGTCCCATCTAGGAAGCACCAGAAAAGACACTCGAAACCATACGGATGTACTTTCGTCGACTGTACAAAGACATTCGGAAGTAAGAACGACTGGAAGCGACATGAGAGTATCCAGCACTATCAGCTTGAGACATGGATATGCAATTGCACAAAGTCCAATTCGAGCGAACTTTGTGGCAAGGTCTGCCATCGTCGCGAGAGCTTCAGAAATCATCTTACGAAAGAACATGAGATTTCTGATCAAAGTGTCCTCGAAGAAAAGCTTGACACATGTAGAAAAGGCCGCCACTGCGATGCTCATTTCTGGTGCGGTTTCTGCAAGAACACTATCCAGATCAAAGAGTCGGACAACACTTGGACTAAGCGATGTGACCATATTGACGACCACTTCTCCGGCCGTGGTGAAATGCCCCAAAGGCACATCAGCGAATGGGTGCATGAGAAAGCTCACAGTGCTGTGTCTTCCACCTTTCAAGAAACTACGTCGGAATCGTCACCTGGCTCATCTATTCCCGATCCCAAAACTCCTCAAGCATTGGCGTCACTCGGCAACAGCGGCGAGGGCCGTCGAATCCCGAAAGACACGTATATGTGGATATGCGTAAGTAGATGCACAAGTCCCTTGTCAATCATTGCCTGCTAACTGGAGCTCGACAGTGCAATTGCAGTAACGAGAATAGTTTTAGCCACAACACAGCATGTTTCGAGTGTAGTCGGCGCAAGTGCGATAGCTGCCTTGTGCACACATTGCCTCCAAGCGATAGCTAGCTCATGCGCCTGTTGAACTACCCTCCGGCGCAAGGTGGTGAGTGTTGGATATGATTGATTTCTGCTTATGATATATGATGATGGAACATATACCCTTGTTATGAACATGATTGGATAGTGCATGACTGAGAATAATGGCAAAAGTATTGACTGGGCTTTGCAACTGTATAAATCGTATTTTATTGGCAGCAATCTAGGAACTCTGTGCAGTGCTTATCTATCTGGCGTAGTGAAAGACATTAGCTCAACTCGTGTAATTTCAAATACAATATCCATGTCAAAAGCTGCTGGATACGTGGTCTATCGGGCGATTTCACTCAGCCATGACATCCCCACAGATGATATGTTGCAGTATCTATGCCTGGATTTTGCTCGGTACATAAACACGCAATCCCTGGGGATCGACAGAAGTGTAAATGGCAGGGGCATCAGCTTTGAATGCCGTAATTGTGTTACTTACACGACCTGCATATCTAGCTGGCTTACCTGCAAAGACTTTCCACTTCAGTTAGTGACTCAGGGCTATGGCGCGGGCTATTGTCTCAGTCAAAGCCACTCTCTGGGCGCGTAGTAGAGCCCAGTAATAGCTACACTTCCTAGTCAAGTGGGACTACGAGTTGCCTGGCTGGGCAGTTCTGTGTAACACAAGATTGATTTAGACGCTCAAGGGGAGAGACATCGATGCACTTCCAGGTTCCGGGTAGTGATTCCGGTCTGGATCATCTGTCAACACTCAGGTCGCACAAAAACTCAGTATTGGCAAGGCTCATATCGTTCAGGGCTCGTTAAGAGCTGGGGCTGAACGGGTTGGAAACAGGGGTTGAGAAAGGAAGGGAGGATGATGTGGTTTCCTTAATGGGTCCCGGTAGTTCTGAATAGGCCATCTCACGGACTTTGCAACTTTTCCACTAGAAATGGGATCTGCACTCCATTGCACCATCAGCTTGATCTAGCCATGACCAGCACAGGGAGGAAGGAGACCGGGATACGATATTATCAACCGCGCGGCCACGAGAAACAGGAACGCTCTGGTGGAATTTTCTGGGTGTATCTATAGTCAAAGTCGCATCATGTACTGTACATACTGCGGGCAGGGGCTCTTATCACACAAAGGAGATCTCGGGATAGAGTCCCACCACCACGGTACTGGATCAATCGATAGCTGTGATTGAGGCCCGAGTTTGTTGAGAGGGATATTTGATTGTGGTATGTAATAGAATCAAGACAGCTTGGTGTTTCTGAGGCTCAGGATAGGTCAGTTATGTCAAGTAGTTGTTCCAACAAGCGCCTTGATTACCTCGTGGAGAACAAGTGACAATGGTGGGCCTCCCGGCCAAGAGCCAGGGGTAAAGATACTGAATTTGGAAGAACATATATAGAAGAGACATTCCGAGCATCTATTATTGGCCACCATATTTAAATGGAAGTGTCAGAGTCACGTTCGTTTTGGACAGAGGGCAAAGTTACCGAATTGTGTAATACTGTGTTGCAACGACAGGGCTGAATTGTAAGGCCACAGCCATACATGCATACGTAGGTAGTTACAATGGGGGCCGATGCAATGTCTAAAAGGTTATGTAAATGGATTGGATTGCATTATTGATAGCCCCCAGTTTGGGGGTTATCTGCTGTCCTGTCTTTTATGCATGGACTACGTAGTATATCTTCAGCTGGGCTGGGCGTTTGACCAGCATTAATTATGGTTGATATATATACGAATGCGTAAAAGTGCATAGAGGATCTTGGTGTGGCTGGATGAACCAAGTGTATGGGTTTGTTCGCATCAATGTCTTGGTGTAAGATCCATTGCGTATTTGTCTAGGTAGTCAGCTATTCTTTACGTTACCTAGTACGGAGTATACATATAATAGACCGCAAGTTAAACAAAGACATTTAAAGTTCAAGATGCAAGATGATATGATGTTTCATTGTGTAGATAGACAATGCACGGGCAGAGTTTCGAGTATTGGTCATCACAGTTAATTCAACTAGAGTTGGCGTTGGGGTGTCATTCGACTCTGGCATCAGACAAGGGTGTAAGAGACCAATAGCGCAGGGGCATGCAAGCCAAAGGAGGGAAGCAAGACATATTAGTACAGATAAAATACTGGGCAAATTTATGGTTGCAAGTGCTTGCGCTCGTGGTCTAAGTCGAGTACTAAGAATTGAGCCCTGCTAAGCCAGGCGTCGTGATGCTTGTAAGACTGTTGGCTCTAGCAATAGACTTAGACTCTTTATGGCTTAGAGGGAGCAGGAAAATGGCAGGGTATGATTGGCAGGGATATCAGGCAACCCACAGTACGTACCCGACGGCGACGACAAGATGGTTCTTTGGTGGGGACTCGTAGGGAAGGATCAACGGACGGGGATTAAGGTCTCGCTTACCCAGGCTAGACCAGGCGCCTGTCGATCTTCCAGCTCCCCCATCTTCCGTCGTCCGTCTTCCATCTCGCTCTGCAAGCCAGACTTGGCTTTCTTCAACAATGGATGTGCTTTTGCTTTTCTTTTACGTATCTGTGCTGCATAAAAACTGCACAGCCATCATCAATCACTGCGAAAAGTCTCTAAGAGCGCGTCATTCATGTTACCCCATCTTCAGCTTATAGCACGAGGCGTTTGCAACACGAATACACCTTAATTAAACGCGGTTGTCATGGCCCCCAGATCGCCTAAAGTGTACTTTGCACATTCGAGGTCATCATTAAGCGGCGGCTAACATGTTTCAATCACGATCTCTTGCCCGCTAATGCGGAATTTACAGGATTTAAGACACGGTCTACTCATGAGCCCGCGCCAGTCCAAGCGAATGCAAAGTAACACGTCCTTGACTCGAGACAGACTGATGGTGGGAATCGTCACGCATCAGCTTGTCTCAGGCTTTCTGCCTTTAGACTAGACTTCAGGGGCATACGTGCTTCGTCTACGATGGTTTCGCTCATTCCTACGAATTCAGGATACGCAGACACCAAGCCGTTTCTCCTACGTGTACTACCACCCTTCAACGTCAACACCAGGACCAACACCAATATCGCATCGCCATCGCCATCGCCATCACAGCTGCAAGCAATGAATGGACGGACTCGACCACGGATTGGTTTCCCCACTGACACTACCAGGGCGGATGAGCGGGCCAGACCGTCCTGTTAGTGGCGTCAAGGTGTTCCGGGTGCCTTGAACTAGTGGTCATGCATGCCCTTGAACGCCCAAGATTTTACACAGAAGATAAGGAAAAGTGAAAACTGCTTCTATCTAACGGTGCGGGACCGTTGCCAACTTACAGAATCACGACCGAGACATGCGTGTTCACCTATGCGCAACAACATGAAGCCTATTGCCGCGCACGGCTTTTGCAGTACTAAAGGGCTGAACAAGGCCATTTACGTACCTAGGTATTTGGAACGACAACCAAAGTTTGGAACCAAACTCTACCGCTAGATTATCCCACATACTTTGTTCCCTATTATGCCACACACCATCTTGTCGAGGCAGTAGGCAAGCCGGGGTGAGCAAGGGTCAGGGCCAGGTCAAGCACAACCTGTCAGGGTTTCCTGCAGCTGTCCTGAAAAGTAATGATGGAGGGGGTCGGCGTTCATGGGCCCATTGCTCTCATTGCCTCCACACTCGATGCCTCTCCAAAAGTACGTACCTAGTTGAGGCTCTGCTGAATGAAAGTCGGGGAGGAAGCGGTGCCCTCGCTGCAGAATGCTCTCAGACAGGCCTGCGAGAACATCTGCCCCATACAATTGGGGAAATCCCTATCACTCTTTAAGATGTCCCCCTTCGCCCTCCAACAAGTCGACTTTTCTCCATTTCGGTCAACAGCTTCAAGAGCCATTCCGTCTTGCCTACTACAGAATACACTTTATCTTTTATCTTTTATCTTTGCCCTAAAATCCTATATTACCTTATTGCTTGATTTCCCAACATTGCACTACCTGACTTACACACGGTTTCCTTGCGTTACCACGGGTCAAGACTTTACATCCGCATATACATGGCCATATGCCGCTCTTTCTCTGAAGTTCCTCTCGATTTTCGACTTGAAATACTTTCTCTGTCCCGGACTCAGACTTCTGCTGTTCCATCACATTACTGACAACGTTGACTAACCGGAAACAACGCCTCTACACCACTGACACTATGGCCTTCCTTCAGTACCACGAGGAGACTGATAGGGCTGGGTACCTGTCCAACATGCCGTATCTATCTCAGCATGAGCCTGATTACATCAAAAATCAAGACCTCGCCGACCGAATTGATCCCCTTCTCCAATGTCAAACATCATATGCCGGCGGACCTATTGGTACCAGTGGCTTGCAGAGATATCTCCAGGAGCCACAGAACAGCTTCTTCACCGCACCGCAACAAGTTTCAATGCATAGTGCCTATTACACAGGCGTATACCCAAACATGGGCCAATCCCTTCACCACAACTCGCAGTTCCGACATGGCTCTCCAGTATCCTACCAGCATTCGTCGGTCGCTAGTGGACCTCAGAGTCCCCCGTTAACGGATAACGATGGACATGTTGACAGCACTCGAGGGCCATCTACTCCATCTGATACTGCTGCTCTTTCCCCTCATATAGTTTCCCTCGGCTCTCCACCCCCCAACGTTTCACTGTATGGGCTCTCGAGTGTCTCTCAAGGATGTGTGAACCCAGCAGTGATACAGCCAGCCCAAACCTTCGACCACAACCCTGGAGAGGAAGACTTGACTGGCTTCGAACTCGACATTCATCTGAGCTTTGAAGACACTACGCCTGTCTCAACCTCTCCTGATAGCAATTCGAACAACGCATTGTCGATAAATACCCCGAACTCTCTAGCAGAGCCTCGAAACCATATCGAAACCCTTTATCCTGAAATTGAGAGTATGGATGTCGATATAAAAGTCGAGGACGAACTGATCGCTGAGAATTTGTCCACTGTGGCTGAAGATGATGATGACGAGTACAAGCCTACTCGTAGAGCCAAGTCGTCTAGGCCCTCTAGAGGCAAGAGTCGCCGTGGTCGCACGACACGACCAACCCCTACTGTCTCTGTCAACACAGCAGGAGCCGTCAAATCACAGCGCTCTCGAGCTTCGGCAAGTCGGACTTTACTATCAACATCTTCTGATAGAACTGCCATGTGCACGCAATGCAATCAACCTTTCACCGACGGGATACAGCTCCAGAAACATATCAGCGCCTTGCACAATCGTCCATTTATCTGCGTCTTCCATTTCGCAGGATGCAACCAGGTGTTTGCTAATAAGAATGAATGGAAACGACATGTTTCGGCGCAACATCTGAACCTCAACTATTGGCTCTGTACATCTGGCGGCTGTGGGCATTCATCAAGTGCCTCCCGGGCAACCCCAGATGCCCCTACACACTGCCGAGTTTTTAGAAGAAAGGATCTTTATACCCAGCATATCCGCCGGATGCACGCACCCCCAGAAGTTGCCCAAGCTGATAAGAGGGATAAGACCTTTCCTCTCGATTGGATGATCAAGGAGAAGGCGCTACAGGATAAAGCATTTCGACAACGTTGTCAGCTACCGCAGTACATGTGCTGCCCAGCCAAGGGTTGCATGACTGTTTTCGATAATGGCCCGCGGACCTGGGACAACCGCATGGAGCATGTTGCGATTCACCTTGACCGTGCAGCTAAAAGCGAAGAACCACCAATCATTTTTGGCGGTGACAACGACAAAGCCTTGACCGATTGGGCATCACAGCCTGATGTTCGAGTAATCAGGTCTAACGGAGTAGGCTGGGAAACATGCCAGCCACTGAAAGCAGCTAGGATCGAGATCTCTAAGCTGTCAGGCCTTGATGAAGGCCTCGACGAGGATGCAGAAGGTGAAGAATGTTAAGAGCCTTCTTTTCAGTACTGATGGTCCAAGAACATATGCAAGTTCTTAACGCATTCTGTCATGTAGCTTTGGAGACTGCTACATGAGCGCAAGTGTTCATTTACCTTTGGGGAAGTATTTATACAGGTTTTCATACGGCGTTTGTTTTTACAATCACGATACCACCATCGCATATACAGGGTTTCAGCTGCGTTGGCCTTTTAATGTTTGGTCGAATTTGGGAGCACTCTAGCATTTGAGCAGGTTTAATCTGGGCTCTTCTTCTGTTTTAGGGATACCATGTACAAGAAAATAACGAAAGAACAAAAGAACATGTTACCAGAAGCCGTTCCCTACTGCTGCAGTTGTAACAGTCGCTCTACCAGTCGTCACCGCTACGTCTCACCGCACATGCAACCACTCATTTCCGCAGAGCCTCAACTTCACCTTCTCGTGCACTGCTGTGGTCAGCTTAACGTCGTACCGTAGTCCTCAGCCGCACCTCGCTGTACACCCACATTACTGTGTTTTCACTGCTTCTTCTTATTCGTGGTCTGCACTGCACCATCACTTTTGATACTGGAGGTTTGACCAGGGAGGGTTGCATGTGTAATAACTGGGGGCTAAAAATACCCCTGAACTTTGAGTTCAGCACGGCCACGCCGTGATGATTGATGGAGGGGATCTATGCAGATCTTCTTCTCCTTGACTCGACATGAACGTTCTTTTGAGCTTTGAAATGACCTCTCGAAAAGCAAGGGAGCCATGTGGTTCGTAATAGCTCAACTTGTCTTGTACGGTTAAACATTGCCTTCACGTCATCGCCCTTCGAATGCTCATTTACATCGAAGTTCATGGGATACGACAAACAAGCTTAATCTGAATTATCAAATACCAATGCTATTGTATGATCTTTCTTGTTTCAGTAAAGCTAGCGACAGCTCGTACAACAATAGAAACCCATCGGTGCGATTCGTCCATATCGACGTGACACATGCTTGAATTCGTTGCACCTTTTTGAGTTGCTTGTTCCCAAACACTATAAATAATTATTGTAATCATGAATCATCTTTCGTCTTCTCATATAAACTCTGTCTTCGTTGTAGTGGATGTTTGAAGTAGATCTGCGATATCTCAAGGTCAGCCGACGCTTATGGGTAATTGCGGGATACATACACTCTTGCTGAGACCACTTACTCAATGATTGTCCTTACACGTATTACTCGTGGTGAGCATTGGTACTTATACCGTCTGGCCTTGGCTATGCCGCATATTCTCCAAAGTTGTAGGCGCCCGGATCGGAATACGCTGAGCTCGACGTTGTTGTCGGCTTTTGCATGCAAGTGCGTATCCTGGTTCGTTGGCTTTGCGCCATTCGACGTATGCTTCGTACTGCTGTTGCTGAGATGTGTCAGGAACTGTTGGCTTCAAGACAGGAGGAGGACAAGTCGGATAGAGTCCGCTTCCCATGGCTGGATTGTAAGGCCATTGGGGCGTTGTATTGAGACCAACCAATGGGTTAGATGCGACTGAGTATGGCTGAAAAGCTGTATTGCCTGTAGGTAGAGTGAATTGATTGCCCAACATTGGCCCCAGTCCAATGCTAGATAGCAATCCAGGGGGAGGGGCACTCTGCATAGGGACTTGGTAAGCGCCGAACCGAAGAGCGGCGTTTGAAAACGGGGACAAATTTGCTGTAGAATCGAGTGCTGCTGGGTTTTGTCCTCCAAAAGGGAGTGAACTAGTCTCCGACTTCGACTTGTCTCTAACACTTTGAATGTCATGTTCCGGTTTCTTGAAAGACAGAGGATGATCCAGCGTTGCCGAACCTGTTTCGACAGACTGGTTGGTCGTAAGATCACTTTCCTCGCTACCCCTATCCAAACATGTTTGTCGAATGGATTCTTCATCCGATTCGTTGGGGCAATCCGAACTTTCTGATGCTCTTGTAAAACTTTTGAATGATAGGAACTCCCTTGCTCTAGGGTTCAATTTAAGGGGATCTCCGTCCATACAGACTCCAGAGTCATGGGACCAAACTTCCTTTCTCGGATTGTTGGCGTGAGTTGAGCCAGTCTCAAACTCAGAGCTGTTTGTTTTGAGTTGCTGCGTCACTCCTTGTGGCTCCTTTATCACTTCCCACCGGTGTAGAGATCCTTCTGAGTCGGTTGCGCCTGGGTATCGATGACTTCCGCTAGATCCTGAGTGAAGCTTTCTCAGAAGCTTCTTAAAAGCCTCAGTTCGTTGCTCGGTTTCTTCCTTTGGTTTTCTTACAGCTTCTTCCTTGGTATTGTCGGTCTGGGTTTGCTGAAACCTTTTCACGATTTTTCTGAAAGCTTCATTTCTGGGACCAAATGCTTCTTTCGTGGTTGGATTGCTTGACTTTGAAACTGACGGCTCTGCAGTCTTCACTCGAGACCCATCTACCATACTGCCGATATTGGCGACAGCTGGGTCATGAAAGACAGCCTCTCTGGCCCTTTCAATGCTCTCCTCTCCAGAGCTCCTGGGGATTGTATGTCTCTCTTCTCTCAATTGATAATGAGAAGAAGCCGGCTGTGATCGATGCTCTTCACTTGTTGTCTGCGGCAAGTTCTTGATACCCTCCCCAGTAACTTCCCACTGTGGATGTCGTCCGTGTGACCGTTGTATATGAGCGAGTGTATATGCGCGCCCGTTATCTGTGAGGACTTGACCAGAACTTTGGGAAATGATTTCATTGGAGAAAAGAGGGGTGAGTCGAAGGACGCCGAATTCATCAGGGGAATCAATGATTTCCATATTTTCCAGCAGGACACATAGTCCATGAAGATCCTCACCTACGTCCTCACTCGGAGCTGTGCGCACATTATCTCCATCTGCTGTGCTGATATGGCCTTGGTTGACGAGGGCAACACTCTTACCCTTGGTCTCGGCTTCAGAGCTGTCGAGACTACGAACAGATCGCCCGGAATTGGCATTATTGATCAAGTCCCAAGAGTCGGATCTTCTGTTGTTGCTGTGATCAGTGCTTGAATCATTATCTGCAATAGGCCTAATAATGGACCAATTCTGGCTGCTGCTTGCTGTGGCAATGGAGTCGCCCATGGAGTCGCAAGTGCTGCATCTTTCTCGCCGACGACGCCAATCTGGGTTGTTCATTGCTTCCGAAAACTTTGAAACTGAACTTGAATCTCCGGAGTTTTCCTTTCGTGACAAAGAAGGAGAAGACTGGGTTTCAAGGAGCATTCCATCTGTGCTTGTTGTATCAGTTGAGATGGAAGTGCGAGCCTTTCGATTTTGGATTCTCTTTTCGTAATTCATGCTGAAAGCTCCTGCTCTCGTGAGCTAAGGTGAACCACGGAAAGCGAGGCACAAGTTTCGAGGTCAGATCTTGCAGCAGACAACTGGTTAGGATATCTGTTGATGTTGAGACAGTCAGGGTCTCGATTTGTAGGTTGTCAACGCGGCTTTCCTTTTTTTTCTTTTCTATTGTGCGAGTTTCTCGGATAGGTGACGCCTTCCTCTCAATTGATCGTGATGTGAGAAAGCCAGTCGTTGGATACTTGTTTCAACGTGGTAGGAAGGGGATGTGACTTGGAACACAATCCAGAGAGTCGCAAATAAGCGTTCTATGTCAGAGGGAGTGTCAGCACATGAAGGTATGTATCCTCCCAAATCAATGATCCCGATTTGGTCTTACATTAGCCTGAAGAAATTACTTACGTTGAAACCGGCACGAACAATGCTGCCAAAGGCTTGGATAAAGGCGAGAAACTGCAGGCTCTTTTTGATGGGTTGGGGTCTCTTGAGGTGGGGAGGAGAGTTGGAACGGCGGGAATGAGGCCGTGTATGATGATCGCTGGCAAGTGAATTCGCTTTTGTAGAGGCAGTGTTGTTCTAGACAAGATGCCTTAATGCTGCGTGTAGCGGAATAGATAGTCCAAAAAAGGGCACTCTTTTGCTAACGAAGGCCAAGATGTGATGGTGTTGAGAAGAGAGAACAAAAAGGAGTCATGATGGAGGAGAAGATGGTTAATCACTATCATCTGAAGGAAGGCGGAAGGGGTGCATCAGCATTAGGGGAAAGTGGAAGGTGGGACTTAGAAGTTGGGACGGAGCCCTCCCATATGATCAGTGGCCCCTTCCTAGAGTGAACTTTTTGCAAAATTATGCGCAGGAAAGAAGAAGGCACAAAGTTGAGTTGATGATTTCAGTGATGGAACAGAGAGTGATCAAGAGTTCAGAGACCGAGCAAATGAAACTATATATTGAAAGGTATCCAAAAATAACGAGAAAAACAAACCCTCAAGCAAGATACTCCAAAGGACAGAAACCTGGACCGCTATCGAAGTGATCGGTTTTATAAACATCCACTCGCTCATTATCAACACTATGGTATGGCTCATAGAGATTCAGCACTATCCCTGATATTGCTGTCCACCCATAAAGGCAGCAAACGCTCTCTGGTATCTCGTTAGCGATCAAGACTAGAGTGGAGGAGAAGGAATGCACTTACCGAGTTTCGAGTCTGCAGGTAAACTGTTCCAGGACCTGTGAACTTGCAGACCAGACCTTCTGCTGAAGCGAGTCCCGAAATGATACCTCCCGAGGCAACACGCTCCATTACATACTTGCAATTCCAAGCGATGAGATGGCCGTTATCGACAATGTACTTTTCGTCCTCAACAAGCTATTGGGTGTTAGTTTATAGCACAAGAATACCCCAAAGTAAACTTACCGTCTTCTTGATGATGGCACCGAAACTTGAAATCCAGAGCAATCCCACACCGCTGATCTTGTAAACCCACAGGCCTTCACCACTGAACATGGCCTTTCCGAGTCCTTGGCGTTTGAAGTCCTTGATAACACCCTGTGTTGAAGCAAGGAATGCATCTGTACCAACTGACCAGGTCTCCTTGCCTGAGAGACGCATAGTAGTAATATCACCAAGACTGTGCGGCGCCAGAATGATTTCACCGGGACCAACATACGTCGAACTTGTCACATCAGCGCCAGTAATCATCTTTTTCATGCTGAATTTGACTTGTCCTCTCAACGTGACAGACGGAGACATGGCGACCATTGCGCCTGGCTTGCCGGCCATGGGGCAACCCATAGCCAGCTGGATAGTAAGGATACTGTTGGAATCGCGATGACTGATGCGGTAACTGCCTCCATTGAAGGTTCCGACATCATCAGCGATGGCCTCTGCTCCAACAAATTGACCAGCTTGAGGAGCGCCAGAGGCAACCATGGCTACCGCGCTTCCGGCTTCCTGTTGCTGCTGTGGTTGTTGCTCCAGCTCCTGCTTTGGCTTCTCGACCGGATACGAGTCACTAGCTTGAGGCGAGATTGGCGGCGGCGGATCAAAATGTTGTTGACTAGACGCTGGTGTAGCTACCGGGGGTGTTGATACAGGTGGGGTAGCAGCAGGCCTCATGGCCAAGTTGTTCTGTTGGCCTGGTGCATGATACTGGGTCTGAGGAGGAGGAGTCGCTTGCGGCTGGTTGAATTGGAAGTGCTGCTGGTACGCTGGCGCCGACATGGGCGGGGGAGGGTAATGTCCTTGAGAAGAGCTGTGAGAGTGTTGCCTGACTTGAGGAGAGGGAGTCGACTGCTGCTGAGGAGGTTGTGGGTAGTGAATCGGCTTTGGTTGGTGAGGCACTTGGGGAGATGGCGTATGCTGAGGAGGAGGATAGCTCACGGCCTGTCCAGACTGTGGTGGCGACTGAGGCGGAGGTGGATAGTTCATATTTTTCCCAGACTGAGGCTGAGATTGAGGTTGAGGAGGAGGAGGATAGTTCATAGCTTGTCCAGGCTGGGGCGGAGACTGAGGAGGAGGAGCGTAGAATTGCGTCTGGTTCGCAGGAGGAGAGGTCGGTGGCGGCGCATATTGGTGTCGTTGCTGTTGTGGTTGAGGAGCTGCTCAGACATACCATGGTTAGTCTCGTTCGAGGTTATCATAAGATGAGGGTTTTCGCGAACCTGGAGAGCTCTGTGCCGCGCCGGGCGGAGCTATTGAGGTGTCATGATCAGTTTGGTTGTCATGATGAGCCAACGGATAGTGGGACTTACGAGGGTAATAGTGCTGGCTCATGACTTCTGATAGTTACTAGTCGGAGAATAGGCGGGCAAGATGAATCGAAATAAACAGATCTATAAAGATGAAGAAGAAAAGGAGAAAAATAAAAAAAGATGAGACCCTGAAGGAGCTCTCCCCAGGATAGCTCCAAGCTGCTTCTTTAGCCGCCCGTAATATGTGCCAAGCTAGGACAGCCCCGCACAAATGTTGCCTTTTCACTGCCACGATACTTGAGCCATGGAGTTTGATATCAAAGATTCGATGCAAAAAATTGGACAAAATTCAACAAAATTTAAAAAGCTATAGAATGTTCTCCTTATAGACTTGTAATACTGTCTCGGCATTTACTTTGTCTCATAATAAATAGAAACTGGCCGCATCACCAGAGACCAAGTTCCCGTCCTTGCCGAACAACTGCAACTCGACCTGCAGGATGAATGCTACAAGCTTCATTCATTTCTGGAATATAGCCAATCAGTGAGTGCTTTCAGGTCATTCAATCCCTGCTCAATGAGCTCTTTGGCTGTGTCGACAGCTGTAAGCGCCCACGCGGGGCATGCCGTGGGCGCTTAGCTACGGTCTCAGCAAGCCTATTGGCTTATTGAGTCTGTAGGAGGCAAATGAGTCCACGTCTCTCTCCTACAATTGATGAGTATTGGATCAACTGCTTTAAGACTATATCAGTCTACTTGTTAGACTCAAGTCAACCTGGGGGCCTGAGGTTCTGAGCTTTGTCATTCATTGTGTCCCATCACGTGCAGAAACTGTGTTCCTGTCATTGTGGCTTGGTATGATCTGACTGTTGCCAAGATACTGTACAGCAAGTACTCCATCTGTTTACTCAACACCACTTCACGTTACCCAAGGTACCAATATCCATTCCATTACCCATGTCTTGGCACTACTCGGGGTATGCTATTCCCACTGCCAAGGATATGGTGGTTTCAGCTCCTGTGCCTTATGAACTCTAAAAGCCAGGTATTTCCAGTGCTGAAAACCGCTCTTAATTATACACCCTCACTTCAACCTCTTTGCCCGTGTAACTACACGCGTCTAACTCGAGGCGCTTATCTCTCGGGCCCGAGCTGCGAGACTTGCCTTGCCATTATCAATCAATGATTCGAGTCATATGTTTTCCAAGAACACTGGTTCCAAGCCATGAAACTTGGTAGGGGCATGGCTGCAGGCTGCAGCATAACAGGTCACTGACATGAGAGATCGTTTTGCTGATCATGTCGTCCTCTTTAGCTTGATTTATAATCTGGTAAGGCTGGGAGCTTATGAAGTCATCCTAAACTCAAATGTTCGCGTATACTCACCGGTCCTGTCAGATCTGGCAAGCATCATGTCGATATGCTCTCACATCGACGTCGTGATAGCACATCGACCCAATACCGTGCTGTCCTACCAGTATATCGGCATGTTTCTGATTCTGATGTGCAGCTTCGTTGTTCGGGAATACCGTCAGCCGATGATGGTGGCATTTTCGTTCAAGATCTACGATAACGATACGTATGGGCTTGGTTGTCAGGGTTTGACTTTCAACTTGCTCACAACGGTCAGTTTTGCGAAAGGCAACTGACTTTCGCTATGGGTCAACCACATCCACGGGTCCATAATGAAGCTACCCAAAGGCTGAGAAGCAGTGAAACCACTGAAGATTTGCTGGCCGTTCCGTTCCGCTCGGCTTTGAAACCCGGGACGAGTTTGCCCACTCTCGTCAGCTCAAGAAGCCACCAGGAGCCTAATCCGTCATAACAAGAGTCTTGGAGAGTTTAAGAGTTCTTCTTTGCTGGCTCTGAGTCATAGCATCTACTGTAGCCTTTCCAAGCTCCTGGACTTTGAGCGAAAGAGTTCGCCGTTAGGACCTGTAAACCTCTCAACCTCAAAGCCGTTGAATTGTACTTGCGTGGTTAGTGTATTGTCGCGATAGACGAATACGGTATTCCTTAAAGTTACGAAATGCCAAATAGGGATTCAAGGCATGCTTGGCGTTGGATTAGAGTTTAACCAATCTGTCGTGAGCACGCCTGCGAACGATACTGATGAAGTCAGCAAAGTAAGCCGTTCGGGAAGACATTGCCCCTTGTTAACGCGATTGACAGTTTGATAACCGAAGACAAGACGCCACTTGTTTGAAAGCCTTATTTGCAAATTTATTGGCAGCTAAGCATGCAGGTTCGCCGAACAGCACGCGGGCGCCTCGTGCGTCGATATGTGTTTTATGCCAGCCATGAGTAGATATGGTGCCTCCACTGCTACCAGGTCAACCCAGATGTACCTCGTCAATGAACTAACAGATTCTGAGTTGTAGATCTAGTTTATCACTTGCTGACAGTGGATCCCCAGACCAGGTGTGCCTGTCAGATGCATAGCTTTCAGCCTCATACAGAGCCTTGAAAGCGTACAAGCCATGTAATCTCCATCAAGACGATGCCCCATGACGCTGAAATGCCAGTGTAGTAGCATTCTAGTGACCATAATGATTTGGCATGCTCACCTCCACAGCCTAGCAATAGCTCCTCCTCTTGACGGAAGCTCTTGTCCGTGGTTCGCCGAAGTGTATGGCTCTTGGTAAACTACTATACGTCAGAGGTATTGCGGTTCAGAGGAACGGCAATTAATTCATCTTGTTCTGTAACTCATACATATCAGTTGTTGGCTCGGCTGGACCACAAGCTCCGACTCGTGTCATTGAGGCAATGCGATTCTCAAAACAGACAGGAAATATGACCTGTCGCACTGACGGGTAACAGTGCCGATGAGGCTCCTATAAACATGACGGGTCTCGAGACAGTGCCTGGACCCAAACCTGGGGGACTGCCCTAAGCAAAAGTATGTCGTACCATAACCGTTGGCAGTCTGGCCCGTGCTGGATCGGGAGGCTTCTGTTTTATTGATCGAGATGTTGTGTTGGAAATGTGTGCCAGCAACTAGGCGTTTTCTGATATGACAGCCACAGTCCCAACCACCTTTGCGGCTTTGGCTGTCTGAAGTTTCTCCCTGGCCCAACAAGCCCTTGGTTGTGGTCCGCCCCGTTTCGCTCATGGCGTCTCTGCGCCCGCTGTTGACTGATGGCGGCACGTCTTACAACGTTACGTTGATCAAGTGAAATGCTGGTAGGCCTTACGGTAGCGCAAACAAGTCACTAAGACATGGTGGCCTAGAGCTCCCCGAGCACGATCAGCGGGCTAATAGTGGACCGGATCTCGATAAGGAGAGTTTCTTGGAGATTAGCTCAAGCGGACAATACCAAAGCTCGATCTTAATTCTTGCCCGCCATTCCCGAGGCCCTTGTCATGTGAGTCGGAACAGCTTGACTGGGTGGTAGCTCGAAGAGTACAAGCAAGACATGTCTGCAGACAAGTTGAATCGAAACGTAATATCGGTAGCTCGTTGGTCTGCGCATCGAGGCCTATCGTATGTTGTATGTATGTAGGTATTGGAATTTAAAGTTAGACTCGTTCGTCGAGCTTGAATGCTATGTCAGCCTGCATCTGCTTCGTACAGTATCCAGTCACGTTGCTCAAAAGAGCAACGGTGGCGGTTCTTGCCAAAAACAACTTTCAAAGCACATGGTTGAGAGGGAAGTCAGGAACGATAGAAGCTGAATACTGTACCTGCCTAGGCTAAGCGTCCATGCGCCTGGAGCGAGACTCGGGTTGCAAAATTTATATCGACACATTAAGAAAAAGAAAGGGTAAGAAAGAGCGGCGAATTGCTAGCCTTTTGCGGACGTCGTCTCAACATATTCTCGGTACAGATAGAGAGTATCGTACTAATTCGTTGGATCGCTGCCACCCCGCAACTTAAACCTTGGGTTTATAGCTGACTATTTCGGTCTTGAAACCATCGACAATATAATCGCTCGCAATGAGGCTTACATGTTGGCCACGATTCAACAGAATGCAAGCACAGCACGTACACTCTGGCGCCAGAACCATGTCTCTGGGTCCTCCCTGCAGAACGGTCCGGACGCTGAGCCATGGTGTTGGTTCACACGAGAGACGGGCCTCTGGGTCCAACGATATGCTCTAGAAGTCTAGAACCTCCCTTTGTGTTTCGCAAATATGGCTTGCATACATGCTATCCGTACGCACGAACGTGCTAGATAGGCATTTTGAGAAGTCCTTCGGGAAATTCCGCTTGGAAGAGGATTTTCTTGTTCGGTCAGTCACTACTCAGCAGTAGTAGATCCTGTTCTAAGGGTCAACCCATTAGCACAAGAAGCTAGAAGAGAGATAACACAAAACACCGAGTCATCGTGGAGACCGGATGCCGGTCATAATCGTCTCAACTTCAAGCCGTCTGGCAACGTGGTCCCAAACAGGAAGCGAGTCGTCGCGAACTCGCCTTCAGGCACTCGCGATTCAATGGGATGAGCTCCCTCTCTGCAATCGTAGCCAGTTGCCAAGATCAGTACAGGTCCAAAGCAGCGTCTGCTCCGTCATGGCATTATGATCTGTCGCCTTGTCAGGGTAGGCGAACCGGATATTATGGGATTTAGCTTACAGGGTACTCTGTACCTGTCGGCGTAGCAGTTCTGGCAGGCAAAGATGACGAGCCTCAACCACGACTTGGCTTTGCCAAGTTTTCACGGGTCGATATCGTTCAAACACTGGACTTTGTCAAAAATCCCACGAGTAGTTGCTCTATAGCTCATGGCGAATCCCCTGACTCGTTGTTAAATCAACCAATCTTCGGTACCGAGACAAGTTCTGGGGACTTCGGGTCTGCAACTTACAAGAGTTTAGCGCTTCTTGCTAGAACCGGCGATGAGCCAGGCTTTTCCTAGGCTCCGATGTCCAGGGACGCGAAGGAGCCAGAACACTACAGTAGTTTCAGGTATCGAACTATGAAGACTAGACATGCAATTATTAGTGACCGGGGAGTTAGTTAACCATAGAATGGGTATCTCTCAAAGTTTTGAGGCTATTTTGGCTTTAGGGAGAAGGGTCAATGTGTCGAACGAACGGCGGATGGCTGTAGATCCGATCGTCTGTGGGGCATAGCCTATAAATGAAAAGATGCGATTGGACGTAGACGAAAGATTTAGTGCCTGTCCACTGTCCACTGCCCTACGGGGGGATCTCAGGCTTGTGTTAGTGTCAGATGGTGAGAACAGCCCAGGTCGGTGGACCATTTTCTTCCTTTCGTCTGAACAGTTTTCTGCCTTGCGAAGGATGATTGATTATATCCATAGCCAAGGCTGTGCATGATCTCTGATACACGTTGTGTCATGGATAATTGACACAAGGATTCCGACATGATGTGCCAATGCAAACGGGACCTTACATGGCATGGCATCACGGCAGACATGTGTCCGAAAAGGATATTCCTTCTAAAATACTCCGAGGGCTTGTTTATAAGATACAACATAAAGAACTTGACTTGAGCCTCCACGAATGGATTACCGAATTCATCCATCCTAACACCACAGGCGTCAGGGGCCAGCCTGCAGGTGGCACTAGGATTCGAACATTAGCGAATCATAAGCAAACGGCTGGTCGATACGCCAAGAAATCTACCTGACCCTTTGAAGGTGAAGGTGAAGGGGTGGCCGCGGGGTTTACGATTATATGACACTCTATTTCAGACAAAGTGTACATGTACAGTAAGCAAACGGGCAGGCAGATGAAGCAAGGTACAGAGGACAGTAACATTGAATGGGAACAAGCAAGGACAGCAATTAAAGCCCTATGAATGTCGTTTCCCGCGCTTTAGTATGGACGCTGATGCCAGTCGTTGGTCTAACCTCGAGCTGAGGTCCTTCAATACTCGGTAATTATCAACGTTTGATCTCAGCCCAGCCCAGCTCAGCTCGGTTCAGGGGTCAGTACTGTAAGGATTGATTGATTCAACTTGAAAGCTGAAGTGATTCAACAGAGTGTAAAAGATCTGCAGTAAAAGAGCCTACAGCGCGTCAAGCATCCACTATGGCAACCCGACAGACTGGACTGCGGTATTACCGGACGATTGCTGGTGATGCAAGGGCTGGCTGATCTCGTTTTGATTTGATTTGGATGACATGACTGGACTGAAGCGAAGCGTGTGTGGAAATAAGAGAAAAAATAAAAAGAGTTAGACTCCCCCTTGTTAGGCCAATCCGATGGATGGGATGCGACATGGAGAAGGGACATGGGCTGATGTGCATTGCATTCATCCATGTAAACCGCCAAGAGACCACCATCTCGTAGATGAGCCAATTAGATGAACTCAACAGGACACAGTTCCACAGCTGGGACCACCCTGGGACACGCTGTCGGGTTTAGAGACCCGGCTCTCGGTACAAACGCTGCACTGGCACTGGAAACCGCTCCCAGAAGAGGCTTGATTGCTCCGGCAGGACGGGCGCATGGGGACTAGACTGATAAGCTCCACTGGACAGTACTGTACAGTACCCAAGTTATGTATTGAGTCGAGACGCCTTCATCAGAGACAAGCCCACTCAGTCCGGTCCAGCCCTGGCGGTAAGACAGAAACCAGAAACAAAGAAATAACTTGGTAGAGTCGGTGTACTGTACTGTACTAGATACGTTAGCAGGGAAAAAAGCCTACCATCCTGTCGGATCATTAAGCTCAATATGACCTAGATAGCCTATAGCACCAAAACTACCTGTTTCTACTATTACCTCTTCAGAAGCTAAGTTACGTCTACGGTCATCACTAGTTCGCTAACTACACCACCACGAGTCTGCTCCACCCCAGCAATGAAGCGGCGTCAACGCCTGCTCTTCTAGCGCAACGCGGATGCCTTCATATTACTTGGCCTGCTCGCCCCTGCTCTTTCCCGTCTGTTTCTGTTTCTATCTTTGCTTCTACTGCCATTTCTATTCCCACAATCCATTCATCACCATCTCTATTTCTCAATCGTCAATCAATCTTTCAAATATTCCCAACACACACGCTCTCTCCAATATTTTTTACTCAACCTCCATGGGGCAAGTCATCACCAGCCTCTAGCTCTAGCCATGTGGGAGCCTCACAAGGCACGCCAGCGAAGAGACTCGCCCGCAAAGGCATCACAACCACAACAGCAAAATAACACTGTTTCGACTTCGAACACGGACACAACAATGACGTCTGAAAAGGCGACATCAATTCAATCACCATTATCGCCACCAGGTTCACCACCTTCTTCATCTTTAAACTCGCAATTTCAACCCCAATCAATCGACGTCCTTACCTCTCAACTTGGTAGTTCATCACTCAGCCAATACCACCGCGAATCTTCACTTTCAACAACACGCCTACCAGAATCCGCTCTCTCGCCTATTTCATTACCTGACGACGATTGCGTCAATGTTTCTTCGATACTCACCCACCACAATTCGAGGTCGATGGAAATTGATGCCGACAATCACAGCAATATGCCGACTTCACAAAATGCGTCCACTTCAGAGAAACAAACAATCTCCACGGACTCCATGAGCATGCCTTTCGCTTCCTTTGAGCCCATTGCCGTCGACCCCACCGCGCTCGCCGAAGCTCCAGGAACTATCACAAGGTCTATGTATAGACCCAACGCCTTTGGCGGGTTCGAAGTGGACGAGGGATACTGCGAAGATGAAGATGACTTCTCTTGGCTTCCATCAGCTGGGTCATTAAGGGCGGCCAGCACGCCAGACGGTATCAAGAAGCGTTATGATCTCGGATACAGGAGATCGGTTGATGCCGCTAGCCGCTGTCGCAACACCATCCACAGTGTACCACGGATGCGACGACGTGATAAGAAGAGGAGCAAACACTCTCAATCGGGCGCAAGCTCTATACGAGGTCGATCCGATTCTCAAGCATCATCAGTGATTATTTCGGCACAATAGAGCACATCAGCGTTGCATGTCAGCGGTGTCCTTGGTGGGTGCAGGCGGCATAGCATATGTCATGACCAGCTTAGAAGGATCGGGTACGACACAACGGCGTTATATGGTTACGAGCATTTACAAGAGCGAAGCATCCGCCCTTTCGGGACAGAACCGGGGATGAATGGGCTAAGGCGTTTTTTCGGAAGTTTTTGAGATTTAGACACGTTGGTCATTTGTTTGATTATTTCGGAGATTTCACAGTTTGGCGTACGGGTATCACGACAGGGAGCATAGTTTGTTTTACCATGGATCATGTACAAGGCGTTTGAATTCGGAATATGCTTGGAAGACAGAACCAGCATGAGGCGCATCATGACGTGAGAGTCGTGGTCAGGATGCAAGGTCGCGGCCAGGAAGCAGGGATGAGATACAGTGCAGTACATTGCATTGCGTTGCGTTGCGCGACCAACAAGGTCGATGTTGGTATTAGTATTATCCTGTAGTTTAGAAGAGCCTCGCACGACGTCTGATCCCGATGGATCGACGACATCTCCAGATTGGCGATGGAATAAACGCAACAAACGTGTGTAACTATCACAACGAACATTCTTACAGAGCATCAAACATGTGACATACGTGATAACTGGCTTAATGACGGCAGCATAGCAGTCTTAGTCGTGTTAAGAATTGAAGTTGTATAACACAACTGAGAAAATGGGTGTGGAAGCTCGATTTCGGTAAGACTTGATCGGAGCGACTTTTAAACTTTATCGGAAGACACGGCTGATGAAGCCATCACCAGCCGGGCCGAGGGTTTGTGTGTGACCACCATAAGACCTTTATCTCAAGAATGGTATGCTAGCTTGATCATTTGATTGATTTGTCAACGTACTTAGATAAAGGTCGGCAATGGCGCCTTGGTTCTTACCCGAATCCTGTTTACTCTACACGTCAAGGCCTAGTCGTGCCGTCGCGCTTGCACTCGCGTCCCTTCACATCGTACGAGCCAAACGACGAGATTTTTTCTCGTCAATTAATCTGTGCCGCCAACAGCCGGACGCCATGGTCAAGAGGGACAAGGCGTCGCTGAAAAGAGTTCATCGGAGAGGGGAGGTCTGGGCACAAAACGATGTGGATAACGGTGAGTTCCCATTCAGGTAGTCAAAGAGGCCTCATGACAAAGTAAATGTGAAAAATCGAATTGATAGATGGAATACATGAATCATTCAGTTGGTTAATTAAGCAATGTTTACTATGACAAGGCATGAGTGCATGGGGTCGTTGATGAGGTGACGAGGTTAGACAAGTGGTGAAGAAACTAACTAACAGGAACATTCTTGAGGTGAGACAAGTTCACGATGAAAGATTCAATTGTGTTTAATTGAATGCGCAGGAAAATAAAGATTCCATCTATGTAAAGTAGTCTATGGGCGGGTCGATCGAAAGCAAAGAGAGATCCATATCTCAATTACAGTCACAATGACATGGGAGGTGGGGTCTCGAGCCTGTCAGATCTGATCATGCCCCTGTAAAAATGCAATGCAATGCAACCATTTTGGCTGCCCGCTGCAAGGTACAGGCGGGAGTCAGGGCAGGCCCAGGCCCATGAGGTCAGCCCGGGCACGGGTAAAGGTAAGGGTAAGGGTGCTGCTACTGGACTGTACTGCTGCACATCAATCACTTAGGTCCCATAAACCTTCAACTCTATCGACCTGGATATAATCATCTAGGCTGTGATATGCGAAAAGTGATGCAATACCTTTAACAAAGATCTTCGCATAGACGTCATGTCATCAATCATCTACTCGTAAATCCCTCTTGTCAATCACTACAGCTCTGCAAGATCTCCAGGTAAACGCTCGCTCATCACCAGCCGGGCCCAACTCAAAATCTTCCCCCTCCCTCAACTCGACCAACCCAACTTAACTCTCGGCTGCCCATCAATCAAACGCTCCATACAAAAGGCAAATCTCGTCCCGTTCGACCTTAGGCTAACGTAGGTACACCCGTGAACTCTACCTTAGCCCGTCCCAGCGCCTCTACCTCTAGTTCCGAGTGGCTTCGGCCATCCAGAGCATCACCACCTCCCCCATCCATTGTCCAGGGGATCCAGGTCTAGCCCAAGTCTCCCGGGCCCAGGGTTGCTTCGTATCTCTTTGTTCGAAGCTGTCAAAAATTAAAATCCCGAAGCCTGTCATATTCTTCAATCTTCAAACCTTCTAGATATGGAAACATTTCTCGCAATCAATCAACATATGTCGCACAAAGGGATCGTCCATTTTTATTCCCATCTAGAATAGACAAAGGGAGGGGGGTAAATGATCTGTGTCCATGACACGAGAATCATTTTCGATGGAATGCTCCCTCATAGCGCCGTGCATTCCTCCCGCTGTCGCACTCCAACTGCCTCTCCCAAGTAGCAACGCAGAACAGCACAGCGCAACGGTCTCGTTGCTGAGCCAGAATGAATTCGTAGACCTCTCATCTCACCAATCTTGCTGAATGTCGCGATCTTGTCCGTCAAATCCACTGTTAGTAAAGTCATCAAAAACCAGACCGGCCTTGTTTTATTCCTCGTCGTGTCTCGCCCGTTTCTCTGGTGCCCGTTGCTGGCTTGCCCGTTGCTCCATTGACTTGACTTTGACCATCTCCACGCCTTGTCAGGTCTCGTTCGCTTACCGGCCGAGTCTCTTGTTGCTCGTCTTGAACTTTGTTTTGCTGCCTCTGACTGGCTCTAGCCTGTCGCCTCTCTTCTCGCTATCACTCAAAGGCCCAAGGCTCCTTCTTTTCATTCCCTCCGTTGCCATTCTTTTGGCTCTCGTTTCATTCATGCCATTACCTTCCTCTTCCACTTCGACATCTTCGTCGCCTTCATTGACTTTCTCAGCAAGCCCAAGGTGACTCGCTTGGTTGACCACGCCTCCATTGCCGTCTTATCCCTCAGCTTCAAACAGTTTAGCCGAACAACAGTGCAGTATACCAATGGCCTCCTGGACCCTACCCTTCCGGGTTGAGGCTACCGACCGCGACCCGGGCTTCTACTGGCAGGATATCGATGACGGACCCAACAATGGATCAGCCGACTTCTTTGGCGAGTTTATCAACTTTGACAACGAAATCCCATCATCCATGGCCGATCCTCACGGTCACAATCCGGGTATGCCTGCCTTGGCCGATGGACTCATCCTTGATCACCCTGCCGAATCTACCGCGTCCGCTTCATCGGGCGTTTCAACAACTGAAGATGAGTTCGACTTGTTTTCCTGCAGCTCCCAAGTCGACGCGACGGGCCCCTCTCACCATGGATCGTCAGCCGCACCTGGCGCAACACAGGAGGTTGACCCTCGTAGCCTCGCACTTGCTGGAAACGATGGACTAGTAATGGAGAAGCGTTCCATGGTGCCTCGAGTTTCCATGTCTGACCCAGAACTACCCCAAGTTAATGGTATCTCACTTCAGACCTCACCTGGCCGACGAGTACCTGTCTCACAACCATCATCGCCAACGCCGCCCAACACCATGACTAGGAAACCTAATAAATTCGTCGAAGCACTCTCATCAACAATCCGAAAGGCCAGCAAACTTCGCAGACCCAGAAAGCCCATCGCCATGGACCGCCCTGGCTCTCCAACCATGGACAACCCTCCTCGGGCTTTGAGACTCCAGGATCATCCGTACAACGGGAATGACGCATTCCCCCCTTCACCAACATGCGGGCCGGATAGCACGAACTTTGTTCATGGCTTTTGCGACGATCCTTTTAATGAAATTCCTCAGCAGCCCCCTAACAACATGCGCTTCTTCAGCAACAATGGGATCCACACACCGGCTGTGTCACCGGGAGTCAAGACAGAACCAGGCCTATACCAACCTGAGATGGCGGGACAAGTTCCTCAATCATCTTGGCAGCATCAGCAACATCCCCATCCCCATCCACACCAGCATCCCCATCAACCAACAGTTGCTCCTGGCCACCCTCATCAACAGCCCGTCGCGGTTGTAGGCTCAGCACCTGAGTCGTGGCCAGGACATGAGTATATGGCTCAGAATGCTCATCAAAGTGGTTGGTGGGATCTAAATCTCCTTAACCAAAATGGCGAGTATGTCGTTGTCGACCCTCAGCAACAGAAGAACGCCAACCTCAATCTTGCCATGCATGCCCAGCACGCAGAGTTACCGTACGAATACCAAATGCACGACCCCAACTCGGCGGGCCTTATGATTCACATGCCACAACCAAGAAATGCTTCAGCGCCGGTTCATGACCTTGCACTCAACGCTCAAACTTACCTCCCTCCACCGCCGCCTGTCCCGCCTACCACAGAGCGACACCGCCCACCGCGAGCGCCATCCTCTGGAGCTCGACACTTGTCGTGCTCTCCTATTCGCAAGACACGACAACCATCCGTGCCACCAACGCCTACCACAGCGCACTCGCGCCACAGTTCCAACGGGTCCGTTGGGTCGGCCCGCAGCGCCTCAGGTCGCGGTATGGTACCTGGCACTCCCACTGCCATGCGCAAACAACGACGATCAAGAGATTCCAGCGGCGGCAGCGCAGGCGGCGGCGATATCGGATTCGTCAACTTTACTCCCAGTGACGGTGGTCTCCTCATGACAGGTGTTGCGCCGAGCGGCAGCTCCAAGACCAAGGCGCGCCGAGAACGTGAGGCGATGGAACGAAGACGACGACTAAGCGAAGCAGCTATGAAAGCGGTGCAAGCAGCGGGAGGTGATGTCGATAAGCTTATGGAGCAGGGTTTTGCCTTTTAACCCCTCAAAGCTGACCTCCATCATTTTTTTTGGTTCCTGGTTCCTGCATATGAACACGTATGTGGCTGCTGAAACTTTCTGTCAGGAACTTCCAATCTGCGACTTCGCATTGGTCGATCAAAGCAATAATAGAAATACAATGATGCGAAGACAAAGACAAAAGAGGGGAAGAAATACGTCGTGCTTCACTTTAGAGTGGCACGTGTAATACTTCAAGGTGGCAGGCGCAAAGGTTCAGGTGCTGGTGGTGAAGTGAGACAATCTGCGACCGAGCTAAGGCGAAGCGGCGCCGTTGAAAGGGGGGAAGGGAAGGAGCTAACAACACCACACCACATCAAAATTAACATCATGACAACAAACGATATTCACCAATTGGACGACAGACACAACTTCTTCTTTCATATTTTCTGCCAAAAATCCCATTGCCATAAGACAACGACGGCGTTTTCAAAAATCTTCTTTCACTCTTTCTCAAAGCTTTTGCGCGTTATTCCAGACTTGGAGAAAACCTCTCTATCCTACTTCCTATCTATATCAATCAACCCTTCCCTACCTATTTATTCCCTTTGTTCACCACTCCATCTGCGGCAAATTGGCTGAAGACGCTCCTGGTCTCTCGACTTACTCAAGTTTTATATCTCTTGTTGTTCGTTTTCTTTGATATACCATTCTTGTATCATTAGTATACCACAAGATCTACCACACGGTCTTCTTCTTTTTTTTTGTTCTTTGATCTCGAAAGCCTCTCGTTTCAAAACGCAAAGCCTTGTTGTTTCCCTCAATCACGGAGTAATAGTTGTATTTGTACAGGCAGAGCTGGATTGGGTATTCGGTGTTTCTCCTCTCAACATCCTGGTTGTTGAAAAGAGGACGTGGATGGGCACGGGTGGCAGGCTATCAATTATCGTGAAGGCTGGCTTCATACCAGTCTCACCAAAGTAGGTAGATTCGGTTGTCAGAAGCGGGCATCTCTCCATGGTTAATCGTGGGGGATACATTCGCTCAGATGGCCTTTTCCGTAGACACACAATAAAGAAAGTTACTCTCATTTGAGCTGAACTGCGTCGTATAAGTGAAATACCATTGCATCGAGGAAGGGTCTGACTCGAATATCAGCGAGTCTATACAAGGAGCAACACAATTGTGTCGTATATGATCCGAGTCTCAGCAGGATGCAGGCACAGTCGGGGAATAAGCCTGCTTATTGTGAAATAGTTGTGAGAGTATATAGTTAAGTTATTGAAATTTTTTGTGTTTTATTTGGGCAACCACTAGGAAAAAAAGCGTTCCATGGCTGTAACTTTGAAGGTTGCAGTATGATCCCCGGATATCCGATAAACTGGTGCTTGAATCACCTCAGTTCAATAAAAAGCATATTCCTCGTCCCTTCCCCATATTGTTTATATATACAAAGCAAACACTCGTAAGAGTACTAGGGTTCCGATAATCGCCAACGCCAAGTCTCGTTGCAGACGCCATCGTCATGCTTCTGACAAAGAACCATCCAAAATAAAAATAAAAAGATAAGGGAAAGCAAGCAAAGAAAGGAAACACGATCTTAGCGTGGGTAATGTTGATTACTGGCTGCAAGTCCAGAGTTCACTCGCTTCATCCACAGCAGAAATCCTGAAGGCTTCGTCTGCTGGGCCGGCCTCGCATAAACCAAGCTGCGTGAAATGCAAAGTCTACCCCCTCGAGAATAGTCTAAGTATAAGCTCATCATGAAATAAGAAGGCAAATTCTCTTGAGTTAAATCAATTAGTGCTCGTAGCCGGCACCTCGTTGCCAAGGACTAAAGAAGGGTCAGTTGGAGTTCAAGGTTACGGTGTAGTATGTGAGCTTACCTAGCATTGTTCTGCGCCCTGTGGCCACCGGGGCTACCATTATCTGCCGATCTTTGTTGAGATAGATTTGAGCTGGATTGTTGATAGGGGTTTGGTGACGCAGTGCGGAAAGGGCTTGACGGTCGCCCATCAGCCGGGAAGAGTGGCATGGCTGGGTTGACAGGAGAACGAGGAGGCGCATCACCTCGTTGGAAGGATGCTTGGGAGTGGTTGTTCGCCTCAGCCCGCCTTCTCAAGCTTTCGGATGAAACGGAATCCTCCTCATCCAGGTCGAGGTGCTTATTGTAACCAGACTTGTCACCTCGGGCAGTGGCTGCAAGAGCATCAAGCTCAGTTGTAGCATTGACTTGGGTCTGCGACTTCATGAAAGAGGCACGGTCATCAGCCATGAATTGGTATCGAGCATCGGGGTTCTTGCGGAAGAACACCAACGCGGTCGAGACGATAAGCATAAGAAGCAGGATAAGAGCAAACGAGGCGTTCAGGACGAACAGAACTACACCAACAACACCAACAACAATCTTAGGCAGGCCGAAGACGTTAGAAAAGATAAGAAGGAAAATAGCGTTGATGAAGTTGATGGCGGCAATGGCGATGTTGAATGAGTTGGTGGGCTTGTCCATCCAAGGTCGGAGAACGGAGGCGGCAATCAAGAAGCCGACTTCGATAATGATGAAACCAACAGCCTGTGCGATATCACTCTTCTGGGCCAAAGCCACGAACATGGCCTTGATGACGGTGTAGACAAGGACAGGGACGATGAAGTAGTAGGCAGAAGCTCGGAATTGAACGTAGAGGAAACCCCACTTGTTGAGAGCCTGGGGATCAGAGAACAGAATGTAGGCGGGGTTTCGGTGCATAGCGACAGAGCGGCGAGCGATACGAATGACCTTGCTGGCGCCCCAACCGAGTGTGAAAGTCATGCCCAGAAGGAAGAAGACGGCGAGGACGACCTCGGCAGGTGAATCCTGCTGAGTGAATTCCCAAAGGCAGAGGATGACCATCTGTGGGAAACCAATCAGGGTCAAACGGAAGAGAATACCCTTGAGAACAGTGAGCCAGCCGTTGCGGAACTCGAGGAACTTGTCTTGGGACATCCACTTCTGGCGAACGCAAAGCTCACAGACACCCTTGAAGGCGGCCATGGCCAAGCAAGTGATAACGACGAAAATGCAGAAGAAAGTAAGACCAGTCATGAACAAGTTGGTAGTTTCGATCCTGGACTTGAAAGCAACTCGCTGGATACCGTACACGACATAAGTTCCGTCCTCTGTTTGAATGTTGGCACGCTTAGTGAGAGCGCTGGCGGCGTTACCAATCGGCTCAGTGAAACCTCGAGGCATCATTGCAGCACTGCGCTTGAAAAGGTCGACACTGGTGGAGGCAAGTTCCAAGCTTCGCTTCTGCACCTGCACTGAGACTTGCCGAACGTTGTAGAGGATTGACTCAGGCGTACCACCAGTTGCTCGCTGGTACCAGGTGAAGATATCCTGCATGAATCCGACGCGAATGATACCCATAGACCACTGGAAGTCCTGGGTCCACGAAGAGACAATTGGGGGAAGACCGACGCTGGTGAGTCCGAGAATGGCCTGGGCCTGGAAGTAGCCGAAGAGCGAGAGCGAGTTGGAAGCAACGTGAGCAGCCGTGTTGGCATGGCCAACGCCGGAAACAATGGCAGAAGAAATCAGACCAAGACCAGCGATGATGGCAGTAGCCCACTTGACACCCTTGAGATCGACCGTCTTTCCGTTGGAGAAATCGGCCTCGACACATGCCAGACTCTCACCGGTGTCGGACATGTTGACATAAACACGAACAGTAGCATCAAGATCAGGAATATTGTAGGCAATTCCAGGTACCTGGTCCAGGTTCTCTTTACCAATGGGCAGATTGAACTTGAAGGGAATCTTTCCGGAAACCATAGGACATAGACCAGCCAGGTTAATCGAGCAGGGGTCAACAGTCTGGCGAAGGAACTCGTATCCATAGGCCGAGAGCCGAATGTCGAATTTGACCTTGCCTTGGATAGACGAAGTCGCCACAGCGTTGACATAGGCAGAACCGTTGTTCGGTGTCAAAGCGACGTTGAAAAGTGTGGCTTTGAAACCATTGTCCTTTTGGCAACTGTTGAGGGAGCTGGAGTAGAGGATCTTCTCACCCGCGACGGGTGAGGCCAGTGCAGCCACTGAGGCGAGAACCGCCATTGGCTTCATGATGCAAGACCACATCGTGACCACTATTCCCAGAAGTTGTGATTATGGTAGCCGGCAATCGAGTCGTAGCGTTCGGTCGAAAGGTCGTTAACGTCGTTCTAAGTGACTTGGCAGTCTTTTAAACAGTCGAAAGTATTAACCAGTAGGCGAGAAATCGATTAACTATCGGCGGAAGCGGTAGCCGTTTGGTTTTAGAGTGCGAGTTTATTCAGAATAGACTTTGTGGTTGATGGCAAGCGAGTGAGGCCGCGAAGTTGGCGAATTACGAACGGAATAAGGCGAAGGTAAAAAGAAAGAAATAAGAATGTTGAATAGCGAAAGGTCGAGGCGATAAGTCGTCTCCGCGACGAGGCGTGGCTGGTAGGAACAGCTTTGGTCGTCTCGTCGTCGTCAAATTGGTTTGGCGTTTGCCGTTGTCGCGGATGATGAATGAAATGGGTTTGTTGTGTGGGGGGAGTCGGGGAGGAAAAGGAAGACCAGCGACAACAGACTAGAGGGAAGGAAGGAGCGGAAAGATGAATAAGGTAGGGGAAGGCAAGGCAAGGAGCCAAAGGGAGGGAGGGATGGATCGGGAACATGAGCCTGGGTAGCACCTTAGTGGAGTGGTACCTAGCGGCAGGAGAAGCAGGTACGACCCAACCTGGTAGACTCCCTTAGTAGCGGCAAGTACCTGACACCCAAGTAAATTGATCCAATGCGGGCACGCGCGGTTCGATACCAGCCCAGCCCAGCCAAAGCCCAGCCTGTAGTGGATTTATCGCCGTCCACTCACTGAACTTGAAGGGAAACAAGGGGGCAGGTGGTCTCTTTCACAGGAGCGAACGTGGTGAAAGCGGGGACTAGAGTGACAATAATAGGCCTAGTCTGGTCTTGGGGCTTGCGTGTGATAGGGGAGTCGTCAATTATGCGAACGGGCTTTGTCTTTCTTGACTTTCAAGACACTCTCTTTTTGGGTGATTCTGGGGAGGATGCGTCTTCTTTTTTTCTTTCGTTCTGTGCTGAGTACATTTCAGTACACTGTTGCAAACGTTAAGGGTGTGTTACAAGGCGAGGTGAAGCACAGTCAGCAGGAATACGGTGCGGTCGTATTCACAATTCGCTACTTCGTATACCATGTACCGCTGCTAGCAAGTCTTGAGCCTGGGTAGCCTGCTCCCTCCAAGATTAAGAATCTGGAGGCTGTGCAGGTACATGGAATGTAGGCCAAGCTCTGGGCCAAGCGCAAGTCAATGACACGGATGCTTGGCCAGGCATGGGGTGACGATCTCGTATCGACTCTAACAATATGTACATTGTGGGCACCTCAGCGGCGATAACCCCTGGAAAACGAGGTCCAAATTTGTGACCTTTCCGTGTGTGAGTGTCTGCAAAGTACAAGGGACCTGGAAGAGAAGTGTTGCAGGTTGTTCACAATGTCGAAAGTCTGTTGGATTCAGAGGATTACGATTCAATGTTGCAAGAGTCCCATTGTTTAGTGTAGATCTTGGCACAAGCTTGTATTGCGGTTACACCGTTACAGCAACAGTCAGTTTCCAGAGTGCCGATGCAGATCAACGAGAGGCTGGCATGGCAGTTGGAGTTGGAACACAAATGGCTGGTCTGCATTCTGAGCTGCATAAAACAAGGTCGAGAACCTCACAAAGCATCATTCATTCGGTGATCTGAGGCACAAATACATGTTTTCAGCAGCGGTAAACAATAAGATTTCCGGTTTTTGTGTTTTGCCGTGCAGTAGTGCTGCCAGACTTTATGTCAACGACATGTTGATTTTATGAAGTGGTCGTGTGGTTGGTCAATTACAGGTTTGCATGATGGTGCCAACAAAGCCCGCTCAAAGGCCAAGACCTGGGCAACAGTAACAACTTGGTTGTAGCAACACTAAGAAGTGTAAGCAACAAATAAGCTTTACTGCAAATAAAAGAGAGGCAGGTCGTGATGTACTGTTCTGAAGTGTTTGTATTGTGGATGGATACAAATGTTACGTCCCCGTCACCATCTCGCATTGTCACAGGTCGCATCTTGTTTAATTTAATTAATTGAGGCTTGCACAGCCCCCCTCCCCTTCTCTACGGATACTCAGTTCTCACTCTTCTCTGACTCTGTAACGCTGCCGAAGCCCGAATCTCAAAAGGGGTGGCCCTTGCTCGGTCTTGGGCCATTTCAGGTCTGTCAAATTTATTGAACTAAAGCATCAGGCCACCACCAGAAGACGAGACGACGATGGATGCCAACCGTTTTCAGTCCATCGATTGAATTGCGATAGGCAAAGATGAAGAGGCTGTGTAGCCAAAACACTGTCGCGTCGTGTCTTGGTTGTTCTTGGTTTATTCTTGGATAATTTCTTGGGCAACCTAAAATGTGAACACGAAGTGTACCTAAGGTACTACTTTCGGCATGTCCGCTAGGTTCGAGAATGGAAGTTGGGGAAATTCTCGCATGAATTTAGTACTGTAGGTTCATAATGTGCTCACTATAGTACGATGGGGAATGTTATGAATAGCTCTTCTGAAACAGAGAGGCAATTGTGCATGAGTCACGAATCACCAAAACTTGATGTTATTGTTTTGTTCGTCAACTGAATCAGGTCAATCAATCAATATTTTGAGTTGTCAATAGACTTTTGGAAGATCTAATCTCCATGATGATGCCAAGACTCGCGTTCTTGAGTTGTATGGAGTAATGAACGCTCAGCTTACAGCGCCTTACTTGCAGCAGTGCAGTGCGTCTAGCAACATCCCTGAACAGAACAGGACAGAACAAATACACGGATAGAGAGAATCTCTCACTGGTATGTATACTCGCTTCGGAGAATATTAATTATTATCATGTCACCAGGCGAGATGGAATATACCTCAAATACAGTAAAGCTGCCGTGACTCCCGTTCTATTTCCAGCCCAAAACAACAATTGGGTTTCAACTCCCCAACCGTCACCACCGCACATCGTCCAATTTTGTATCGCCGTAGTAAGTTTCACAAGAAAAACTCTGTGATCGTCTCCCCTCGACGTCCTATTGGACATATCATTGATCTCTTGACATTCCTGATCTCCAACATCCCCGACCCCTCACAGCCTCGATATTCAGGGGCACGCATTCCTAGCAACCAATAGCACAACGTCTTGTGCTGTAAGCGCGTACGGATACACGCACACAGAGAAATTAAAGCTCGTCAAGGGGGGGGTTGATCTCACCTGAAGAGGCGAAAGCCCACTCAAGACTATAGTCAGAGGCATTGTCACTGGACAATTGATTCACATCTCAAACATAAGCGTCGAATGTCATCGAGCGGAGTTATGGAGATGGAGATGGACGCGTCAACTCGAAACCCACCATGTAGAAACCTTCATGAGTGTATGATCGACGCTCCATCCACATTCATGGCCTTTCTCATGCCCGGCACGTGTCAGAGACGAGGGCAAGCGAATAGATGAAATCGTGACCCTTCCGGTTCTTCATCTTCCGAGTCGCATTTCATGTTTCGCTCGTCGCATATTTTGTCTCGGCCCTCATGTTTCGAAATCGTCTGTCTTATAACATTATCCATCTTCAATGAGTTCAATCCAGACAGACAAAGAGAGGCATCGCAATCAAGGCATAAAATTTCATTGTCAATGCCAGACATCTAATTTACTAAACGCCAATCCCAAACCCTTCCAGATAGATGCTTGCTGTCTGATGTCAAAACCTGCCTATAGATCGTCATGCGCAGATCTTGTATCCATAATCATAAAAAACCGTTCAAGTGCCGGTTAATGTATTGCGCAACCTCTGGGCTACAGCACGTCCCATTGCGCGTTCCACGGGTTATTCATTGTCGTATAATCGACTCCATGCTTGTATGAACTCGTCAGTTCCTCTTGATCCACTCCGCAATGCGTTTGTCCATCTCTTCCTGTAAACCAACCCAGTCCATACGTCTTCCCGTCGTCCAGTTTCTTCGCCATATCATTATTGCTGAGCTTAGCGGTGCCCACAAAGTTGTACAGCATCTTGCTTTGGTGAATAAATGCCAAAATCGACGCAATTGTGTTGGGCTGTCGCGGCAGGAAAGGATGCCGTCGTCGGAAGAAAACAATGTTCGCGACGACGAACATGTATAAAAGTATAAACAGCGTGGCGCCGAGGGTGATGTAAAACGAACGCACCGTCTCTTGTCCGGAGTTGAACAGGTTCTTCTTGTCATCCTTCTCTTTCCATTCGCCTTTGCCAAGGTGCAGGCCATAGCCCACAATGAAGTCTTGCCCGTCCACAGTAGCAAGACTGGTCACGAGAATTGTAAGAAATTCGGCCATGACAGAGCCGAACCCAACCAAGAACACTACAAAGTGCCCATTCAAAAGCGCTCTTAAAGGCATGTAGGCAAAAGGTAACGCTGTGTAATCGAGGGTAAGCGTCTTGGAATGCGCATGTCGTTTGGAAAGGATGTAGTAAGGTTCCATCATACGAACTGATGTCTCCATGGCTCCCCAACACAGCTTGAGAATGACGGCTAAAGCTGTGACAACCCAGGCAGCCTTGTCTGTGATGACCTGAGCGGGTGAGAAGAGGATGGTCGGGATCAAGCCTGCGAAAAGCAGCAGTCCAACTATAAAAGGAATGCATCCCATCGGCCGCAACATCAGGGGATGCGGGTGCTCTGACAAATGTGCTGCATCGTCCTGTTCGCTATCTGTTTCGATTTTCGCACTTGTGCCTTCGTAAGGTGCAAGAGAGGAGTTCCTAAGCATATATCGTCGGCGCTTCAACTTCTGGTGAATATCCTTGGGTTTGGCGGTATCCATATCCTTGAAATCCATCAAGACGTGGCTTACGACAGCCATACTTGCAAGACCAGCAATGCCTCTCACATCGGCAAGCAATCCAGATCGTCGAGTCTGCAGCACGTACAGAAGGCCACTACCCATCAGCGCACACAAGGACAAGACCACAGTCAACAGTCGCGACCACATCGCTGCCACATAGATTCTCTTCTCGTCTTCGGGGCTTTCCATACGCTCCGCGCGACTAGGTGTTAGTATGATAGACGCAGCTGCGCATGTAGGCACCAATGAGACAGCCATAATAGAAGCGAACGACGACAGAGCCACCGCATAATGGCCCAGCTTGATCGCACGAAAAGGTCGCCAGAAGCTGAAGCTCGTGACATAGTCAGCGTTGATCGACTTGGAAGCCAATGCGCCCTGTTGCCTGGATAGTTGATAGAAGGCTTCCAAACGTCGTACTTCGAAGTCGGTAAACTGCCAAAAGACACCGAAAGTGACAGCAACAACTGTTGGCAGAAACTTGACAGCAAAGTAAAGCCACGCGTCTATATCCTTGGGTTCCTCGAACTTGATAATAGGCACTTTGTGAAATCTTTGAAACAAGTATTCTTGCACAATAGCCAAAACAGCAGATATGATGATCAACAGCGTCAAGTACGGCCATCGCATTGTAGGAGGTTTCCAGTTCGGCTGGGGGTAAAATATCTCTGTCGTTCCCTCCTTAACTGGGAAAGTCGATCGGCGAAAGTCGTTGGATCCGACGGTGCTGAGGCCCTCGATACTGCTCAAGTCTGCGCCTGGTCCTTCTTCCATTATTACTTCAATTACCTCTCCTTTTCTATTGGCTTCGTCTTGTCCTCTCTGTCGAATTGTCTCAAATCGGCCCAGGCGCGCAGGTTGATTGCGCCGAGAGAAGGATCGCGATAGACTGCGCTGGACCGGTACGGGTGTTACCGACAGAAGCTCGTCGTCCTTCATCTTGACATCCGCATGAAAGCCTTGACCCAATCCGCCAGTCAACTTCCCACTGGCTTCCTGTGCTTGTAACTTCTTTATGAAATCCTCATCGTGCGAGGTCATAGGTCCCAACGCAGCACTCACGTCAAAGCCAGGGGAGACGTCGGCATCCTCATCCTCCTCTTTTATCCGGTTATAACTGCTGGAGTAGCCCATAGAAGCTGCGCCTCCGAGCAATGACAGGTCGTATGCCTCATTATCATCCTCCTCCTCGGGAATTGTGCGTCCAAGTGAGGAACCATAGGCAGATAAGCGCTTCGATCTGGATGGGAGCCGAGAAGGAGGTGGTCCAGCTCCCGATACAGGCGCGTAAGATCCTCCAGCTCCATTGTAACCAAACGATGCGGACCATCCAGAACCAGCTGCATATGAAGTTCCATCATACTCTGCTTGAGGAGGACTTTGATGACCGGCATGAGAGGCGAGTGAGACCATAGATTCGCGACCGTGTAGTGGAGGGTGTATCGCAGGATCGTAGGGGTTATCGTCGGGATAAAGTGACATGGCAGAGACGCGATGGCTCAAATGCGCTTCGTTGGTCGCGGCTCTTTGCGATATGGCTGCAGAGCCAGAGGGATGATAGGGTTCATAAGGGTGGAAGGGCTCTTCAGCCCGATCATCTCGATATGCCATGTTGCGCAACTCTTAACATTGTCGAGCAGTATCCGTATGTATTATAATATTATTAAAATCGAATTGGAGTCTCGGCCAGTACAGGATAACGGTTTCAACGGGCAGTGGATTGCTCGCCCGTTGAGGCAGGTAGAGCGGTAGAGGTACCTTAATAGGTAGTGGGCGGGGCACCGCGAATGCGCTGAAGACGGGCCGGGGCGAAGTGTTCCTGGGGCTGAAGATAGTCGATCGATGGAAGGATGAAGGATTTCGGTTATCGAAAGAAGCAAAAGAGCGAAATATCGACCGAAGCGAATGACAAAAAGATACGCAAGGCAGACAGAGAAGCTGAAGAAGTGGAATGAAGGAGAGAAAGTGTTTCTCCCCCTTGAGAAAGACGGGATGGAACCTACAGCTTCAGCCGTTCAGCCATGAGCAGTCTCCATTAACAAGCAGAAATGTAAGCAGCATGTCCACTTTAGTTTTTGGCTGCAAGCTAACGATCGCTAGGCTCCAGCTCCCAGCCTCTGAGGGGTCAAGCCCATACCTTGACTAACCTCAACCTCCATAGGGCTGGAGGCCTGTGAGTCTGGGGTCTTTCCCCCCCCCCCACGGAGTACCATGCAAAGTCGAGCTTGTACAATAATACTTTATTAACACCACAGTCTTCACGTTTCTCAACTCAAGATTCACGCTCTATGTAACCTGGTAAAGACGTTTTGCCATACAGATACTGAGCGACTCTCATTTAGGCGCCTCAGACGCCCAGCGCCTATCTTCTATATCCCACCGCCGCGATGGTTGCCCTTCTTTGATCTAGCTGCAGCTACGACTTCTTTTGCATCCGGATGTCTTCCAGGGCACTCATCCAATCAATCTCAATAAGCAACCTCCTTGACTCACTCACTCCCTCAAACAGCCTTACCAGACTGTTTCGTACGCACTCTTTTCGCACATGTGGGTACAGACACTGTACATGCAAGACATTCAATAAAGCATTTTGCCTTCAGCTTCACGCCTCAAACAGCGGGACTGAGCCTAGCTGAAGCCTTATTCTCAGCCACCGGAGAAGTCCACGGAGGTCTGTTCTTTTCAACACAGACCCAACGCCCTGTTCGTCTTCTTTCTTCTGCTGAGGATCTGTTGAAGACTACGGGAAGAGGCGAAAGAGCACGGGGCTATTCACGATCATGTGCAGTAAATCCTGCAGAACTGGTTTATTGCTGCAGTGCAACCCTACATATCGGACTTCATGGGATCCAGCCTCCCACTGCTGTGGTTGACTGGAACGGTACGCTACCACACTCGCATCCTGCTGAGGCCTGCCCTGATCTTGGCCTGTATCCTTCCCTGCCATGACCTGAGCAATTCCAGGCTTTCAAAGTGCATGCATAAGGTACTGGCGGCTGTGAAAGGTTTCCCAATACGGCTTGTAGCTTACATCCCTTGGGACTCCAAGTTGGTGTTTCTGAATTTAGATACAGCCTACGGATACAGGTACCCTAAACTTAGACCTAGCATATCCGTCAGGCCAATCACTTTTCAGACCTGATGCCCTGCCGATCAAACGTCGCAACGAAACTTGTTCAGCTGCCAAGTTTGCGTATTGAATGTTTCTATGGAGATAACCTCGTAAAGGGAACCCGCCACGGGAGCAAGAGTCTGTCAAGGTATTTACAACAAACGACGTACTACGGATATCACACAAACCTCATCTAGTTACTGCCGTTTGTGTATGCCGTCCGGATGACAAGGTGAAACCCCTGTCCTGTTCTGTCCTATCTGCCTGTCGTTGTGTTCTGTGCTATAGTAGCTACCCTGCAGTGTCCTGCATATTCGTGCAGCATCATGACATGCAGGATTCAATTCATGATAACCCCCTGCATTACAAAATGAGTACAACGATGTTATGCAAATGCATCCTTATGAGTTTGTATGGTTTGGATCCCATATCTAGTGTTGCTGGGCGCTTTGAAATCAATACCAGTACAGTGACTGATTGCATGTGATGGACATCTCTCTGCACCGAATTTTGCAAACGTTTCAACTTATCATAGAGAAACTAGTATGATTGCACACAAGAATGGTCAAGGTAACACTGCTGTATTTTTATGTATCTATGTGGATTTATAATATTATTCAATCCATAAAAACAACTCCATGCTCAACTGCTAGAGTGAATATTTCTATCCCAAATGCTGAACCTATCCATCTAATGCATTGGATTATGATGCCTTCAGTCTATGCCTTAAACTTAAAAATCAATTCGCTTGTTTTGTTTGGGACCTATCCAAGTAAAAAATGTCCCCAGGTAACCATGTGCAGGTGTCTAAAACAGGAGGAATGCTGACATTAGTACAGCAAAGAGAGCTGTCATGGAGGCAGCCTGGTATGTTCGAGGAGCTAAGCTTGGAACCAAGCCGCAGCATTTGCGGTCGTATGTGACATTGTTCATCTGTGCGGCAACTTCAAAGACGGAGCCTGGGAAGCCACCGTAATTGTAGTAATCGACGTTGAGAATGTTGGGAGCCCGTCCCCAATCGGAGCGGCAGTTATTGGCCGCAAGTCCCAAGCTGCCGTAGCCCGTGTCGTTATTAGTTTCGTTAAGCAGTGCCACAGCTGGGACCAAGATCTCAGCGCCAAACACATTGAATTCGGCGTTGAGATTATGGTTCATGAGGTACAGGCGGTTTTTGGCCGACTTGGAGCTCAGGTCCGGAGGTCGCTGCACAGTGCAGGGGAAATCACGGTCCAGAGGGTCAAAGGGAGTCTCCCACATCTGAGTGAACTCGTCCAAGAGCCACGGGTACTTCTTCTGGTCCGACACGTAGTCGATGAACATGATGACTCGCTTGCCGCGAACAATCATGCTTTCCAGAGTAGGCCAGTCGTCCAAAGCCATGGGCAGGTAAGGAGCTTGGTAAACGTACTTAAGGATACCACTCTCTCGAATGTAGGGGACGTAAAGGTCAGGATGGGAGTAGTTTCCGTTTCCGAGGAGAATAGTGACAACATCATATGGGTGGCTGTCGACCCATTTGCGCACCCTAGTGAGCCAGTCGGTAATGGGACCGGCGTCGAGAAGATCGCAGGTCGAGTGACAGAAGTGAGGGACGGATGAGTTGGCGGGAAACTGGATCTGGGCCTGGAGGAAGCGGACACCATCATCAAGCTGCGTCTCGACCTCAAGCTCCTGGTTGGAACCCGAGTTACCAGGTCGTACGAAGGGAGAGTTATGGCAACCAACCATGGTGATGTTGCCGTACTTGCGCTTGCACAGCTCGATGTAGTTGTTGCATGGCTGGGTGTTTGTAGGCTTCGCACTCGTAGTAGTGGTCGCGGTACCGTTTGTCGTTTCAGTACCGCTAGCGGTCTCGGTCAGGTTGCTGGTGAATGTGGTGCTCTCTGTGAGGTCGGTAGGGAAGAGACCCGTGAAAGTGCTCGTCAATTCGTCTGATTCGGTGCCGGAGAAGGTCAATGTGATCTTTGAAGCGTAAGAGGAATAGGCGCCTGTAGGAGGACCGGTTTGGCGTGTTAATCTCGCCGTCCTTGTACCTTCAAAGAAGGTGAGTTCTGACGTTGCTGATATATCGACCGTCTGGGCTGCTACGCGACCAGAAGTCAATGCCAGAGCGGCAAAGACCGAGCTGTAAAACTTCATGACGGGCAAATGATCCCGCAGACGCTGTAGAAGTTGAAGTTTTTGGCAGAGTAAAGTAGTAAGTTGTCAAAGCGATAGGAGTCGCTTAGAATGAACAAGCTTCGCAGCTTAGGTCCGCGCACTGCCAACTTGCCGATACCCAGGGTCCACTGCTGGTATAAGTGGTACTCCAGGACCGAGAGCGAAGTTGCAGATGGAGATCAGATCAGGGTAGGACCAGGAGAAAGAGAAATGTACGTAGAAACGAAGCTAAAATCGTGTTACGGTGTAACGCAATACAAGATCTAGTGCGATCCGCGGTGGATTAGATTTGGCTGGATTGATGTTGCTGCGTCGCCTTGCCTATGATCCCTGCTCCAGAAACACCAGACCAATGTCGATGGGCCACCTTTTGTAGCTATCGAAAGATCGACGAGATGAAGTGGGTAAAATGCTGCAGTTGTTGTAAAAGCGTACGGAGGATGGTACGGAGGAGGCGGGATGAAATGAGACCTGCGACAAGCAAGGAACCTTCTTTTGCACAGCCTGGCTTGGCTTTTTAGTCAAGGCTTTTCCTGTAGCCCCAGACGAGATTAAAGCAATGAAATAGAGAAGAAGTGAGGAGACACAAGACGGGGAAAAAGGGGGTGCTTGCTATTGGACTTGGTGATCTACCAAAAAAACGATGATGGGCATAGCAAAAAATAACTATGATAAAAAAAAACTTGGCTTGCCGTTAGCTCTGCATTTGATGATGCGGCCTCACCCGCCATGACATAATGACATATCGGATGGCTGTAGTTGAGAATAGGCTTTGTCTAAGCGGTAATAACGGCAGGAATTGACTGTGACAATTGGCTAAATGCTGTTGAGCCGCAAATAGATGCACAAGTTATTGAGTTTTACTGCAACTGTAGGTTCTGGATTGTTCCGGACAGCGCTAAAAAGTCCATAAACAGTAACTACAACAACCAACATGGACTGAAGAATACCCACGACAGCGCTTGATGATCCTCTCACGTTTCTTTTTCTTGTGGTGTTGAAACGCGTCATCACATTGGGCCGCAGCTAAGACCCAGTCAGTCCGGTACTACCGGCAACCAATATCTTGTTCCCCTTCAGGCTTCACCTGAGGCTCGGCAGTCTACAGTACAACATTGCTCTAGGTTCAGAATCCAGAGGGATTCATTGGACGGATCGGGTGCCGTGAATTTGGAATACGATAGAACAAGAGGCCAAGCGCCAATAGATTCAGACAGTAATGGCATGGCATGGCATGGCGTGGCATTGAATGTTTTCTTAGTTCCAATGTCTAGACTCTCAGATTTCATAGCCGCGCATGTCTTGGCTTCTCAGTCTCAGACTTCCATGGGTCTGGGTTTTCTTTTGCAATGCCTTAGGTATAGTAATGGTTCCTTGGCTTGTCGAATGGCCCAACAACCAGTGTCAGATTGCGGGCGGCTGTTTTTGCCAGCGTTAACAGCTCGCCTGACTGAGGGAAGGGAAGGATATCCATTCGTTCAGCTCATCAGGGCCCCTTATAATTACCTACCCACAAGCATGGAAGCACAAGCCTTACCTTTTTACCGCTGAAGTGAGGGCATCCAGGGGTATGTTCCAGGGGCCACTCTCAGTAACCCCACTAATCTCATTCCCTTCTGGGCTTAGCATCCTTTATGGCTGGACAGTGAGCGGCTTCGGAAGGGACCCACGACCCTTTCCCTTTCCTCTTCCGCTGGTGGCTGATTGACAAGCTCGATCCTTCCATGGAATTGGGATGTTCCCTTCATCATGACGACTTGCTGCACTCTTAGCTGTTGGCGTTGATCTTTAGGCTGGCCCACCCAGAACACGCAACGCATTGCCATTCTCTTTCTCTGTCGCTCGCTACTATCTTCACTTCAGTCTAGTCAAGAGAGCGATCGACTGACTACCTTTTTTGTTTTCGCATTTCTGTTTGTTTCTCTTTGTCCTTATTTCCAGTGGATTGCATTGTGTTCACGACGCCCCAATCGTGTCATCTACAGTAATATTTACTGTTTCCGCTCGTCCTCTTTGTCTGGGTTGTTCGGCTGTTTCATTAATTTTTGTTTCGTATCCGTACTTGGTCTCATATAAACGGCGCCCAAAGCTGAATTCATCACCAAAACGAACGAGCCCTCGGGTGGCTCTTCTTCCATCCGGATCACTTTATCGATCCTTCGACGGACGACTCAATCGACTCAAATCGCCTCTGATCCGTTGTCCAACGTCTCTACTCGACCTTCAGCATGGTTAACGTCCACCGTCGCAACACGGCCATTGCTGCCAGTACCTTCTACTTCCTTACTATCCCTTTCCTTATCCTCGTCATTATCGGAAACACGCGCATCAACTCAACGCTAAACGACATCTACTTCTTCCAACTCGATGTGTCGCAAGTCATTCCTATCTCGGTCGAAAACTCAAGACTTCTCAACTCTGTCGCGCGAAGTCTAGGTCTTCACGATTTCTACCAGGTCGGACTATGGAACTTTTGCGAGGGCTACAATGATGAGTATGTTCCTCTGCCCTTACCTATGTCGCATATTGTTGCTAACCAATTTCCCCAGAGGTGTCACGTACTGCTCCCCCACTAAGCAGTGGTACTGGTTCAACCCCGTCGAAATTCTAGTCAGCGAACTGCTTGCTGGAGCTCAGATCGCTCTCCCTGCAGAGGCTGTTACCGTCCTTAACCTCCTCAAGATTGGTTCCAGGATCATGTATGGTTGCTTCATGGCCGGTATCGTCGTCAACTTTGTCCTTATCCCGTTGAGCTTGCTTGTCATTCGCACTCGATGGTGGAGTCTGCTTCTCTCCATCCTCTCCGCGATTTCAGCAATCCTAGTCACCCTCGCCGCAGCTATTGCGACCACCATTAGTGTTGCGGCCAAAGTCGCTCTCACTGCGCAGGACCAGCTTAACATCAGGGCAAACATTGGTATAAAGATGTTCGTCTTCATGTGGATCGCTGCCATCTTCACTGATCTAGCTTTCCTTCTGCATGCTGCTATGGGTTGTTGCTGCAAGCCAGACCGTCAAAGGCAGGCACCTCAACAACAGCCCATGTACGAAAACAAGAGCAACAGGATGTCTCTACCAGGATTCGTTCGCCATAGAAAGAGCCACGGATCCTCTTCGTAAGCTCCCGAAATCTCGTATAATTCTACGACGATATAAGATTGGACCTCGCAAGGGGGTTATAGGATTGGCTTCAGACCCTATTATTTATGCCAAAGGAAAAAATTGGCGGGGAAATTGGTCAAACTTAAAAGTTGAAACTAGAGGAAAACAAGATCTGGATCAGGGGAGCATTGTTAGCAAAAGAGCCAGTTCTACCCAAGGAGTTGGCACTTGTGCTAGAACCGGAGTTTAGAAGAGCGATTTGATTATTGGGTATAAACATAATAGTTCTATTAAGTCAAGGTCTAAAATTAGAAAAGTTTCACATATTGTCAGCCAAAGTCTTTACGTTCTTACGTCCCCTTGTTAGTGTATCTCTGCTCGTAATTGTCACAGTCGGTACATATCAAGAGAAGAAAGTATGCCTCAACAACTTAAAAGAAATGTGAAGGTCCCGGAGCCACTGTAAAGATATGTAGTAGTGAATTGAAAGGCTGTACAACTGGAAACTGTATTAAGGGGAGTATCCCATTGAAGTATCCTCGAATCGAGCTGTTGTTCGTGAAGGCCTCGATCAGTCAACTTCCATACCCTTCTCTTTTCATCCCACCTTTCCCCCATCTTGCATGTAAACAAGTATATGCCAGTTCGTTCCCCATATACCCTATCGACCCAGCGAGTCTACTGTTGTTTCTCATCCGCCTTCATTTGAGGCACCACCTTGTGTGTCTTGAGTTTGTGAAGGAGTCTAGGTCGATCAGGTATCTGCTCCAGTCGGTGATACCGAGGTTCGTTGGCGGAAGCGGTCTTGCTCTCGTTCATGATACCATCAGCAACATCGCGCTTCTCGGGCTGTTGCTCGGGTTCTTCCGAGTCGTCATCATCGTCTGGGATGCCACGATACGTCGAGAGGACGGATGGAGACAGTGAGGAGGAGTCGTGCCGGTTGGAGGCCTGGGCCCTCTTATTCTGTTCATCCGCTATCTCCTTCATGGTCTTTTTGATTCGGTCCAAACCTTCACCTGTTTGAGGGATGGATGGTTCGAGGATGATGTCAGAGCCGGGACTCCGTGTTGCTTCTGGCTTGTCTTCGACGTTCCAGATTTTGGGGTTTGGGATGCCGGGTGTTGGTGCTGCTTCGATGACGAAGGGAAGGGCGCTGGCTGCCACGGCCAGAGCCTGAAAGGTGTTGATTGCTACCATTTTGCTGGGTGTTATTTTCCTTTTCTTCAGATAAGCGTTGTACTGTAAAGGAAAGACCGGAAGCAACGATTTTAAGATGAAAGTAGTACTGTAGGTAGAGTCGAGATGGGCTGCAGAAAAGATTGTTTGGGGAAGGACGTGAGAGGACCATCCAGTGGACTGGTCCGTTGGGGAGCGCTTTCTTATACTACCTATAGATGGTGTACGGTAATATTCAGGACTGAGTTTCACCAGGAGGCGTAAGTATGATCACGACCGAAACTCTGTAGGTTTTCTACCAATCTGGTAAATAGGTACCCGTATAGGGGCGGGAGCTTAAACTCATGGGATTGGGTAAATTCATGTTTTTGATTAAACTTAACGCTTCTACAGCAACACGACATATCGTCGTTTTCCATCATTCATATGTGAAGAGACGTGGTTCTCGAACTCTTCTTTAAGCCATTCGCCATAGGTCTTGTAGTCACATTGCCCCATTATGACGAGGCTATGACTTTCAACCTCATAGACATGACGGCCTTCTAGCCATGTGCCATAATGCCCGTCATAAGATCTTCGTCTTCTATCTGCGAATCGAAACCGACACCAGGATCGCCTGCGTCTTTGTCGGCCCGCTTTTGCTCCTTAACAACGTGCTTGACGTATTCCTTACTGCCACTCAGTCGCTCGTTGGCTGCTTTGTACTGATTGCCCAAGCTCTCGATGTTGTGATATCGCAGAGCAATCTCATGGGCAAATTCTGCCTCTGTCATTGTCTCCTCGTCGTCGTGGAAATGGAGGAAGAGCTCGTTTCCGTTGTTGCCTGGCTGCAGGTCGCCCTTCAAAAGGCCAGAGCTGATCATGTCTTGTACTAGACGTGTTACCGTCTCGTCGTCCGGAAGAATCTCGCCAGTCTCTGCACTGAGAGTCAATTGGCGCACTTGAGAAATCGATACTTGCTTGTAAATATCTCGAAGGTTGATGATCTGCCACTTTTGGTAGGCTGCAATAACCTCTGCAATCAGCGTTGAGGTACTGTCATCCTCCCAAGTCTTGCGGTTTGTCTCAGCATCAGTCTTGAGCTGACCTGCATTTGTGGTCGAGAACTGCGAGGCAATGTTCTTGTATGGCGCTCCCAGCTGGGAGTAGACGTTTTTAGGATGGGCAGCAGTGTATGATGGTAAAGTTGGCTCCTTTCCGTCCTTGAGCAGACCAACCAGCAACCATCGCTTATACGCTTCATCCATGATTTTCGCGACTCCCTTGTCTTTGGAAGGATACGTAATAACGTGCTCGAGGGCTCGGTGAGCTTTCGTCCAGTCCCGTTGTGTCATGTAACAATTGGCGCTAAGATGGTAATACTCCAAGATAGTAGAGCTTTTTACTGGCTCTGTAAGACAAGTGTCGACCGAAATGAAGGTCGAGGGATGTAGGCTGCTATCGCAAAGATACCTCGTGTCCGTGGGACCAACCATGCCAGGGAAGAAGGTAGTGTCGCAATCCAGGACCTTCAGGGCGGGCTGAATCCAGCCGGTCTGGCAGGCAATCTTTGCCAATGTCAAGTGAGTCGATGTGAACATACTTCCTGTGGGATCAAGCCGCAACAAGGCATTGGCTACAGCCTCGACAGAAATCGCTGGCTGGGCCAACAAGTTAGTTGAATGCATACATAACTTGGCGCAAGGCAGAACAAACCGTGAAGAGATTTCCTTCCGCGACATGCTCAAGAAGCTTTCGAAATACCAACCCAACGTATCGAACCTGAATGGGATCGAATTTGAGAAGAAACCGAAGGGTCTGGTCAAGGAGAGTAGGTCGGTCGATGCCTGGCGGGGAAGTTGGGCTCGAGAGCGAGTTGTGAAGGATGGCAAGAAATGCGATAGAATCGGTTGAAGGATCGATAGCCTGAAGATGTTAATATAATGAGGTAGCCGCAGAAACGTGAAGTATACCTGTAGAATTTGGCTAGTATTATCATTGATGACCTGACGCTGGTTCGTTAATAGCGACTTCACAGCAGCGACATGGTCCTTAAGGACCGAGTCGTATTTTTTGACAGATTCTGCTGCGGCCTGTGTTGGCGAAAATGCACCCAGAACTGCCGTTACAGCATCCATTTTGAGATTATTCGTATAATCTTCAAGGTTAATGTCAAGCTAGCGATTGTTGATGCTGATGTTGAGGTGTGATGTAGAGGTCGGAGTGTTGATGTGATAGATTTACAATGATTTTCTCCAGCTCATGTCCAATGAGTCAAAAAGAGACACCGAGCTGAGTCTTCTACTCTCGTAAGATTCAAAGATATAAAATTTAAAGCTTGTGAAAATGGACTTTGTTGTTACTCGTTAAGCTCAAGGCAACACTCATGAGTACAGCTTCCGTGTTGGTGGGGTCCATTGGTGACGTTTGGGGGAGGCCGGGAATTAACCGATGGAGCTCGGCTTATCGATAAGAACACCCCTCCAACCAATCGCGGGGTTGAGACAGACTTCATAGAAACAAAGCCTATACAATTATACATGATCGTGTCGCTTCAACAGCCCAGAACAATTCTCGATTATCTACGACGAGCTCAAGAGAAACCCAAAACTGTTCTGAATCCATTCTTTTCACCTCTCACAAGCCTTTATTTCTCTTTGTCCATCTATCTACCTCTTTCCAAGCTTGCAGAACTCACATTACACAAACACCAGCCCAACCACGCGTGGCAAAGCACAACACAAGTTCAAGCCCAATGGCAGGCACTCATTCATCTCAGGTCGCACCAAGATCCGGCCTATGAAATCGTGTGGTCAACTCGCTAAAGCTCATGCAACCCCAGAAGAGTGACTTCTCAGAATCACAGCTCAGGGCTGAAACGTGACAAAGTAACAACAACTGGATGAATCATTGAGCTATCTAATAACCCCAGCACTTGAGACTCTGCCATAAAGCTTCATAGAATGTGTTGATGAAGTTTTTGTACTATCTAATAAGTTGACAAAACAGAAAAATGAGAGTGATATCTATCTAGGTTGTTCCATGGGAGGCAGCATATAAAGTCCTCGAGTATATGATTTTTGTTTCCATCGCCAGACCCCAGGCAACGATATGGTGAGGAAATCCGAAGAGGCTGCCATGGTTTGTCCTGCTGGTCTCATGATCCCTGCAAACAGTATATTTGACATGTCCTTCTTTGTATACCTCATTTGTCCAACAAGCTCACTGGCGAATATAAGCAGAGTCGATTGATCCAGTAGATGAGGATGACAAGGATCCGGGCAAGGCCTTGACCGACGAAGCACTTGCGACCCAGCTGGGCTCCGTTCCGGCTCTAGGGCGCTTCTCAAGAGCAGTAGTCATATCATCGCGGGTTCCCTTGACAGGATGCTTCTGTCTCCCGGCTCCAATCGGAGCTGGGGCTCTGTGGTCGTTGCTGTCACCACGCCAGCCAATCTGGTGAATGGCTTGGCCGCGGGAAGTCGGTGACGTCTTTTGTTGCTTCTGCAACTCTTCCTGATGGTCCCTCCACCACTTAGGGAATCCATGGAAGAGTCCGAGAGACTGCTGGGTGGCCTTGTCAACAGGCATCTCGTGTTTGTACTTGCAGCCTTGCTGTGTAAAGGCACAGGTTCCGTCGTGGATCCATTTGTCGCAGTAGACTTTGGGGCTTCGCTGCTGAGCAGGCGAAATCGCAACGATGCGGTCGATCTTGGTCTGGTACACCAAGTCAGCATACTCTGACGGACAGCAGTTGTACTTGACGGAAGAAAAAGAAAGTCTGATTACCTGAAGGACATCAGATGCTGGAGCAGTCAGAGGCTACACACTCAGCTTTCTTGTCCGTGTTGATTGATTTTAGCTCACGTACCTTCACAGTTACAGACTGGTTCATGGTAGCGACCCCTTGAGGTGGCTTCATGTGCAGGTCTGGCAATAGGACCATGCCTTGAGCGCTGGCCTGAGTAGCTGGGATCTCATTGAGAAGCGGAAGTCTATCTGCTGGGACAAGTCGAGTGTATCGACCGTCAGGTCTCTTTACGCAATAGGCATAGCCGCTGAGACAGTCTGAGATGCTCACCGGCCCAGCATTGCTGGTTGGAGCGCGCGGAAGAGGGGAAGGCATGAGGGAATAGTTGTTGGTACCAGAAGGCTGGGCATTCATCTGATCGGTGGACATCTGAGGGCCTCGCCAGTTGCCGTTTGCCATGCTTCGAGGTGCAGAAGAATGCCAGATAGTATTTGGCTGCCAACCACCGTACGTAACTTGAACAGGGTATCCGTTCACACCAACTCCTTGAGGTTGGTTGTCAGAGGAGGTGAAAGAGAGGTCCAAAGAGTGAGGACGGTTCATAGTGCAGAAAGGCGTTGGACTGCTGAGTTGTACGTTTGGAATCTTAGTCCAGCGATGAGCGATTGAATCTTTGAAAGTGTAGTGAGGATAAGGGTTATTGCTGAGTTGATAGAAAGGTGAAGGGACCGCTTCTTGAAGTTGATAATTCTTCATGTAGATATACCAAATAAAGAGTAAGGAATATCTTCAACAAAGAAAAGAGGGCGGGACACCACGACTATAAGAAGCACTTCTCATGGGCCACCGTCGCCCGATTTATCAGGTTTATCACGCGGCTAGCAGCTTCGACACGGGTAACGGAAGACGCAATATAGCTTCAAGACGTGTGTCGGCAAACAGCAAACGATGAGCAACACATCCGCTGAGCAATACGGTGTTGACTTGTATAGAAACCACTCGACTACACGGTATTAAAGAGTGGCCGTGAATAAGAGATTTGAAATTGGAGGAAGTTTTACTATGGTCGTTTCTGATACCTTCAATCACAGTCATTGCGCTTGTACATTTGTCTCAGCTTGGAAGCGCGCTCTGTAAGGCACATACAGACTTACGGTTACCTGCAGCTGAAGTTTGTAATGTTACATGCCAAACACTCAAGCATTTGGTTTAGATCACCAACTGGGATCGGGGCTCATGTGTATTTGCTAATGTTTTATTCCCAAGTACCTGACAAATGACCTGTCTTGTGGTATGATGTTTATCATTTTTGACCAAGGAGCAGAACATGCTCCCTCGTTTGCTCACTCACTTATTCAAAGCTTTCATAATTGCCAGGTTATGTATGCGTGCATGTCGCCTTCCGACGTGCAAACGATCAGAGCCAATCTCGGGAGAGCAAAGGCCCTGTTTTTCAGTTCCTTTCCTAGAAAATATCGGTGAGCAATTACATGCTGTGTGGCTGCTTGCACGTAGCAGCTTATTTCTCTATCTCCAAATCATCGTTGTTTGCGCCGTGTAGCGCCCTTTGCTTTAAGTGATCCTAGGCGAGCCAGCAGAGCTGCCTTCTGCTGTAGTTTAGTGCCCATCTCGGAATTCGAATGCTGAATAAAATCAATCGCTACTCTGACTTCAGCCTCTGACTGAAGATTGTTGCTCCTATAGTTGAGTATCTCTTGATCAGGATCAGGGGGTGGGGGTTGATATTGCGTGACAACTGTGCGCTGCTGTGGTACAGGAGGTGCATTCTTGCTCTGATAAACGTGGTTACCGTTTGTATATCCTCCAAAATTGGCAGAAGCCCCGGGGATTACTTGGCCACCGGCTTTTTGGTAGGGGTTTGGCGTGGGGTCGGCAGTGCGGTTTGCTTGGCCGTAGCCTTGCGGGTAGGTGTTTTCGGTGTTTTGGACTTTCCACGCTGGCCGTTGCCGTTGCCGTTGTTGTTTGCCTGTTGTTTCTTGGCTGGGGATGCCACCGTACGCGACTTGCTGCTTGTTGCTGCCGCGGGCTTTGGGGTTTTCGAGTTCGTGGAGAGCGTCCGCTTCGGCGCCTGTGTTGTGTTTTTGTTAATTCTGTTTTTTGGGGTTGTTTTCTTGACTGGTGTTGTAGAGGGGATTGCCTGTTGATTAGTAGGAGAAATCTTTTGGCGTTTACCTTTTGGTAGTGACGGGTCCTCCTCCTCAGACTCTTCGCCGGAGTCTGCCCCAGCAAAGTCGGACGAGTCGGAAGATTCAGCCCCGGGGTCACCAGGTTCACCGGGTATGGAGTTATCTAGGACGTTGGTTTTGTAGTTGATGGCCTGTCTAAGCGTTAGCTGATGATTCCGGAAAACAGATCTGTCGGTTGATAACTTACTTGACGACGTCTGCCACCACGGCCAAGAACCTCCCGGTTTGCTTCAGCCTGTCGCTGGGCTTCAGCCTCTCGTTGAGCCAGAATACGATCCCATACACTTGAGTTGATGGCCTCTGGTTCAGCCATCTCTTCCGTGGCAAGACCGGCCTCAAAGCCAGACTTGTCATTCGACCATACCTTGGCATAAGAGAACGAGGTTCCATCATCAGCTTTGGTCTCTTGCTCGTCTGTTCGGTCCAAGAGGGCGTCAACAGCAGCGGAGTCGTAATTAATAGACTTCTTCTCGTAATCATCGTTGAAGAGCGCCTGAGCACCGTGTTTCAGGATTGACTCAAGGTCATCGCCGGCCAAGTCGTCGTCGTCCATACTCTCGATCAGAGCATGATCCAAAGCCATCTTCTTCTTACCAATCTGCATGATTCGTTCCTCCACCGAATCTGTTGTCATGAGCTGGAAGCAAAGAACCTTTTTCTTCTGTCCGATACGATGCGCGCGGGACAAGGCCTGAATATCTTGGTGAGGGTTGAAATCGGGATCCAGAATGATTACTGTATCTGCAGTAGCAAGATTGATACCAACACCGCCAGCTCTGGTGGACAGGAGGAATGCAAAGACGGGCGAGTCGGGGGCATTGAATGCATCAATTCGCCGTTGCTTCTCCAGGCTACTAATACTGCCATCAAGTCGGCGGTAGTCATAGCCCAAGGCCCCAAGGAAATCCTCAATGATGTCCAACTGCTGTAAGAATTGGCTGAAGATCAAGACACGATGGCCTCTTTCCTGAAGTTTCGGAAGCATGACTCGTAGGAGAAGAAGCTTGGCCGACGCTTCTACAAGGTTTCGTTGTAGCACTGTAGGATCGTGGTGACGCTCCTCAATAGCCTCGGAGTACATGAAAGGGTGGCAAAGGCACTTTCGCAATTGCATCAAGATGTTGTTGAGAGATCCTCGTTCCTTCTTGTTCATTTTGCTGTCGGAGAACATGGCTCTGATCAGCTCTGGGTTCTTGGCCATGATGCTCTTGGAAAGCTTCTCCTGAATCACAGTCATTGTGACTGGAAGGATGATTTGGGTCATTGGCGGCAGGAATTTGAGCACGCCGGCCTTGGTTCGGCGCAAGAAGTATGGTCGGATCTTGTTGTGCAGTTTGGGAAGCGTTTCTTTGTCAAGAACTTCATACTCCTCGTCAAGCTCTGCGGCATTTTGCTTATCGTCAATAAATTGCAGCAGGTTGAACAGCTCCCTTTTGTTGTTCTGAAGTGGTGTTCCAGTGAGGAGGAGTCTGAATGGGATGCGCATGGAGCGCAAAGCACCATATAGAAGGTTTTGATCGTTCTTCAGGCGCTGACCTTCATCGACGACAAGCCCTGTCCAATTGACAGATTTGAACAAGTTTTTCGTTGCGGGATCTTGAGCCGAATCATAGGACATAATCACAACATGGGCCTTCATGTCTGTGGATCCGTTGGGAAACAGTTCATACTTATAAGCAAGTGCTTGTGGCTCTCGTCCGCCGTGATAGGCAACAACTCGCAACTCCGGTATCCATTGCTTGAATTCGCGACGCCAGTTGGGGCACGTGGCATTAGGAACGACGATCAGGAAAGGCCAGCACTATTTGGTATGTTAGTATACTGATCATCGTGGCTAAACAAACAATTGCGACTTGCCTTTGGGTTGTCTTGGACGAGCGAGGTCACAAGACCTACGACTTGAACAGTCTTTCCCAGACCCATTTCATCGGCGAGGACAACACTGCGCCCCGAGTGGTAGTTGCCGAGCAGCCAATTGACTCCTTCAATTTGGTAGCCCATGAGCTTTCCCCGTGTCAGGCCAGCAGGCTGCTCATTGATCTCCTCGAACGGTGCAGCTTTGTATGCCTTGACCCGTTCTTTGATCTTGTGCTGACTTTCGCTCTTGAAGTACTTGCCCTCGACGTATTCGTAGTATGATTCAACAAAAGAAGCATATATCTCGCCTGCATCTTCTGCTGGTGGCGAGTCCCACACAACGTCATCATAGCCTAGCCCCTGGAATTTGACAAAGATCTTGGTGACATGAGACAAGTTTTCCAGCTCCTGTTCTCTTGTCTTTGCTCTCGGCGCAGATGGGTCTGTTCTGACATTGAATATGATATCAGACATCAAGAACTCATCTGGAATGGCTTGCTGTTCGTCGAGCTTCAAGAGGCCTTCGCTGGCGTCTCTCTTGCTAAACGAGACACGCATGGCGGAAGCTGCTACGCCATATACCCAAGCACCTGGTTTCCAATCACAATGGGCATACGATCGGCTTTCCCATTTGACTAGATACTCTTTGTTGTCTTCTCGAACCTCGTAATGCACAAGTCGAGGAGTTTTCTTTGCAAGGTTCTTTTCTGTTGGTCGCCATGCGACAAGCCGATGGATTTTGTGCCGGGTACTGGCGCACTCTTTGCACTGCCAATCGACTGAATGGTCTTTGAGACGCTCGGATTTGAGATCTGTTCCGATGGTACCGCTTCTAGCGCCCGGAAGATGCTCAACGTGCCAGCCTCGGTGGCATGCAACACATCGGAAGAGGACGTGGTCAGCATTGTTGATGAGTTTGGACGAAACAGGAGTGATTGGGTCAATGCCGCCATTCTCTTCACGCAGCTTCTCTTCCTGACGGGATGTTTTCTTCTCTGAGAAGGAAGCACAGCTGCTACCGGGGGTATTACATGCTTGACACATGCTGTGTTTGGGAGCGTTGTTGTCCTTTTTGCTGGGGACTTCGATGCAGAACCTGCACTGCAAGACAAAGCTGTCCTCGCCAACTTTGGTCACCATATGCTCGCGAGCACTGCGATAACCAATGCAGGACTTGTGGTAGGAGAGCGTGCAGCCTTGACAGTGAACCATTTGACCTCGTTGACGTGAGCCACCACATGTATGGCAAGTTTCCATATGCATCGTGACAAAATCTGACTCCGCTGGAAGGGGCTGGAAGATTTCTCTCACAGAGATGATTTTCGGGGCGCCAGGGCCTTTGTCATCAACAACGTAGAATGAATCGTCGTCCATTAGAGCGTCATCCTCCATGTTCATGACATTCCTCGTTGCTCTCGAAGAGCGTCGTGGGGCTTCGAACTCAATATCAGAGTCATGAGATCTCTGGCGCGAGGAAGCTTTTGGTTGAGCTTTTTGCCGCAAGCTCATTGATTGCAAGCGTTTTGATCGTTGACGGGCCTTGCCAGGGCGTCCTCTCTTCGGATCAATATCAGAGATAACGAAGGGCATGAAATTATCATCACCCTCCTCCTCTGACGCTGGTGGAGCATCTCCAAGTAGCTCATCTTGATCTTGACTACCAAGTCCATTCTTAAAAGAGACATTAGTCGGTTCCCTGGGCTGGCGAGTCCTGAGGACTCTAGTAGGGCGTGATGGCTCAGGCCTTGAATCATCCAGCTCATCGTCATCACTCATTCTAGAAGGGCTGCGAGAAGGTTGTTTTGTGGTCTCCCTTGAGCGAAGGCGTAGACTGCGTGAGCGATTCGTTCGAAAAGGCTCCAAATCTTCCTCATCATCGACATCCATATGATCGGAGGCGACAGACTCGGGTTCAGAATCCCAGTCGTCCTCAGGCGCATACTTTCGCTTCCGTGTGCCGGACATATCTGCGAAGTCGAGCGGCCCTAAGCCTTGGTTGAACCGGGTCAGGGCAGTCTTTCCGTTTTCGAAGGCAAAGAGTTGCGTAGAAGATATCTTGGAGATAGGTCAGTGGTTTGTAGCTAAGAGCAAGAGCAAGTACATGTGCTTTTTAAAAGACTCGAGTGGGAAAAATGATAACAAGGCAAGACAATGCCGTGATAGAATCAGGAGGGGTGCGGGGCTGCACAATAGAGGAGTATATATTTGCGAAGTTGGCAGTGAATAAGGCAGCCCGTTGACAATAGCTAGTGTATTCACACTCCGGTGCCGTAATGCACTGCTCCCGAATAATAGCCCCGTAGCACTTAGATGAGGAGACAATATGTCCCCGCAAGAGCAAAGAGCAGGCGAATATCGCCGCTCGTTGAATAAAAATAAGAGAATGTCCACCTACCAGCTCTTCTCTTCCATCTGTAAACTCGACCCGGTATTCCGCGTTGAGGTCGTCATTAAGGACTTCTTCCAAGACGGACTCGACGATATCGCTATGCACAAAAGAGTATTCGGCGCGCTCTTCTGGGGGTATCTCTGGAATCACAACCGCTACTCGGTAGGTCGGTGCTGCAGGTGACATGGATTGATCCAGTATGTCTCCTTCAATCCGGGGTATTGCCTCCTCACTCTCCTCTTCTCTCTCCTCCACCTCGTCTCCCAACGTGCCCGCATCTTGCATAGTGATTTCGTCATTCGGAAATGCCTGTTGCGCTTCCATATTCATGTCTCCGTCAACAGGAAGAGAACCATTTGACCCGCCAAGGTCTGCCAGGAGGAATTCCAGCGATCGCTCGATAGCGTTTTCGTCTTGGTTCACAAAGCCCTCGAGAGGCTCCTGTACTGTGTAGTCGATATCCATTGCGTAGAAACTCGATCAAATCGTATATATATTCGCAAGTGATTGTCGCAAAGAGATAGTCGTCGTCGAGGAGTTGGCGGGGTGTTGCGCCGTCGTCTCTGCTGGAAAGGACCAGCTACTAGAACAAGAATTACAAATTATGAAAGTTGCGATTAGAAAAAGAAATCTATGAGTTGTCGATGCGGCCGAAGTGCCATTTCGGAAGTTTTGTTGTTATGTCTATAATGGTGAAGGTAGTTCATTAAATGTTTGGCGCCGGGGAAACGCGACGGTCGCATTCACACGCGTAAAGTTAAAAGTTGCGACCCATTACGCAGAAGTCCCTAAGGCCCTTAATGCACTAAAAATGACATATCGAGTCTCACCGCCCGAAGATCAAGTGGCAGAAAAAAAGATTTAGTGGGGCTACATTTGAAAGTTCTACGAGGGTCTTGAGCCACTTCAAAGTGGGCTGAAAGTTACAAACGCAGAGACTCCTTGTGCAATGATATATCCTACTCAATTAAGGGTTACCGGCATTTGCCAACCTTTAGGAAGGTTGCAGATTACCCAAAGAAGTTTCGCTCCCGTTTTCGTTCGTGGGAAGGCACTCTCAGCTATTCACCGGGGCATTCGTAGGGAAATCGGAAGAACAGACCCTGACGCCGAACCCACCTCTTTTAGAGAACCTCGATCATCGTTCCGTAAACCAACTTCGACCCGTCGTGAAGCACCTCTTGTCCGCCGAGATGCGTTTGCCGATAAATTCAGTGCGAGAGCCGTCGATCGTGGTGCGCAAAGTGGTGGGCAAGGTGGCACACGGAACTGGCGCCAAGAACAGAAATTGAGGAAGAAACTGAGAAAGAAGGAGGAGGAAAAGCAAGCCCAAGAAGAGAGGGAAGCGGATGGGACCGGCCGACGAACAAGAAGGAGGCGATTTGCGGATCCTGAAAACGAATTCGGGAATCGCAGCTTGGTACATCGAATGAAATATGGCGACCTGAAGGATGTGGCCGACGGCCTACAAATACAAGAACCCGTGAAGCCACGGTCTTTCAGGGAAACTCGAAGGGAGCGTTCGCGTGAGTTCGGAGCACTAGGCGCACCCCCACGAAAAGAGCGACGACCTGAGCGATCAGGAGAGCAGTCTGATCGATGGTCCGATAAATCACAGCAAAGACTTGAAGGTTCTGATCGCAGCGCCCCAAGAGATGAGCAACGGCCTGAGCGCTCAGGGCAGCAGTTTGATCGCTCAGACCGTCAGTTTGACCGTTCAGATAGGCAATCTGGCCAATGGTCTGATAAACCACAACGATTCAATGATTCAGATCGTAGCGCCCCACGAAATGAGCAACGAACCGAGCGACCAGGGCAGTTTGACCGTTCGGACAGGCGATCTGATCGATGGTCTGATAAACCACAGCAAAGGTTCCATGATTCAGATCGTGGTGCTCCTCGACAAGACAATTTCCGGAACGATCGATGGAATGGCCCGCAAGAAGATTCCAGCGATGTGTATGCCGTTGAGCGTGCTCAAAGGAACGGAATGATGGCCATGACAATCAAATACACGACCGCCGCTTCGCAGTTCCTCTATGGCCGATCAGTAGTCAAGGCAGCCCTGGAACAGAACCGACGAAAACTATACAACCTATACATCTATGGTGGCGAAAACAGGATAGACAACAAGGACAATACAATCATGACACGAATGGCGGAAAAGCATGGAGTACCTATCACAATAGTTCCTACTTGGGAGCAGCGAATTATGGATAAAATGAGCATGGGACGACCTCACAACGGCTTTGTTCTTGAGGCATCCCCTCTGCCTCAATTACCTATCAAGTCGCTTAGCAAATTGGAGGAGAGCCCTGGCCGCCTTGGCTTTCACGTTGACCTGGACTATCAGACTAAGGAGGAGGCAGCAGTCAACGGCACAGACTCGTTTATTCGACGATCCAACGATGTGACACCCAAGCCATTCGTTCTCTTGCTTAACGAGATCATCGACCCCGGTAATCTAGGAGGCATTATTCGCACCGCCAGCTATCTTGGCGTGGACGCTGTCGCCATCACCAACCGAGGATCATCTACACTCACACCAGTTGTTCTCAAGTCTGCTGTCGGTGCGGTAGAGGAAATCTCGCTTTTCACAGTCGACGACCCGGTTAGATTCATTGAAGATTCTGGCAAGGCCGGCTGGAAGACCTATGCCGCAGTGGCGCCACCTGACCGTAAACTGGTTCGAAGACACGGTGACAAGTTCGTCTCTTTGGATTCTATCGAGATCAACAGTCCCCTGAATGAACATCCTTGTTTACTTGTCCTTGGAAATGAGGGTCACGGTCTATCAAAACCCGTCAAGGTCGCTGCTGACTACGAACTGTCAGTTCCACGCTTCGTTCAGGGAAGCTGCGTGGACAGTTTGAACGTCAGTGTTGCAGCTGGACTCTTGTGCCATGCTTTCGTTAAGGAACCTGTGGTCGAAATCAAGTATGAGCCAATTGAGCAGAAGACTGAAACTGTTGAGTCCATTCAAGTGGACAGCATAACAGAGGTAGAGACGGGAACAAAGCCTGTTGATCACGCCCAGTCTGAGTCTCTCCCTACTTCAGAGCAAGTTGAGAATGTTTCTGAGCAAGTCGAGGAGATAACAGAAGAAACAGAGGTTACTGCCAAGGAGGAAAAGAAGCCTTCCGAAGAAAAGGAGAAGAAGGTCGAAGGAACCAACGAAACGATGTTCTAAGAAGCTTCACAGTCGTGAGGCACATGTCGTCATTGTAATAACTCATGTATATCACGATGCATTTGGCCGGCGCTTTGGATTGAGGACGAATCATGTAAAAAATATGTACGATCATGATATATAAAAGGCTTGGAAACAATAGAATAAAGGAAAATACCTACTCGTTAAATCACTACCAATACCAATCGCTTGGAAGCTGTGGAGATTTCCAACGTTGGTACATTAGCCTGCAAAGCCCCTGCATGACGTTGCACGCCATCCCGTCCACCCAGCCATCATGACTCCAACTCTGATCGTCAAAGATTCTATCCATGTATTCATGACGACTAATTTATAAATCATCTACAAGGTTTCTATAGCAGCAGCTAGATTACAGGCTACTCATAGAGATCCTCACCTCTTCAATCTAGCGACAGACCGTCTTGTGGTCCGTCATATCTTCTCCCCGCCGTCTCCCAGCCACCGAATTTGTTTACAAGCTGCCTAATAAGTCCAACTTGTCATACCCAAGGTAAGCCTGAGTACAGGCCTCATTTTCTCCCTTCCTTTCGAACCTGTGACTGATAAAATCATTCAGTATTTATTATCCATCGTTTCTCCCTTCAACTCTACACCTAACCGGGGGTCATCGGGTATTGGTGGCGGTGTAATAGTCTCTCATCTCATATTTCACCGCCAACGCATACTTGAATCTCATACCCAGCGACAAGAGATCTTGAGTCATTTCTCAATCTCACTCAGTATACGAAAATGCGGCCTGTATCTGCAGTTCTGTTATCTCTGGTCGCTTTATTGCCACAGGAAACTACCGCCAAAGCGAGTTCACCAACGGCAATTAAGAAAATCGCCCCCGGCTCCAGCGACAAGCTCCTCCGTGAGCATCTTGCATTCGCACCACTGCAGGTTCTCTCTCCTCGCGACGCCGCCGCATCTGCGATCTCATTCCTCGATCAGCAAGATGAGGAGTTTTTGAAGCTCAACGGCACCGAACGGTTCTACCGCCCAGCATTTGCCCCTCATAGCGAAGAGTCCCGGGATGGCATGTTACGGCGTGCCGCAGAGGCTCTGGCGTTGTTGCAGAGAAGATCATCTTGTCCTAAGGGGATGAATATCTGCTCCAACATCAGCCCAGAGGTCAAATGCTGTCAGGAAGGAACAAATTGTGTAGATGTCGGTGACAGTGTGCCTGGAGGCGTTGCATGCTGTCCCGATGGTGCTTCGTGTGGTGGCGGCGTTGGGTCATGTCCCGATGATGCAGCAAGCTGCCCGGAAGAGCTCGGTGGTGGATGCTGTATTCCAGGATATGTGTGTCAAGGACTCGGATGTAAGTGAACATGTAATTCCGCTCTGCTTCTGGCTAGGTGCTGACTATAGATAGGCGTTCCAAGTGCTGTTGCTACGCCGACAAGTACAACAGCTCAAAGTACCACCCAGGCCCCAACCACAACCGCACAGCCGACGACCGAAGAGCCTACGGTCGAGCCGACTACCGAGACAGAACCTGAGACAACAGAAGAGCCTACGACTGTCGAGGCCTCAGAAACGGAAGGTACTGTCACTACACCTGAATCAGCTACGGGCTCGATCACCGGCAGTCCACCTTATCGTCCAACTGACACCTCCGAAATATCATCATCATCATCATCATCCGAAGACCAAGATACCCAAACCGGCTGCCCCACGGGCTTCTACGGTTGTCTCGCAACCCACGGCGGCGGATGTTGCCGCACGGATCGAAACTGCGATACGCATAACTGCCCAGCTCCTTCAACTACAATAGTCACAGACGGCGCAACCATCGTCGTTCTCGCAACCGATGCGCCACCCGCTCCTGGACCTTCGTCGACCTGTGCAGATGGATGGTTCCTCTGTGGCAGAGACGCAGGTCCCGTTGCTGGGTGCTGTCCTGACGGTTACGATTGCGGAACAGCAAGTTGTTTTACAGCGCAGGCCAGCCAGACTGCTAGCCTACAGAAGACATTTCCTGAGGCTTCTGCCGCTGGGCATGAGAAGCCCGCAGTCATGATGGCTGCGGTAGCAATGATTTTTGTGTGTCTTGCATTTGTATGACTTTAGTACATGCGATTAAGTTGATATTAGACTGGAGTTTTTGGCATGAGGAGGAATATGTGGTTTTTATGAGAAATAGAATGAATGTTTCATGACAGTTGAGGTAGATTAGTTAGATACCCTTGTAATACAACAGAGGCAGTCGATTGCCTGTATGACTTTCTACAAATATTCCGCTGAACGAAAAGTATACAAGATTGTCCTATATATCACATGCAATGTCAGAAGTAATAGTTTGCTATCAGACATTAACGATCCATGGGTACGGAACATTGATCAAGTAACTGTATTTTGCTTCTCAATTATTTTCGGGCGCTAGGCCTTCCATTTACGTATCGTTACGTTCATTATCATATCTTGCTAATATTCCATTCTTTACTCGGGCATGTGAGTGAAAGGCTTGGCGAGGTGCTCCTGGCAGAAAGGCAGCTTTCCGGCGGTCCAGATCTCGGTATCCTGAAATTATTGTTAGTTGTTGTCAAAGTATTGCGTGTAATTGGCACTCACAGGCTTGAGGTTCTTCTTGATCTCGGTGTCGAGGGTACCAGCCTTCAGGGCGATAATCTCAGGAGCGGCATCGGGGTCATGAGCGATGGGAGAACCGCACTCGCCGCAGAAGAGACGGTGGACGATGTTGCCAGATGAGCCCTTGGTGCCGGAGTAGGTCTTGACAGGGCCGTTGATGGTGAGCTTGTCCTTCTTGACAACAGCAACGAGAGCTTATGGCAGGATTAGCTTAGTTCAATTGTTACGATTGCGTGTCCTTACAGTAGGTAGAACCACTCTGGCGTTGGCAGTCGTCACAGTGGTCGTAGCCAACAAGGAGAGGCTCGTCCTCGACCTTGTAGGTGACGGCTTTGCAAAGGCAGTGTCCAGAGAGAGGCATTGTGAATGATTTAGAATATAGAGTGATAGATGTATTGTTCAAACTCGATGATGAATGTCTAAGCTATCAACACTTTCAGACCTGGGAGAGGGCGAGCTTTTTAAAGCTTATGAGGAGCTCTCGAAAGCTCCATGAGGGGCCTTAGCGGGGTAAAGGCAAGTCCCGAGCTCCTGTTGGCAAATGTTAGGAGTGACGGTATGATAGACAGGGAAAGCTTCTGGTGGTGGGGCAGCGATTGGATGACGTTGGACATGATCTTCAGCTTAAGGGTGTGTTGTCGACCTAAACTGGAGCTGGGTGTTTTGAGTACGACTGTACGAGACGGTATTTGTGTACAGTGTTCTGTATATTTCATGCGTCGACTGGGCCAGGGGAGAGCTTGCCCAGGAGCCCACATCGTGTAAGTCTATCCTGGTCAACTGCGTAGACGATGTCGTGAACTGATTGGCAAGCCATCAAGTAAGAGTATCAATCAATTCCAGATACTCGGACTGTCGGAACAATATCGATCTGCAGCGTTGTCCCATTGGCGTAAATGCGTATCATTATCTCAAATCATCAGTTTTAGCTCGTTGGACGCCCCTGGTAAATAAAATGCCGTGTGTGACGTTGACTGAGGAATTTGTAATTCTTCAGGGAACGACCTGCATGTTTACCAAGCGGGGCTTATGCGGATAGTATTTGGAATTGCATGTCAGGTCCCCGCCAGGATGTCTCAGTATTGTTCGGTTGTGGTGAGATCCATTCTGACAACCGCCCAAAGAATTTCCAATAGTTTTCTTCTACCCAAGTGTCCGGGCAATGAAGACCCAAGCTTGGGTTCTCTTGAGCTCAATCAACTTGATGATGAAAGTCGCGGGGCAGTGGGGAGCTCAACACCAGGGCTTGAAGGTTTCGCAGTGCTGATTGGCTGTCGTAAAGTATCTCGAAACGCCAGTTTAGCCTGTTTCTGTGGTCGTATCAACAAGCGTATCAGAGGCAGTCAAAGCGTATATCTTTGTAGGTAGAACATGAAATAGTAACCGGTGTCTATTCGTTCCAGGTCGTGCCTCTTCCCTTGCTTGTTGTAAAATACCAGCGTTCCAGAAGGCTTCGTTAACTCATCAAACACTGATCATGGGAAGCCATGAGCGATGAGAGACGCTAGAGCCCATGAGATGCCCACTCTTCCTAAAAGCTCGATCATACCAAGCGAGGTGGTGCTACCAAGAGTTATGCGATCAGCCACGAATAATTGAAGGACTGCCGTCCTATACGCTTTCTTCAATGCGTCGTCGCCTTTTCCTATGACAAAGGCGTCCATAGATGACATGCGAAAGTCTCGAATATCAATGCCGGTATTATGTGATGAAGGCTTGGCTGCGGACGTCAAAGGTCTTTCGATTTTCCGCGGTCGGCGTCTTAAGTTCTTGATGATTTGAAACCACAAATAATCGACAAGACTCGAGGAATGAAGAGGAGGTGAGCCCTTCTTCAAGAAGATCTTCGTAAGCTGCTCAGGTCTATCAGTCCAAAAGGTACGACTTTCAGCTAGCTCACAAAAGATAGCCTCTGAATCATGCGCATAGTGAACGAAGCGTGAGTAGAATACCGGTGTCAGGATCTTGATTTTGATCTCATTTGTAGATTCATCCAAATCAGTTGCCGAAGGCGACCTCATGACCTCTTCAGAAACTTGAGGATCTCCGCTAGGTATGTAACGAACAACGATGGGTGTAGACGATCGCTCGACGAGACTGCGAAGATAATTACGGAATGCCACTTCGAGAGATTTCTCGATATCGTCCGCAAGACGCCCTATGCTGCTCTTTAGAGGCTCAGGTCGGTGCCAAAAATGAAGATTGTGTATGTAAAAGAGAACAGCACATTCTTTGATGAACCGAGGAAAGGTAGCAGCGACTGGCCAAAACCAATTGAGGACAGCTTCGACCGTCTGCGCAACGGTCATGTCGCATGGATCAACGGCTTCGTTCTCAGAAACGAGGTTCGCCACAAGCTTCGGGTGCCCCTTGGATGAGAAGAGACTCAGGGTTATATCGAGACCACGAAACCCACTACCAGGCCCAAGGGGGTCGCTCGCAAGTATCGAGTAGAATCCTTTTCGAGAATTAAAGGGTGAAACATGAAATCCTTTTTGTACTCTGGCCTTTACCTGGGCACGTTGAAGCCCTTGGTCATTCGAGGGTTCATGTTGGATATGTTTGGCTTCTGCGTCAAAGTCTCGGGTGGTAAAATAGGAATGTCGCTCTCCAAAGATGCTGTGCATCTCAACTATGATTGCCGAAAGGGCTTTTTCAGGAGAGTACAGGAACCAAAACGATACGGGGCTAAAACCAAAGCCCAGGAATCGCGGCGAGGTGACCAAGTAGGCGTGAGGATATTGTGATGGGTCCATGTCCTGTTCATGTCAGTTCCAGCCCTCCGAGATCCCATAGGGCTACTGACCTTAGATTCCAGATAGGAATCCAACTTTCCTCGCAGTCCACCGGGAGAGTGCTGTCGTTGGAGGTGATCGGTAGGATTCACATAGAACCAGGCATCTAGCCTAAACAATCGTCGGAGCCGAGTCGATGAACTCGGCTCATCATTCGATATGAAACCACTGACATTTCCTGAATAGTCTACAGGAACACCGACAGAAAGTTGGGAATAGGAGAACGAATGCTTCCTCGGAAAGAGCCGAGTATGTGTTGTGTAGCTTGGTATAAGCCTGGATCGAGCATCACCAGTTAGACCGTTGCCATTTCGGGGACTAACTCTTTGCAGGATATAACATCCAAAGAAACATATTGCTAGAGTGATGCCCGTGACAACACCGATTTGTTTCAGATCGATATATTGTAAAAGAGCGGTGGCTGTGGAATACTTCCAAGCGATGAAGCATAGGGTAAGCCAAATATCGAGTTTGCCAACGCAGGTATGATAACCCCAGAACGTCAATGTGACGCCTAAGAGGTAGAGCCAGTTTTGTGTGATTCGGTCAATGAAATCTGCAGCGAGGACGGCCGACAGAAGAGTCGAGTCCTCAGACAAACCGTCCATAAGCAAGTTCAAGGGTAGGGCATGTCTATCACTGAAGTCGAAAGAAGACTCTCAACCTACACAGGTGAGAATTGCAGGAAAGAAAGAAGAGGGGAAGCGGAGTCTCAAGTATCTAGTAATCGGTCGGTTTCAATAATTACTTGGTAAATCCGAGGCAAAGAATTGTCCATCAAGGTTGATTGCCTTTAATGGACACTGGATCTATACAACAACCAGTGAGCGTAGCTACTGTCCTGTAACAGAAAGAGCGGTTAGTCATCAACCATTTGGTGTGCATTATAACGCGAATATCTCTGCATAAAATTATGGACAAGACCATGAGCATGATGAGCATAAAGCGCGTCACTTTCTGTCAAGTCCCGCTTTGTCGTCATTGAATCTTCCTCTCACTCAAGACTCTCACAGTCATACCAGGCTGAATAACCCAGCCCGGCATAGCCGTCTCTAAAATCAAACCCTGCAGAAAAATGGAAGGGTCCCGGCAGAAGTCTAGCACCTTCTATGGACTGGAGAGGCGAGTGAATAAGCCACCAGTGGCGGTGCGAGACAGAAATTGACACCTACCTTTCCAGGGCAAGGCAACCTTATCGATGGGCGCAGAGGCGCATGCATAATAGTGACCAGGAGCCCAAGTAATAGAAGAGGCCACCGATGCACGGTGCCAATTGTAACCCCCCGCCGATTGACTCAGTGCCCCCTCGAGCCCCTCCACCCATTCCATCACCGTTCTCCATAAATTCTTTGTCGCCCGTAACCTCAGCTCGATCGATATTCCAGTCTTACTCACTCAACAAACAACATTTTGCATCCTCACTACTCTGACTTACGAACCACTTTCGGTCACATATACACATTTCAGAAACCACTTCACGACCTTCAAAATGGATGACTGGGATACTGCCACCAAGATTGGAAGCCGCGCTCGTGGCCCCGGCAATGCTCAGCGAGAGACTGTCGTCCGAGGAAAGGCTGCCCTCAACGCTGCCCAACGAGCTGGAGGTCTCAGCACCGAGAAGAAGTACTCTTCTGCCAACGCCGTATGTATACCGAAAGACTATTGTTCGCCAGACTATAAACTAACACATTCATAAGGGTTCCGCACCTGAGGGTCAGCGCATGACCAAGGTCGACCGATCCGACGACATCATCAAGCCCAACACCATCGGCAAGAACGTTGGCGACGTCATCGCAAAGGCCCGCCAACAGATCGAGCCCAAGATGACCCAGAAGGACCTTGCTACCCGCTGCAACACCACCCAGGCCATCGTCGCCGACTTCGAGCGAGGCAGTGCCGCCCCCGACCAGAAGGTGCTCGGCGCCATGGAGCGGGTGCTCAATGTCAAGCTGCGAGGCAGCGACATTGGTGCCCCCAAGTTCCCTAACAAGAAGAAATGAGCGATTCATATCTGCTTAGAAGGGAAAATTTTGTAAGAAAGGCTTCAGAGCCGAGTCGAGCGTTAGCGAATGATGATATCTTGGCTGGGAAATCAGGAGTTTCGTGTGGGCCGTCACGATGCTTTTATGACATGGGTACATGAGACTTCTTCTCATTTTTTATGATGGGCTTCAGGATCACGGCGATAGAAAGAATGGACTCCTCAGATGATGGGTGTTCTGGTTTCTTAACTCATGAGTGAGGTAACAAGGCCCGCTCAACCGAATAAAATATCCTATTATGCATCATGACTCTATGCCCGCTTCATACCAAATGCTTGACCATTCCAGGCGACACGGGCATACATTATATGTGGTCAGATCAGTCCGCGAAACACGACACTTCTTACCCATAAGAACAATCTCAAGCATTACCATCGCCTAGAGTTGCATGCGATACGGTGCAATCATTAGGAGCCTACAGTGAGAAGTCCATACTACGATGCTTTTTTTGCTGCCGGCAGACTCAGACAACGACTATGTCAGGTTATGGCGAGTCTCTGATATGGGTTCAATGGGTGAATCTTGGAACGAGCGAAGGCATAGGGTAGTACAAGAGATAATTTGGAATACAATCATGTCAAGTGCAAGTTCTAAATAGTCTGGTAGTACAGACTTTTTGTTCTATTTCCATCATTTCCTTCCCCTTTTTCGTTGTAGAGCTTCAGTCGTCCTACGTGCGCCACTTGGCGGCTATCACGCTGCAACACATATACAAGATCTTAAAAACTGTCGCTAAGGGATACAATTCTTCTATCAACCATTTGCCCATCATTAAATCTAGCATTTCATAGACCCGAATTCCAAATCATGCTGAAACCTTGGGGCTGTACTTCGTAGCGGCTCTGTCGAACAGGGCGCTCTTCTCTTCCAAGTCGGCCAGGTACTGGTGGTCAGGCTTGGCGCTTTGGAGTTTCCTGCATGTGTGAGTATAAAGTCACAAATTGCGCGTATCAAACTTACTGTGTGAGCTCATCAGACTGGCTTCCAGCGATGACATTGAGAACAAGCAGGTTGGCGATGGCATCGGCGTTGTTGGCGTCCTTCTCCAAAGCTTGCTCTAGGGCAGCCTGAGCCTCCTCTGTTCGGCCAAGGTGCAGTTCGCAAACAGCTTGCGAGACAAGGCTTCGTACTGATGAGGTCGAAGGAGCTTGGGCGAGCTCCTCGTAGACGTAGAAAGCTTGCTGGTACTTCTCACCACCCTGCATTGTCTTAGTATAAGTCATTGACAGAATCTGTATCATGCTTACCACTCTCAATCCAACCCAAGACTCGGCCAAGTTGACCAAGAGACTATCCTGAGCCCATCGTCGGGCAGCTGAGACTTCCTTCAAGGCGAGATCGGTTCGGTTTTGTTGCAAGTGAATCTGGACGATAAGGGAGACAGCATCAACTACACAATAGCGGTCAGCATAACCCCAGGCACGATTGAGCTATAGGTGTTCATACGGCTTCCTTGGTGCTGGGTGAGGAGAGCAAGAGCCTCCTCGGACTTTCCGGCAGCTTGAAGGACTGTTCCTCCAACAACCTGTACCGTTGTGTTATCGGCGGCGGAGGACGCAAGCTTCTCGATCGTCTCGACAGCGGAGTCGGTCTTGCCCAAGTTCGACTCAGCAAGAGCACCAAGAGCCTGGAGCTCGGGTTCGGATTCGCCCTTCACTTCGGCGAGGACATCTTCTGCTTGGCCGAGAGCCAGTCGAGCTCGGAGGACCAGGACGCGGACGGGCAGGGCGTTATCAGGGGAGAAGGATGAGGTATCGAAGTCGACAACCTCCTGGTACTGGCCCTGATGGAAGTAGTTGTGGATGTTGATCAATTCGCCTTCGGTCGAGTAAGGATCCATTTTGACGGTAATTTCTTGTATGATTCTTCACAATTGCGTATAAGTGTTGTCCCTGAAAACGTCCCTTGAGAACACCTTGGTGATGCGCCTGAGATTCAATGCCAAGGTGGGGCCGTTGTCTGTCCTTTCGTGGGGTGAGCTCCAAAAGTACGTACCTTCTTCTTAGCCTCACCTCGATGTGGCGCTGATCATGGCAGCCCTAGGATTCAGGCGTAACTGTGGCTAGTGCAAGCGACACCAACTAGGGCAACCCACAAACTGTGCGTTCCTTCCCAAAATTCCATTTACATTTGGTCTTGAGTTTCTGCAACCAAACACACCCAAACGAACGGCACCGCACATCGTCGTCAAAATGGTACGTCGCAACAAGTCCAAAGCCTTTTACCAGAGCCGGCAATAGCATTAGTACTCTTTTTGAAAGATGCAATGTCATTGTCCCCCACCACGCGCCCGTCGACCATCCGCACGATGACAGTATTATTGGAGAAAGTGGGATGAAATTTCGAGGCATCGCGAGGACACGAAAAATCACCAACGACTCATGCCGACCGCCGACGAAAACCCGACTTTCATACTGACCATGGAAATGCTTGCGACAATTCAACTCTTTCTCTCAATAAACTGTCTCGGGCGATGGACGACTAGACGTGGCAAGATTCAACAGAGGTCTTGACACTCGAGCATGACCAGATGGCTAATACTCTGGATCCTACAGGTCAACATTCCCAAGACCCGTAACACCTACTGCAAGGGCAAGGAGTGCCGCAAGCACACCCAGCACAAGGTCACCCAGTACAAGGCTGGAAAGGCCTCCCTGTTCGCCCAGGGTAAGCGTCGATATGACCGCAAGCAGTCCGGTTACGGTGGTCAGACCAAGCCTGTCTTCCACAAGAAGGCTAAGACCACCAAGAAGGTTGTCCTTCGATTGGAGTGTGTCAAGTGCAAGACCAAGCTCCAGCTTGCGCTGAAGCGTTGCAAGCACTTCGAGCTTGGGTATGTTATCTGCTGGCTCTTTTGGATTGGTGCAGTGCTAACAACTACTACAGTGGTGACAAGAAGACAAAGGGTGCTGCTCTTGTTTTCTAAGTGCTTTGTGTTTGGGGTCTCAGGGTCACCATTTCTATGCTTACCTCGGCGGCATTTGGGCATCATGGATGGACACAGGCGAAAGGAGGTACACGTGCTCGATTTGAGGCATGTTTCATAGGGAATGAATGAAAAGAAAAAATCTCTGTGTTTCACCAACACAACTTTCAACGCACAGTCAAGAATATGTCTCTTCGGTGATGGACAAGATTCATTTGTTGAGTCATTACACTCAATCGCTCACGATGAGTGAGCGGGGCAACTTATGAGTCATGACGATGGTTCAGCAAACTTCAAAACAGCAACGGTGTATAGTTCTATAGGTCTAAAGCTCTATATACTCTCAAAATCCTTCTCCCAACATGATGGTCTTGCCGCCTCCGTACCACAGCGTACCGTTTCGAGCATCAAGTCCTCTCTCGTGTCCGACAAGCCATTCACCATTGTATTCAGAGTCCGGGTTATCCCAAACCTCCTTCTCAAGCCAAGCGTTGACCTCGTCAATAGCCTTGACCCAGGCTGCCCTCTTTTCCGGCGTGTCATGATCGTCATGGTTCAAATAACGTCCAAGCGTGATGTGTGCACTGGGAACTTGATACCTTGAGCCAACGACAACGCCACCCTCCTGGACTTTATCATACACGTCCCGGCGCAGGTGATGGTAAGTATAGTTGTCTCCTTGTGTGATGCCTTCTGTTTCAACAGGCTCAGTAAGAGGTGGTGAGAGCGAAGGTTCACCTGAAGCGGGCAGGAATGAGAGAGCAAAAGCAGACAGATCATAAGAGACCATTGGCTTAACAAGACGAGATCGGTGTGAGTATGGGTAGTTGACAATCTCGGGAATAGAGGGTCGCAACGTAGAGACATAAGCAGCGATCTCCTGGGGAGTCTTTGAGAAAGCAACCTCAAGAGCTGTCAGATGCATTCTATGCGCAGGCATAAGCCAGACACCTTTTTACATATTAGCATTTATTTAATGGTATCGCTCGTATTGATCTTGCCTGGGGCAGCTTTCTTCAGCAACTCGTTCACCTTGGAAGCCAATCGAATAATGTGGTCCGGAGGTCGAGCCCAGAAAACCAGGCAGTTCCTGTTATCAAGGAATCCTGGCTCTACAGTTGGGTCCTCAAGCCTGAGGAGCGTTTGGTCAATAATGAGCTCCTCGAAGCCAGTGGCCAAGAACTTCTCCGCCTGTTGAGCATTTCTCTTGGTCCTGTGAAGGGAATAGAGTGTTTGAATCTCAGCCTAAACTAGATGTGAGCTTTCTGGCAATCATCATAAGAAAATGGCACTTACAGGGTTGTCATTGCAGGCCTTAATGAGTGCGTTGTATGGGTTCTCGCCAGGCTGAAGCTGGATTCCTGAGAGGTCCTCCAGCTTGTTGCGAGTCTCGGCGGTTTCGAATTGAGCTACCATTTTGGCTCTAGGAAGAACGTCGGTGGCAGTCTGCTAATGTTTTGAATGGTGCTTTGAGGTTCTGACTCGAATTGCAAAGGGCCAACCACCAGCTATAAGAACAATTTCTGGTCTATCGTGTCATGACCGGAATGCACGATGACTAAGCTCTTGTATCTATTAATGAGAGAACTACTCTCGTCTTGTCGTATTCCAACATAGAGTCATGTAATAAATTTCAGCCCGATCAATTCGAGGTTAGTTGAAACATTCTTACCAGGGCATTAGTATTGTAGGCGAGTCAATTCTAAGTGAAAGAGAGCTATATTTTAAAATTGCATATCAACTATATGTACTCAGCCACCAATAAATTACGCAGTTGCTGGTCCTCGAATATCGCCAGTCTTCTTTTAGCTACAGCTTCGCGGCGATTTTTCCGCTGCGCGGAAGAAGCACCTTGATATCGGTTTCCTTGGAGTTTTGTCCCTCGAGATTGACAATCTGGCAGTCCTGAGCAGCAACACCGCTAGAGAATTGAACAACCAAGAAATCCAAAGTGGTCTCCTTGTTGCCCAGAGCCACCATGGGAGCATGCCATGTGCCAGCGGCATAAGTTACGGCCTGCTTGTCTGTTGCTACGAAGGCGCGTAGACCCTTGAGGTCAGGCAGTCCTCTGCCAGGTAGACCCTCACCGCTTGGCACGGGGAGACCCTCATCTTGAGCAGATGGGGGCAGAGAAGGAGCTACAACGACCAGGTAGCTCGAAGCGGTAGAAGCCAGTGGAGCAAAGGTCTGAGAAGTGAAAGGGTGGCGCTCGAGGATGTTGACGGTGAACTCGTCCTTGGTTGTGTCGTCCTTTGCACGTGCTAAGCTTCGCGCTTCGCAGACGAATTCGCTCATGACCAATTGACCATCGCTGCTGGGAGCCTGTGAGAGAAGATTTTGGGGTTTGCTGACATCGGCGTAGCGAATTGCTGTTCCTTGGTTGGCCGACGCGCCGCTGTATGGGAGCTGGCCGCCTTCAGATGCGTATTTAGAAGGAAGAAGACCAGGTCGAGGGTTGTAGACGACATCTCCAAAAGGCGCGAATTCTTCTTGAGTGAGAGGAGAAACTTCGAGCCTGAGGCTCAGGTTTCCGATATTGACATTGAGGTGGACGGCCATGACTGCTGTTTGATTGTGTCGTTCTTGGGTCATGTTACTGATGAGTATTCAATTGTGGTGGAGCAAGTAGAAGCTTGATGGTTTGAGCCAATTTATGGTGTATCGTCATCCGACGTCGGCAATGCATCACCGCCGAATACAACACAACATACTACGACTATCTATTTGGCTTACACAATTATTTCATAGAAACAGAAAGACTCAACAATAGTTGATGAGACCAGATATTGATCAAGATACAAGAAGGGTAACAAAGACTTAAAATGACACGTCCCTTACCCTAAACTACCAGTCATGATTAGGCATTGAACTGTCAGTCCGTCAAGTTAAAGAATAAGAAAATGGTACAAGTCGTAAATTATTTTTCATATACTAGAAATAGTACCAAAATCTTCATGCTCATGCCATATGTAACCCAAATACTAACATTGCTTTCCGAAATCAAAATTAGTTAAACTCCCTTGGTCTCTGCTCACGTCCTAGATCCAAGTCTGCATCATCGTCTTTGCGTGACTGCCACGGCGACGGCGATCGCAACGTGGGCGAGGGCTCACCATACCCGCCTTGGTATGCTGGTGGTTGGTATCCTGGAGGAGGGCCGGATGGATAGGCCATATTCTGAGGAGGAGGCTGTCTCCACGGAGGTTGTGCGTATTGCTGAGGACCAGCCAGACCAGGACCTCGGGGACCAAGACGGCGCTTGTCCAGATATCGACGGCCGTAAATCAAGATGAGGCTTGTTACGCAGATGAAGATGATGAGAAGAGCAAGAAGCATGCCAAATCTTCGGTTTAGAGCGAATGTAAAGCCCCTAGCGGATTTGTTAGTGATGTGTGCAGGGATGAATTGCCAAAGACTTACATGAATGCATTCAATGTACCCAAGAACAAGATGATGCGGCCGACCCAAAGATGGATCTTTCCATACCGGGTAGGCGTCTGAGTCTTTTTGTACTGAGTATGATGCATCACTCCCAGACCGAATTGTCCTAGTAGCAAACCAGTGACAACGAATCCGACTATCTGATGAGGGTCATCAAAACTTCGCGACTAGATTTCTTGTCAGAGACATGTACACAATCAAGTTTCGTAAGACATACCCTTTGATAGTAGAAACTGTTTGCAACACCAATACCAAAACCAGCAAAAACGCCCAGAGTCGCAATGGTCTGGTTGAGAGCATGCCACTTGACCCAACCGCCAGATCTCAGTAGGACAACACCGACCGGCATGAGGAATACAATTGACAAGACCATGAAGACTCCGTGAAGCGGCGACGCCCAGTTAGGCTTGGCCTTCTGGGCATATATCAGCTTGGATCCGACATTCTTTGTCGAATCGCTGAGATGTGGCATATCAGACTTGCCAGTTGTTCTTTTTATATCGATAGAGAAGCTACCATATCCTGCGTGGTACTTTAGAGGCGCATCCTTATTGTCGCTGTAAAAGTCTTCCTTGGGCCCAAAAGCATAGATGGCTTTGCTGTCGTCTGATGAAGTATCTAGATATCCTCTACCTCCACCATGCGATGGCCAGCTGCGACATCCATGCTTGCAGCGCGCTGTCACCATCATATGATCGTCGTAGACTCCGGTCGTGTTAAGTATTTCGGCATCCAAGTCTTCATAGAAATATGGTTCATAGTGACCGTAGGCGATTCGCGGGGAGAAGGTAACATTGCCGGATTGCGGGTGTTTGTATATCATGAGAAACAGGGCGCCAGGCATATCATCGCTTCCGAGACCGACAGCACCCCATGATCGACTTTTCTTAACACGAAGGCTGAAGTATACTTCGGTGTCGATGTTCTCGCCGATATCAATGGCGAATGCTACGTCGCCATCTGGGGAAACAAAGGTGGATTGACTGGGAGAATCTTTGTCTTTAGCGAAAGCGACGGGGAAGAGAGCTGTAGCGAAAATAGTCGTTAATAACAGTAATTGAATTGCGTATTGAGATTCCATATAGAGATGGAGGTCAACTTACCTGCTGTCGCAGCTAAGGCTTGCCCAAGCTTGCGAAGCAACATTGTATGGGGGTCGGTCTGGGAGAATGTGGGGGAATTAGAAGATGGGGAAGAGATAGATCATAGCACAGATAAAAAGTGAAGAAGGGAAAGAAGGTCCAAGTGGAAATGAAAAGAGCAACATCAAGTGACAATCTGCCCAATCGATAACTCTGGTCCGTGGTTTATTTACGAGGAAATCAGGGAGACAAAGCCGGAAAAGGAGGTGTGCCGCTAATCAAAGGGTACGGTATGGCGTTGCTGAAGGTGCAGATGGGACGGCAATTGATGATGGTTGCCTCACTCTGCACTAGAATCTTGGTTAATCTGTCACTCCACAGCCGTTGAATGCAATTTTGATGAACGGCACAAGAAGAGGGTCTTCACCCAATAAGAAGAAGAGGATGTGTAACATTACAGGCTCAATCGGGCAGCTGGTGTTTGTTCCATGTTGTCTAGCCAAGAGGATATTCAACGCTCATCACCATCACAAGACAAAGCAAGACTTGGCTGAATCACCTTCATTCCAGGTGGATAAAGGGGGGTTCTTGGAGGAACTTGACGTGGCAAGTCTCATACAGACACGTACGACTGCTACATTGATTTGTAGAGGGTGGGTTGGTGATACAGAGAAGCATCTCATATTAACAGTCTTTGTTGTGACTATTGATTTGCAATTAAAAAAGTACCGATGCACCATAGAGTTTATTTATCGTACTAACCTTAGTAGGTGCTTCACAGAGGCTTGTTTAGTGGATGACCCTGCAGTAGCCAGGTACCTTCCCCCTGATCTTCCCGTTTAGAGTCAGGTGCCGACCAATCAGCCATTGATTTTTACATACCGCACAACCATCACCAACGATCATCAACACACCACCACGAATGTCAACAAACAAAAATATCGCCAAAATACAGTAAAAGGAAGATAACCACTACTCAAAAAGGCGAAAGATAAGATGCGTAATCTGGGAATCGAACCCAGGGCTCCCCGATGGCAACGGAGAATTTTACCACTAAACCAATTACGCTGGTTGTGAGTAGCAATGCTACTCCGCTTGTTGGAAACTCGAGCGTTTTGTTGACTTACAAGCCTCTGTTCATGCTTCTGAGCATTCTGGTGGGCAACAATTGTTCCCTAAGGCTTTGGCCGCTGATAATAAAGTAGCCTAAGTATTGACACAAAGTAGCATAAAGTCACCAAACTGTTTCATCTCTTATGCTTTCGAGACCCAAGTCTTCTGATCCTGGCGCACTGCATAGGTATCTGACGTTGAATCACCATCGACGGAGTAAGATGATATGAAACAATATTTTATAAGTACTATAAAGGAGAAAAGTAGAGTATAAACCTATTTCACAGTCCGTTCAAAGTGAGTTGAACCTCCATAGCATCTCCAACATTGACCCAGTCCAACTGTGATGGTTAGGCTATAACTCTGTATATAAAGTTGAGGAAACACTTACAAGTATAACGTTCGGCGTCTTACTCCACTTGCCTTCGCAAAGAGAAACTTGACCCTGAATAGACTCGGCAGAATTTGTCTTCTTAGCATCCCGCTGATTCGGAATGACAATATCGAGCACCTTGTCGTTCAGCATATGATTCATCATCCCCATTAGCTCGGCAGGTTTTCCATTCTCTGGTCGATCAACTTCGCAGGTAGGGAACGATGGGTCGGTTACGCCAAAAGGTGTTTCCCAGTAGTAGTCGAACTCGTTGAGGATGTAGTCAACCTTGCTCTCGTCCATGTTAAAGTCTACTCATGTGTTAGTTGAATATGTACGAGAACTGTTGCGTATACATACCCATGAATACAAGGAGACGAGTTCCATTATCAAGGAGCTCCTGGAGAGTCGGCCACTCGTTCAGAGCCAGTTTCTTCTCCGGTCGAAACACAAACGGCTTGAGTCCTGTGCTGTTGAACGCATTGTCGAACTTCTCGATAGCTATAGCATCGCGGTTCGTCAAAAGCAAAGTCACCACTTCGTCCGGATGCTTAACCATCCAGCTTGATATCTCTGCCAGGTAGTCTTCTAGGGGACCGGCGTCCAGTAACAAGCATGAGGTATGACACATTTGTATGTCGCCATTCTTGTCTTGCGTCTGAGCTTGCAGGAATCGTACGCCGAGGTCAAGCTGTTCTGTTACAGAGACATACTGATTGTGAGACGGCCCTTTGCCAACAAATGCACTGTTGTGAGTTCCAATGAATGTGATTTCTGAGTACTTGCGACTGCACAGCTTATCATGGCCGTTGCATGCAGCCCAAGTTGTCGCAGCAAAGAATGAAAAGATGATGGTGTGTAACGGAAGCATTGTAGCATATAATATAGCAAAATAGTCTAAAGATGGGATGAGAGGATACGATAACATCAGAGCAACGAGGGGAAATCCAACCTGATATAGAGTCTACCTTTATTTAACCTTTACTTGAGTGTATGCCACATGGCCAACACCATCTGCTGAACTGCCAGTAAAGCAATATGTTTCAAGTGTTTGTATAGCGAATCATGTCTGTATATATCACCACGGATTATAGCAACAGATTGGAGATGTGCCGGTCGAAGAACCCAATTCAGCATCTTCCTCATGCGCCTGGGCCTTTATAAGTGGCGTTTGAATGTCACAACCAGATGGTTGGCTCATGATCCCCGTCACCTGGATATTGCAGCGATAGCCTGTGATTTAGGAAGGGTCCTAAAGCAAGGGTTAGCGGGAATAACATGGCGTAAATGCGACCAGAATAATGGCCATGATCGATATCTGTCATCTGATTTGTTGTGTCTTGAACATGATATAGATCAGTACTGGATAGCAAGGATCAGGTGTGGAAGTCAAATCGGGAGGGGTATCTTGTAGGCTTTCGGTCTCTGTAAATTTCATAAAAGTTCAAAATTTATAGAAATGAGACCTTAACAAGAGTCAACTCGATATTAAGACAATTCCTTTGATGTAGGAAGGTTGACGTTGAAATGACAAAGAATCGGCAATGACTTGACTTAAAAGCCGAGACCCACTCTGACGCACTGGAGCTCTGGTCTAAACATCAACGAACTGTAACGTATCCGATCCGTAGACTGCCAGCACAATCTTTAGACTAAAGAACTACAACCTGGCCACTTCACAAAGGCCAACTTGTGCCTACGCGCCTGACTTGTTCCTCACTTGATACAATTTTCTTGACCTTTAATACATGCACACGCAATCTCATAAAGACATAGAGCATCGATCAGTGCTCTGCTGCCCATCATGTCTGGCTATCTGTCCATGATAGGCTGGGCCTTTCTTCCAAGCGTATGTTCATGATGATTCCTCTACCCGCCTCTTGCTAACACCTTCATAGCTTGCAACAGGCTGGCTTCAGTCTATTTACTACGGTTTTACCATTCGCGCCGGCGATCCCAAGCCTGCGCCCGGCTCAGCCCGTTACAACGCCCACCGACGAAACATTCACATCCTCGTCGTCGCTGCCTACCTCTGCTACACCATCTTCGAAGCCGACTACGAACAACGTCGCATATCCTCCTACTATGCTGACCTCGGCGTACCCCTCGATGCTGCCGATCGCGAGATCAAGACGCGCTTCCGTCGACTGGCTGCTATGCACCATCCCGACAAGGCAGGCAAGGATGCCGGTGACTCTGCAGCCTTCTTTATGCATCTGAAGGTTGCTAGTGATACGCTGCAGGATACTGCGAAGAGATTCGCTTATGAGCGCTTTGGTCCTGAGATTGCGCGCTGGCAGAAATGCACCACTATCAGAGACTTTGTCACCCGGGGCGTTATCTCTGGCATCCTGCCTCACTACGCTGTTGCTGCTGCGTCCATCTATGTTCTGGGCCTGTTCGGTTATATGGAATTTGGCAAGTACTACCGATGGCTTGTTCTCATCGCTTTGTGTGTATTTGAGCTCCAGGCAGTTACGCGCCCCGATTTCCCGCCGTTTGTCAACGCCATCAACGCTCTTCTCGCACGATTCACCTCTCTGCCTCCATACCTACCGTTCCAAGTCATCTCACTCGCCCGAAGGTTGACGATCACATTCTACATTGCTCTTAATCAGATAGGCCCACTTGTTGCCGTAATGATTACTGGACCAGAGAAGTCTGAGGAGCAAGATGAGAAGGCCCTTCGCCAAAGCTTGAACCGACTTGAAATGCTGGCCAAGCAACTCGATGGCGATGCTTTACGGCTATTGGATATGGAAATGGCTCCTTTCAAGGGCGATGCCGAAGCAACGTCCAATTTGCAAGGCAAGATGAGAGAGTGGCTTGTGCAAAACACTATTAGAGCGGACCCCATGGTTAGAGATGCAATGGGGACATCGCTAAGGAAGAGGAGAGTCGATGCACCGGCGGGCGCAAAAGGAACTCGATAGGTAATAGGTAGTTATCAATGATTTTTTTCTATTATACGATTTAAATAGACCTAGACTGCTCTAAAACAGGCATCTATATGAATAACACCAAAACTGAAAGCACGACCAAAACCCCGATTGTATGTGATATGAGAAAATGCAAGCCACACCCAGAACCACTCTTTGACTCCAGGTCGTTAGTATGTGCATGTTGATTTCATTTGACCCTTTAGACTTTGCCAGGAGCCGCACTTGAAGATTAAATAGAATATCGAGGACTTATAGACGGGAAGCACCTCTTGTTTCGATAGGGATGAGGCAAATGCCAACGAAAGCCGAGAGAATGAGAACGGCAGACATGATGATAGGAGTAGTGGCACCGTCACCAGGAACAGTAGCAGCAATGATGGGGGCCATGAGTCCAGTAATTCGGTTGAGGAAGCTGGCCACACCGGTACCAGCACCACGAACAGGCGCAGGGAAGATCTCAGGCGTGAAAGCGTAGAGAACACCGTACATGATGTTTTGGGCAAAAGCTTCAACGCAGGACATGAGAAGTTGGGCAGTTGAAGTTGTGCCATAGAAGACGAAGAGGAAAAGGAAGACGGCAGAAAGAAGAGTAGAGCTGGCCAGCGTTCCACGACGGCCGAGGAAAGGTGAGGGATGGTCGACAAGATAAGCAGCCAGCAGAGAGCCAGGAACACCCATGACAGAGGCGATGGCGTAGTTGCGGTATGTGTCTGAAGAGATGGTGTCGGTTTCGGATTGCACGCTGTCCGATGACTCGTTGTGCGCGCGAGCAAAGTACTGAGGAAGGAAGGCGTTGAAGAGAGGATAACCCATTCCGATCGTAGCCCAGCAAAACCAGATCAGAGATGTAGCCATACCGAGGGTCTTGTTCTGGAAGAGAGGTCGCAGACGCTCACCGGAGAAGGACTGGAGCTTCTCGCGGATGACACCCATAGTCGATGGGGCTGGGATCTTCTTCTCGGCGACATGAGCCAGATCATCGCCGTCCTCACAAGCAACCAGGTCGAGTAGTTCGGAAGTAAGCCAGGTCTTGGTGCCGTTGCGGAATGCCAGTCCGTGGATGACAGCAACTGCCTCGTGTTGGCGACCCTTGTTGAGGAGGAACTTGGGAGACTCGAAAAGGTGGAAGATGAAGAATCGAACGACGAACATGGCGAAGGTGACGATTCCGATCGTAACAATGAAGTATCGCCAGCCCTGCTCGACGGGCCAGTTGCCGATAAAGAACCATGCGATCAAAGACGAGACGAGCTGTCCAAAGGGCCACCAGACGGACAGGAGGGTGAGGAGAGCGCTGGAGGCGTCGGGAAGGAATTCGAGAAAGAGGGCGCCGTCAACAGGAAGGTTGCCACCAACTCCAAAGCCAAGGGCAGCGAAGAAGAAACAGACGCTGCCCCAGCTTTGGGCGTAGGCGGACATGATACCGAAGACACTGGTGATGAGTAGCGTCGTGTTGAAAGCGATGCGACGGCCCAGGAAATCAGAGCCAATACCCCAGAAGAAACTTCCGATGGATAAACCGATAAAGAGAGCGCTAGTCGTATATCGAACTGTCTTCTCATCGACACCAAATTCGCTTGATAGTGATGGAAGACAGAGTGACACTCCCTGCATCCAGAGGTTATCGGCGAACCATCCGCAACCGCAGAGGACAAAGAGCTGCCAGTTATAACTGCCCATACCAATATCTCCAACTGCCTTGTTCATGAGTTTTGACTTAACTATAACTTTGTCAGTTTCCATTCCGTGGTGTTCTTCCGATACTCAACTCACTCTCATATGTCGTCCATTGCCCTCGGCGTCCTTCTCTCATTTCCTTTCGCAGTCCTTCAACCGTATACTCAGCAGAATCACCTCCAAGCATACCCTCTCGCTCTTCCTTCATTTCCAAGTCATCCAGTTCGCCTTCTTCCCGCTTTTCTCCATGACTTGCGCTCTTTGCTTTTGCCGCTTGGCTATAAAGATGAGCTTCCTCCAGAGGCACCAAAACGCCGACATAGTCATCCACCGACTCGATGTACCCCGAGCCCAGACGCCAAGAGATGCGCATTTCAAAGGTTGATAGCGAAAGAGGAATGTGATTATGTCTTTGATAGTAATAACGCAAGCATCAAACAAGAAATCAGGAAATCCGGGTGCACGTGATATTGTCGTCCAAGTCTGTGAGATATTCCTTCAGAATGAAATCGAGATGGCGGTTGAATAAGCCTGAATACAAAGGATTATGAGTACAGTGCAATACAGGCGTTGGTTCTTGTTCTTGGCTGTGCTGCGTCACTGATGAGCGGAAGAGCCGATGGTGAATCCCGACAGAATTTGACGAGGAATGGAAGAATCGCAGCAAAAAAGTATCAAATACAATAGTTAATGAGTGACGAAGAGTATCAGTAAGAATCGATAAAAAGAAAACAAGGGATTTCAATTGTAGATGCGAAGGGTGAAACAAGGCTTTTGGGAGAGGACAAGTCAGTAATAATATCCAGTCCAATCTGATCCATCCCCATCCCAGAATAGGAGACCCCGTATCCAATTTTTGCTGGGTCCAGGGGCTTGTGCTTGTGCTTGGGGGGCGCCAAAGCCGGGCAATTCATCATCCCTCCATCCACCATCTCCTGTTATTGGAGGCTTGGCTCTAACCTACTGTACTGTACTGGTGCTTTACCGCCAAGTTACCTGCATACTGGATACAAATACATACTGTATCATGGGCAGTGCAAATCTTCCTGATTATAAGGCATTTCAGATGACTGCTGCCTGTCAGAGCAACTCCCAAACACCGAAACTCCGGGACCTGATAATAGTTCAAATGCATGCAGACGCCGAGGGAGACCAATGGCAATAGTCTCTCCAAAGTGGCTGGCGACTAGATCACCACCGGCAGTGCAGCCGACATTGCCATTGCTCCAAAGTTGCTGATCAAGTTCATGATCTTCTCAATTTCAAGCGGCGGGGCGCAGTTAAATTCCCCAAGATCGATGAACATGATGCCTTTTTAGCCGAAATCAGATCAATGGAATCGTTCCAGACTCTTGAGTCTTAAATGGCTGGAATGGACGTCAGATAACTACTAACTCGGTATTTGATTATCATGGAGGTCGAGCTCCCAAGCTTATCGGGAATAAGGCTTGCGCGTCTACCCGCCCCCTTGGCGGAGATATGAAACTGAGACGGGTTTCTGTTACGTCGTTGCAGATGAAAGGAGTTTGATCTTCAGGAAATATAAATTGATCATTTGCCAAGTCTTTGCAACCGCCAACTTGGTTATTCAACCAATCAAGTCCGTGACTGGTTCTCATTCTCTACCAAGTTAGCTTTCATATATCTTCGAGGTTCTCACTGTAGTATCAGCTTCTATCCTATATGGAAGCAGGCAACTTAATGCACGACTAGGGACGACGAGATACGAGGCTGGTGAAACTCAAGATAAGACGGGGCATGGAAAGATGCTATCTCGCTGCGAAAAGAGACAATAGGCATCTGTTTCTATGTCTCCTTACAGCTTGATCTGTACAGTATCTATTGGTGAGACCAATCTAACTGTATCAACAGTTGGCAGTTGCCGATCTATAAATATGTCGGTACCTACCTATCGAGTACTGGCTATCATTTGCGAACCTGTTTCATATCACCATAACAGTGCTACAGATAAGAAGCTTCGAGCTGTCAGCTGTGACATTGACCCAAACCTGCAATCAAGCTGAGGCAGTGACTGTGTTCCGTGCAGTGAGTTTCTAAAATTAACCATCAACGTTAAAACATAATGAGCTTTGATGCCTTACTTTTGTTTCTTATTGATCATCCTCATACTGTTACAGTGCTACCCCATTGATTGAACGTTTTGACCCCAGGTACAGTATCACGTCGCACACTGTCACTGGTCGCCAAAGAATCCCATATAAGAGGGCGTCTGTTTCATATTTCCATTATGAATAATCTCTAAGAAATGTCGAGGTCTAAAACCTTCAGCTCACAGATGTTTCCCTTAATATAAATCAACATTTCCAGGGTCTTCAGCCCGTTACTCCTGACTCCATACTATGGCGTGATGCTCGAATTTGAGATCTGCCGAGTGTGCCGTAAAAGCAACATATGCATGAATTTTAGTTCTCCTCTTCGCTGGTCGTGTCGATGTTAGCCTTTGGAGACTTCTTGCGCCCCTTCTTGGCTTTGGGGGCAGCCTCCAGAGCGGCCTCAAGCTCTTCATCGTTGTCGCCTTCAACAACGAGACCCTTGGCGCGCAAAGCAGCATTGATGCGAGGTACGGCCTTCAAGAAGGCATTGTACTGCTCCACACTGAGCGAGATGCCCTGTTTTGAGTCGTTAGTAAGGTCGCTTAGACGATCACATAAGAATATGTACCTTTTTGCCAGGCAGGGTCTTTCCATCCTTTTCGTAGTACTCGCGAATGTTGACAAACGTCGATTTATTGAAATCCGAAAGGCCAACACGGCGCTTGTTGGATAGCTAATAAATGCAACTTAGCATTTGAACTTTATGACTGATTAATCTCAGTCGCGTACCTCCCAGAACGGGTTACCATCACCGTCCTTGCCATCGGACTCAACAGAGGCCGCAGCATTCTTGACTCTCTTGGTCGCGATCTCAGGTTCGCTATCAGAGTCGGCGGCAGCGCGTTTCTTGGCGGAAGCGTGAGGAGCCATGATTGTGGATAGAAGAGAACTTCAGACGAAAACGAATACGCAGCGAGTATGTGCGACTTCAGTGGGGATGAAAAGTTCCCTGAAAGGTTGGCCTGTTCAGTCGAGGTTCAATGGAAAGTTGAGCTATGGCTCTACCTATTACAGTGAGACGCGCCTGTAAGAGAAGGGACGCGGAAATGATTGAGTGTGACACCAAGACACGTGATAGTCCAAGATTAGACCCACCTCCAACTCAGCTGTGCAGCCAATGGATTGACCCTAAATCTATCTATCTGGATAGCTTCATGTTTCATTCCAACTAGTCCAGCAATAATCAGATCGTACACAAATTTCTGGCCGCCCGGCTATGCTAGTTAGGTAGCTAATCTGTATTTTCGTTTCAGTCAACGGGTCTTTATCTCAATTTTTCAGCGGCCTCTAATGATATGGAGATCGACCGATCGCGTCAAGGCTGTCTAGGGTCTTTAAACCTGGCAGGGCTAATCAAACGAAACAAGACAATTTATCAACAAAGATTGGACGCTGTGTTCTTCGGTGGGGTTTAATCAGGGGCTAGCAACGACTTTGATACCGTTTTTAGTCCGTCATGGCACTTAAAGTCCACTATTTGTGACGCGGACAGCACCAGCATGAAAAAGCCTGGGGCAGTCGGCCCCTAAACCCCAGGGGCCGCACCCCTGAAAGTCGAAAGACAAGCAATTCCAGTGCTCGCTAATTTGAAGCTAAGCCCCAAGACACGCGACACCAAGTGTGAGACCCGGTACCTGCACCTGCAGTCTGCAGTTTATTCGGTGACGGCCCTTTTTTCCACCAGCGTTCCAGACAAAGTTCAACCTTCCACGACTTCTACGTTTAATTTCTCCATTTTAGCCCGCCTCGTTTTCTCCTATACTATATTCCCCCCTCTCTCTTCGTTGGCCATCTTGCTTCTGTCCTTTGCTCTCATCAATTTGCTATGCTTACGAGAATTCCCTTTGTTTTTGCTTCCTTCATTCGTTAGGGAGAGAGCTACGAACCGTCAATACTATTTGGTTTGCGTACCGAAACAAACCCACCGAGACAGCTTGCCATTCCCAAATGAGTTCAACCGCATTCCTCAACCAAGATGCGCCTCAGTCAGGTGCTTCCCTTGCGAATCCGCCCAAGCCAAAGGCTATAGAGCTCAATGGCACTCCGCTTCCTAATCTTTCGCACACACAAGACGAGAAGTCGCTCTCAACAGAAAAGCTGTCAGATACAGACGATCCTGCTGACAGCACCACCAACACAACAACAAACGACACAATGACACTCGATAAACCCCTTACGAACTCTACAAATAATCACACGACCAAAACGACGTCTACGGCTCAAGATGAAGCTCCAATCGCAAAGGTCATACACTTCTTCGCTACGGCGACCCCTGGCTCCCTCGCTGGCGTCGCAGTCGGGTTTGCTGCTTTCACATACTTCACAATGGGACGCTTAGGACTTGTTCTCATCGGAGCATTCGGTGGAGTTGCCGGGTTTGTTTCGTGGGAAGCTAGGAACCCCGAACTTGCCAGGGCTGTGCGAGGAGAGCGAGGCATTGACGTTATAGATCGACTTCTGGAGGCCAAGAGCAACAAGACTTCAGAGAAGCAGGAGGACAGCAGCGACGATGACGAGCCTGCTGCCAAGAACTTTGACGAATTTCGACCAGAGACTCGTGAAGCCCTCGGAGGACTTGTCGATGCCGTCATTAAGGACTACGTCAAATGGTGGTATAACCCGATTGTTCCGGCAGACCACTCTTTCCCTCTGGCGTGCCGTAAGACGCTCACATCCTACGTCCTTTCCGTCTCGAACCACCTTAGCCGAAAACGCCCTGCCGATACCTTCCTCGACCTTCTTACCAACTCTTCTTCCATGATAATCGTGTTTATGGGGGAGCTTTCAGCTGCCTTTTCTGAACTTCCTCCAGACAGTAACATGACCGCAGCCGATGCCGTCTACAACTACTTAGCAGCAAACCCCGACTGCCGCTTGGCAAACCTTTTGAATCAGCGCCAACAGGCCTCGAAGTTCAAGATGGTCGCTGAAGACCTCCTGAAATTTCTGGATCGAAATTCGTATAACTGTGACCCTGCTCGAGTCTTTCTACGGGAGATTATCGCAAACTCGGTCCTGGAAAAGACGCTGCATACCTGTAGCCAAGCCGATTGGATCAATGGATGGATTGTGTACTTGTTGGAAGGTGGAGAGCCGGACCTAAACCAGGCAATTGATGTTGGCATGAAGCGTGCTCCCGAGCCAAGTATTGCAGCAACTAACGTTTTTGCGGATCTGGATGGAAACGTTGGTAACATCGGTATCGCCAAACCTGGACGTAGTTCTTTGGAAAACGAAAGGGCTCGACGTAAGGAGACGCTTGGTCATAAGAAGAAGTTGAGCAAGGCAGACGAAGAGATGGACGAAGCTATGCAAGAGATGAAGCGTATGAACGAACTGATTGCTCAAGAGGAAGTCCGAAGAAAACGCGCGTCAATGGCTTCTATTCAAGGATCAAACCCCGATCTCAGCAACGGCGAGAAGCGATTGTCTGGCGCACCGGACCTCAGTGACAGACCCCTACCAGCATCTACGTCAGAAGGGTTCTCTTCAAAGAGTGACCTTGTCCAGACTCCTCTGACCCCCCGCTCACCAATGGACTCGTCGAGTCCCGAGTCGTCACCCCGCCGGTCGGATGGCACTCGCTTCACCAGCTTTGACCAAATCGTACCACCTGGACAAGTTGCAGCCGAAGGGGATGACGAAGTGCCTAAGAAGGCACCGCTGACTCTTCACAATGCGACCATCACTCTTCACGACGACACTCCCGGCGAGTCAACTCGTATTCGCAACAAGCCGACTTGGGACTACTGGGTCCAAGTCGAGCCTTCTGTGACAGCATACCCTGGATGGATGATTGTGAGGAGATACGGTGATTTTGAGACTCTTCATGAGATTCTGAGGCGAATTGCTACCATCTCTGGCGCAACTGCCTTCACTGAACTTCACAAGGACTTGCCCGATTGGAAGCTGCACACTCGCGAGTCTCTTCGCGGTGAGCTAGAGAGGTATCTTCGAGATGCTTGCTGGTATCAGAGTTTGGCGGAGAGCGAAGGAATGAAGCGATTCTTGGAAAAGTCAAAGGGACACACGCACAGTGAATCCAAAGCTGGCTTTGGTTGGGAGTCCATGGGTAAAGGCATGCTAGACGCGTTGACAACAGCGCCCAAGGGTGCGATGGAGGGTGGCAAGAGTCTAGTTGGCGGTGTTACTGGAGTTTTTGGCAACACGTTTTCAGGTCTCAGCAGGAAATCTACTCAGTCAGTAGATCTAACAGCCAACTCAAGTCGTCTTTCCATCTCAACCCCTCCCGGTCAGCTCAGCGGCGCGCGATCCCCCATTCGCTCAGCACGAGACAGCATGGATAGCACGCGGTCATCTATTGTCTCATTGCAGCCTGGGAAGATGCCTCCCATGGAGCGTCGTCCAAGCTACCAGTCACAGGGCGAGTCGGATCCGGACGTTCGTGCTAGTCGCTCTGAACACAAGGAGTCGGCCTCAGCCTCGGCGAGTGCTCTTCCTAGTCGGGAGCATAGCCGTGCGCCTAGTCTTGCACAGCTACGATCTCCTTCCGCAATCAGCCTCGACTTCAGCAAGCTCCCTCCGCCACCTGATCAGATTACCGATGACTACAGCCTGCCTGAAGGCCAAAATGACATCCAGTCTAACGGCATCAAGGGACAGCAGCAGCAGGAGCGCAAGAGCTCCTCAGAGATCCCTACGCCTCCTCCTTCAGTGACAAGTGGAAAGAGGGCATCTTTGAAGCCTGCTAAGCAATATAGTCCACTTACAGAAGCTGAAACTCGTGTGGCGGTAGAACTTCTGTTTGCTTCGATCAATGAGATGTACACCCTGTCCTCAGCATGGAACATCCGTCGTACTCTCTTGACAGCTGCCAAATCATTCCTACTCCGACCCGGCAACCCTTCGCTCTTGACAGTGCAGTCACTGATTCAGAAGTCGGTTATTGATGCCAATACATCTGATTCGGGTATTGCAGAGCAGTTGCGCAAGGTTCGCGAGAACATGATGCCCACGGAGCAGGAGCTTGCAGCATGGCCAGCCGAGTTGACGGCCGATGAGAAGGAACAACTCCGCATCAAGGCTCGCCGACTCCTCATCCAGAGTGGCCTTCCAGCTGCTTTGATGGGTGTCATGGGTCAAGCGGCAACAGGTGAAGCACTTGGCAGAGTCTTTGACTGTCTGCAAATCGAGGAGGTCGCAAGAGGACTCATCTTCGGTCTGGTTCTTCAGGTTGTTGGAATCCTAACACACTAGAGAACGGAACTGGTACGATAATACGTAATGTGATGGGATGGCATGATTTGGTGTTTGGTGTATTCGCGGGCTGGCTTATCTCACGAAGCGCAAGGATATTGTTTTACGAATTTCGAGGGGGAAACCCTCTGGCAAAACCAACGGACCGGAGCAAAGGATTTTCAAAGTTGTAGCCGCTCTTGTGGGTATATCATGTATGGTAGATGGATACGTCGTTAAGAAGACCTCGATGGTCTCTATTATTATCATTAATTAATATTGAACACACACCCAAACCAACAAGGAACATCCCGAGCCAACTCCCGATCCCGGTCTGTCATTTTCATCCCATCTCAACTCCGAGCCCCTTGGCGAGACTACATTGCACTACAGCAGAGTTGCGGTCAGACAATGCACCAAGAGTCCCCATCAAACCGTCGTTGAAGCATCCAGAAAAGAAAACCTGAAAATAGGCCTTTGCACGGAGAATTCTGGTCCGGGATATCACGTCAATCATATCCCCTCGTTTAACTTAATTATACGATAAACCAAAGGTTCCCTGTTTCTCTGAACGCAGATCGCCTCTAAAAGGCAGTGGTCCTTTATTAATTTCCGACTCGTGAGTCTCCACTACCCATCGTAGACGAAGGGGGGGCACGCAGTCAAAATAGGTCATCATGTACAGAGTAGCATTCGCCGATTTGATGCATATCGACCAAAAAGCAAAGAGTGGATAGGATCAAGGATATCGTACGATTATTTCGAGTGGTCGACCACTACCTCTATGTATGTATGCACGTGGAAAAGAGATGGAGACTGCATGCAGGAGAATTAGTTCGGACGAACAAGGGTGAAGAAGCAACGTGACAAGAATGGATGGCCTTGCCTTGGTAGTCTACATGCAGAAGCAGTCCAGTTTTTCAATTGTGTAACAAAAGGTTATAAGTATGGGGCTGGTGTTGCAAGATGAACTACATACATATTGCGGATCCAAGGGGACTAGGAGGAGCTCTTGAAGATATGCAGTGGAGTATCGATCCTGCAGAACCCATTGCTTCTGCAGTTGATTTTCAGATATTTTATAAGTCATGTCTGATCTGTCCTTTATCAAATTCCATCAGGTACCATGTTTGCGATCTGCAGCTTGAGTCCCCGGTGAATTCGGCATTATGTAGATGCAGAGTATCACTCGATAGTATGCTAGGACAAACGGTAGGCATGTGCCTACGTAGTAAGCCTCTAGAGTTTTGAGCCCCTGTCAGTGTGGATGTGGTGTATCGCCAACCCGAGTACTCGCCAAGACGTTGCATGCCTTGTGGCTACATAGGAAACTTGAAACATCACCATATGCAAGTCAAATTGAAGGTAAAAGCAGTGCAGCTTCCGGGGTTATGACTTGGTCAACAAAAAGCATACCAAGATAAGTATCATTATGAAGAGAAAGCTCTAGGCTAGGTAATAAAAAGTGGCTATCATCTAGATGCAAAGAATGAAGAAGATACGCAGTATTGAATCCAGTTACAAGAAAAACGGAAGAAAAGAACATATAAAAAGTGACAAATGAACCTCCCAGTGGTAATACATAAGTAGTAAGATAAGGAAATATACAATATGCTGTGGCAGCCGTGAACTGTCATGAGTAGGCGCAGCAGAGTGCGGATATGCAGATACAGATATAAAAAATGCCGTGTGGGTATCAAAGGATTGTAAAGTATGGGCCGTGAATCGTTGGAAATGCGATGCAGTTTTGGCGAGGCCGTTGTAACAATTATGAGATAGATTGAAAGTCATCAGGGTCGGTAGACAACATTTGCGAGCAGAGGAAGGTCATCTGCTGGTGGTTCGCTTTGCCCAGAGGTGGTGGTGGTAGTTGTGGGAGTGGCAGTGGTTGTTGCATGTGTGGATGTAGGCGCAAGAGGAGAGATTGCTCGGCCTTCAGAGAAATCTCTTCTCTTGCTGGAGTGGCTTTCCTTGGACAACCCATTGAGGAGTTCGTGACTCCTCTGACGGTGGATTGCAATGCGGTTTGTGTCCTTCGCACAGGGAGCAGGGGCAGGTTCTTGCACCGCTTGCTTGCTCATTTTGGTGATTTCGTCCTCAACGTCAGCGAGCAGAGTGTAGACATCATCACCAGCATAGATTCGAATGCTCTCGACCTCGTTTCGCTTCAAAGCTGCAGGACTTGTGACCTGGTTACCGCTTTCCCTCATAGCCTCCTCTTCGATCACAGGCTGTTCGACGATCGTGCTGGGGACCTGAGCCACAACGCGATGAGGGGAGGGTGAGTTACTACCGTTGCGAGGTGAAATAGGAGACTCCTTCGAAGGGCTTCGAGGTGGTGTCGAGATATAACCAAAGCCAGAAGCAGATGCCCCAGTCATTGGAGCCTCCTGTGCAGCAGGTGATCCCCAGACAGGGAGGCAAGCAGCAGCAGCAACATGCTCCAGGAGCTTCTGTCGAACACGAGTACGTCGGTTCTCTGCCTGTTCCAGCTTGTTGACCCAATCGTCGATTGAAGCATCCAGTTCAGTGAGTGCCTCTTCCTGCTTCAGCATGGACTCGTTGCTGAACTTGGCAACACGTGGAGAACGCAAGTACTGGCAGATACGTGAGTGGAGGTTTTTGCGACCTGATCGTAGAGCCGTATAAGTGCGACGAAGGTATTCGGTCTTCTCGTCCAGATGGCGAAGCTCCTTGGATAATGCCTCGACGTCTTCAGCCTTCAGAACCTCGAACCGACCCACTTGCTCATATGCTTGTTTCTGAAGCATAGTGAGCTCAGACTGTTGGAACTTCTCCATGGCGTCTGTGTGCTTTACACCAACAGGGAGCTTCTCGAAGGCTGCCTTCTCTGTGCTCTGGCTTCTCTTCGACTCAGCTCTCTGAATGATGGGTCCGTTGGTAGAACGCTGGTCACGTCTCTTTCGAGGGCGACCTCTGTCCATCATGACTGACGACTCAGAGCCACCCCTTCGATGTCCTCCACGAACATTCTCGGTGGCAGCAATGGGAGGTGTGTAACGTCCGTCAGGAAGCTGCGGAGATTCGGTTCGAGACTCCATGATCGGTGCAGAGACTGGAGTGGGAGTCATAGAGCCTGTGGTTGCTGACCTGGGTGTTGTAAGATCAGGCATAGACGAGGTTGGAGTGAAACCGTAACGGCTTTGGGGCGATGATCCATTGCTGCGGCCCTGTTTGACAGGTTCGTTGTTCATAGGAAAGCAGTTGAGAGACTGTTGCCGGCGGAGCAGAGGCGATTGTCCTCCATGTCTAGGGATAACCAGGGGAGCCAGGTGTCTTGGTGAAGTGGGAGTGTGGTCTCTCGATTTCGACTCGCTTCGTTCTTTCTTCGAAAAGTGAGGATCGGGGCCCTCATCGTCGCTCGAAGCAAAGAGAAACGTGTCTGTGAAGTTGTAGTCTCTGCAAGAGTTACCAGGTGCGCTGATAGAACGCTCGTGAAAGGGAGGACGGCCAGGGATTGTTGCTAGAAAATTGTCAGTTTCAACACAGAATCAATCGGAAGTAAGAGCGCCTACGAGAGTCCATGGAGAGCTCTTGAACCGTTGTCATGGGTCCGACTTCAGGCACACTGATCTTGCGTCGTCGTGCCAGACTATGCTGGTTGAGCCGCTTCTTCAAGCCATTGAGTAGTGGCTGACTGTCCGCCTTCTCTTCTAATGCCGCTGCAGGTGTCATAGTAGCTTTCTCCGAGTCTGCTCCTTTGTTGCTGTTGAGGACTGGCAGTCGCTTCTCCTTGGGGAAAAGCTGGTACTTCTTGGAAGAGTCTGGTTGTTGCATTCTCCAAGTAAACGGCTTCTCAGACTGGGAATGTAGTGATGTTTTCTGAGAAAGCAGCGTGTGTAAGCTACTGAAAGCAAGGTATAGAAATTCGAAAAGAATATGTACATACCGAGTCATTAGGTAGTTGCGAGATCTTGTTGGTTATATAGGTGGTGTCGATATCGACGAGGCACTTGGCAATGTGAGCCATTGGGTCGAAACAAGCTGCAGCCGGGCAGCTCCAAAGGGAAATAGGTCGGTGTTAGAAATTAATTGCCACGGCACACGATACCACTAACGTCAAGATCGGAGTGCTATAGCATAAAGTCAACGGATTACTGGTCGGTCTAAGTGTTTCGGATTCCTGGGATCGATGGTATATAACCATTAACTGTGAAGGGGATCCCAGACATTGCTTTTTACGCCAAGCTACGAGCTCTCCGGTTAGGTCTATCCGTTTGTAGTTGGACATGGCTACCGGACAGCCTCAGTCGACCCCTTGTCCTATATGACCCATGGCGGAATATCAGGCCCCTGGGACCCTGGCCTCGCATCCTAGTAAGAATAGGCCCCGAAGCCCCGCTTGAACGGTAAGGTAGCACGCCCCCGAGACTAAGAACGTTAAGAAAAAACTTTGATAAACCCGAGATAAGAGAGAACGCACAGAGGGCTGGGACACGGCACATGGCACAAGATGTCAAGGCGAGGTTCATGAGCAGTCAGAGTGCAGTGTATGAGATGAGTGCGGCTCGATGGCCCATGCGAGGAACAGACGGTCCAAACGTTCAGGACCGGGGTCGGAGTGGATTCGAAAAGAGGAATAGATCAACAGGGCCTGTCTAAGCCAGAAGACGTTTTGTGTTGCAAAACAGAATTGGTGTGCCTGCGAACGATTCTTAGTCGACACCTCTTCGGGGGTTTGCTCTTACTCACCATCCCTCTTCCCCCTTGGCGAACAGATAGATCCTTGCCATCGAAGCTCGCGAGCTTCTTAAGCTGCCCCCTGGTCCCAACCTCGGCTACCACGTTAAGAGAGCCGGGACAGGGACAGGGGCGGTAGCTGTATATACAGAAACCTCCACCATGACGGACAGAGAGATCAAGGATCCCTGACAGGCCTGGGATTAGTCAAGCCGGTAGCCCTTGGCGAACCGCTGCCAAAGTCTTGAACTTCCCATCAATCATCATCGTCAGGAAAATGGGTACCTGGGTATAGTGGCTCGCACGATTGCTGAGGATGTCTTCCAGAACAACTGACGGGCTGACCGACGACCAACGGTGGAGGTTGACGGTAGGGAGACGTAATTAAACATTCTGAAAAGATTGTAGGTGGAAAGTGGAAGGGAAGACCAAAATGTATCCTGGGCCTTCCATATTGGGCTATGCTCTTGACAAACAGAGCCGCTCCCTTGCCAAAGCCATGTTTCAAATTTTTAGACGTATCAAATCCGGAAGGAGAGAACAAGGCAACGCAGGAGGGAGGCGCGCCACAAGGCTCAACGGTTCCAGTGGGTTACTTTACATTTACGGGAGAGGAGAGAGGCCAGCCCAGCGCATTGCATTGCAGGAAAATGCACTAAAAGGAGAATAATTGAGGCACATATTTACGTTACTCTGCATTCTACAGATACTACAGTATGGAAAGGATGTGCAGTAGAGTTGCAACCCGGATAGAGGTATTTTCTTCTTAATCTTGCAGCAAACATTAGCCAATGGTAATCCCTTTATGCCTGAGTTCAACTCTAATCAACTTTACTGCAACTCAGTCCCCACGTTGCATGCCTCACGTGCAGTAACAACACACAGACTATCTGGTATAGATCAACAGCCTCAAGATGAGATTAGAGCGAATACTACACTGAGAGTTTTGCAGTGACTCGTGTTATCGCCAAGATCTCGCGTCAACGTCGTTCTCTTACTAGTCCAGCAGCAGTAGCAGCAGCAACTGTCACCTCTCATTCATACTAGTGCTCGTATTGCAGGGCCTGGTATTCTGCGCCTCCTACTAGAAAGTATGTATAGTACCTATAGTCCAGGGACCGTTATCTGTCATATGGATTACACGAACTTTGAGAGGGGATTATGACAATCCCATAGCAACACGAGCAATTGATGTCACATAAATGTATCAAGAACGGCTATTTTTTGCTTTTCTTTTCTTTTCTCACGATGGATGCTACTGTAATTATCCAACGGCGGTTTATCCCCGTCGGGAGGTTACTGCTGATCACTTGTACGCGATATCGGGTTGTAACGTACGCTAAAAGAAATCAAGCAGTAGTAAAAAGAAAGGAAATAAAAGAAAGCAAGCAAAAGAGGGGGTAAAAAAGGAAAATAGACTAGATTAGACGTTTACACTTGATCTACGAAACGTCGATCACGTCTTGCGGTAAGACCTACCTACCTACAGTACAAAGCAAAAGTCCTTTGTTTGGAGCAAACATGACCCATAACATAAACTGTATCAAAGTCGTTCATTCACCTCAGATCGAAACATTCCATGAGATGGATGCTGACGGTGACAGCTCCAGCATGTTTCCGGTCTTCGGCTTCGGTGTTTACTAAACCAAAAAGTTTGTCTGTCTTAGTCTAGACCTGGATCCCGACGTCATTTTAAATGACAAACCGTTTTCTTATTTGCTTCTGCCGCCTCGTTTCCTCTTCCCACCTGAATCCTCCAGCCTGAGTTATCAGATAACCTTACCTATATAACATGGCTATAGTATACGTCTCCTTTTCGTTTGAAACATGAGCGTACTCGGTGCTACGTAGTCGGGATATTTTTTCCAATTCTCCCCTCGTATCCGCGAGAGAAGAGAACCCTTTGTTGATCAAACCAAACACCACGCGTTGTTGGAGTCTCTACAACACCAAGCTAACCATACTCGACCAGATAGTATGTCAAGACGTTGCAACTACTACTTTCTTGGCTGTTTGACGGCACATGTTGATCTCGCAGTTGACGATTGATCATCTCCGACCTGCATCGTCTAGTCAATGTTATGGCCGACTCATTACCGTAAAGGGAAACCTCGTCGCTCTCGAGGGAGTCCTATCACTTGATATGCCATAGAACTATAGGTCCACTGCGCTGTAACATTCAATGTTGAAGCAGTAACACTATCCCCTCACCATCACGATGAACCGTACTGTAGCATAGCAACAGGAACCTCCATTGGATCTACAAACACCGTCCCTTTTTTCAGTGTGCAAAGCTGAGCTCGCTTCCAAAAACAAATACAAGGGGGGCCCCTTGTAACCATCCCGTGCTCACGGTCGGTCCGGGTGCTCAACCCGGTCACAAGGATCATTTAGAACATGTCACTCCACTCCTTGCTGATGGTTTGAGGGAGTCTCAGATCTAGACACCCATTTTCTCGACGCCAGCGTTTCTGATCGAAGCACCTACCATTGCAGTAACTTAGTGTAGTGCAACTGCGGAATTGGATTTTGCCCATTATTACTTAGCAAATATGTTGATGGCTTTTTGGTCATATCATGACACATTAAACATGGCACAGAATCACTCTTGGTCAGAGCGTAAATCCGTGCGTGGGTTTCATTCAATATGGCATGCCGGCAGTCACTGCTGTCACTTGCAGACGGGGTAACTAGTCTAATCCAGATCTTTGAACTTTGTCTCACTTGGATGCCAAAGACGCTGATCAAAATACTTGTTAGGGATGATCCGCACGGTCTCAATGAACTTTTGAAGACTAAAGACTCCATAGTACAGCATTGTTACCTGGACTCTTACACATGATTCAGCAACATACGGATAACATCATCTGAGTCCTCGCTGCAGTCGCCCTTTGACTCAATCCCCACCAAGTATCCAATCAAATCTACAACATCCTGCATGTCTCACTTGGCCTAGTTGTGATCTAAGCCAAGCCTGAGAGGCAAAGGAGTAAACAGGAAGTCAAGAACCATCTAGGCCCTCTATATGAAACAGGGTTCTGAATGACATCGGGTTCGGGGAATGGGTGACCCAAGGGATTGGAAAATTTGACACGAAGTACAGGGGATATGACGTCCGGACGATAGCAATATACCTTGGAAATACAGTATTATGGTTTGGTGGCAAGTATACGCCACTTGCTTGCTTACTTGTTCCCACTAGCTAAGCCCCTAACCAGATGAGAGGGAACACTGGAACACTACTCTGTGGCGCCGCCATGCAGTACAGTAGTAGTGTCTGCCCGACTTGGTTCCCACGTTAGTCGTGACGAACACGTGGAACTTCTACAATAGACTGCATAGCTCTTAGCCATGCGGTGCAGCCCTAAATGCTAATTAAGCTAGACACTGCGGATCATTAACCGTATTGCTGTTAGTAAAGGCTCTCTAGCCCGCAGATAGTGAGTTTCAATGAGACCTCGGTTGCAGATATTGTGGCCAGTGCACATCGTGACGGTTGAGCACGAACGAACATTACGAGATGTAGAACAAGATCAAAGCGAGTGATTACCGAAACACAAACCTGTAATTGTCCTGTGATTTCGGATTCCCCAGGTTGGCCTAATGTACGTCAGTCTCTCGAGACAACAAACATGACCAATGACAGACGCAGCAGATTCCGTTTCAAACAAAACTGAGGCCTTACTGCCGTGCGCTTTGGTGACGATCGACCTTGATCAAACAATTGAGTTGACGTTGTGGACGCGTATAAGGCTTGGCAGCGTGGCAACCCTACGTCTCCCACTGAATTCCATACTCTCTGTAAGACCGCTTCGAACTGAAGCCGGTTTCGTGTCTGACAGGCTGCCACTGGAACTGGACCTGGAACTACGAAGACGTTTCGATAACGTTGGCGTGCTATGATCAGGGATCTTCCGTTAGCATCTGTGCAACCTGGAAGTCTACTATGTAGCAGGCCTCCTCCACTGGATGGCCCCTGCATTAAATCAACGGCTGGGATCCCCCACCTCAACCCGTCAACTCGAGTCTTACCGCAGCCACCGCAGACCTGGCCCAGGCTCGCTTGCGTTCTGGCGGTTTCGTGGGGTGATATTTGCTCCCTCACCATCAAGCCTCCTGCAGGAATGCCAAGAACCTGATACAGGGACATGACTGATAGTTTCTTCAATGCCACAGTGCCACTGTTAGTAAGGACCTCTCTCTACTGATCCCGCAGCCTCGTGTATCACGAGCCTTGCGTAAAATTCCGCTATCAAAGAGAACCGCTTTGGGTTACCCCATTCTTGTTGAAACAACAATGCATTCATACGCCTCAAAACTCCTCAACGGGGTATCATAAGAAACACAAGAGAGGTTTGGAGCTCTCCTCTCTGATATGCATTGCATCTCATTTCGGAGCCAATCTGTGCTGTAGTGGACTGTCTGCTGCTGGGATGGTCACTGCGGGCTCTGAAAGATCGACTACTCCTAGTATCCTCAGTTCTACTATACTGTGGATAAAAATGAGAAAAACTAGTTCATTCCTCGGAGATGACAATACTTGTATCAACTATCAACTCGGATACTAAACTACGATAATATTTCACATGCCCGAGCATATTGGTAGCTCCAGCACAGATACTGCACTCAGACTGTAGAATTAGTTCCCGTCAGTGAACGGTCTAACCTCATTGGCCATCCAAGTTGCATTTTTGATCACTTGGGTCAGGGGAAACGAACTGACGTTCCGATTTAGCTCGCTAGGCTCTTAGTCACCAACACTAACCATGGGCACAAGAGACGATCCTTATGGTCGGTTCTCAGGTATTGTGTCTCCCCTTGGAGCCTTGCTCCGGTCGGTGGCGCCAAGTCCACTGCCGAGTCCAGATTGGACCCTTATCCCGTTGCTGGGATGACCCAGGCCCCAACCCGACATAGGAAGGGCTATATTTGTAGGCACCTTGAAATAAAGATAGTAAACAGTGACAACATATGATCATGGAGCGGAGAGTAAACACCATCGTGGACATCGCGAGATTGCATCACCGTATAAGCGAGGGAACGCGAGTATTGATCTATCACCGCTTTTCACGGGAACAAGAACTTCCGATTTACCAACCTCATGAAGTCCTACTAGAGTAAAGAAATGGGTAATCGTGATTACGGATATTTGATAGGGTTAGTCAATCCGAGTTTTCTCAAGCGGTTTAGGGTATGCTTGGTGTAAGCTGCAAGTTTAATGAGAACCGTCCATATCTCCGCCCTGCCAGTGGTCATGTGCTCTGAGAATTATTTTATCTTAATACTTTCTGGAAATATCTCCTTCCACAAGGAAGGTCTTTAAGATCTAAGGTTGTTTTCGAGGGTACCATTGTATGCAATGCAATGCAGCCAATATATTCATCTCAAGGCTACGCCACGTGACCATGGATTGTATGTGATACAAGTCTGAGGGGGAAGTTTCCTCCGACGTAGATGCAGTTCGATCACTTGGCGCCATTGAATCGAGAAAATCTCACAATTTGTTTCAACGGGGTATCATGTAGGTGCAGTACATGGCAGAATTTTGCCCATTAACAAAAGTTCCTGTAAAATATGCCGCTATTCACCTTTAATACAGCTTTGGAAGGTGGACAGCGCGGGTCCCCCTCACGTGATGTCATATGAAGAATCTCAATGGGAAGGAAGTATGCAGTGCTGCGCTGCGGTGCAAGAGCCCACTGGATTCTAGCCGTGCCATTGGCGATTTCACGACCCTCAATGTCGTGGCTTTCATCACTCAAGAAATCCGCCATTTTGCGAACTTGTCAAGTTACAATCTCTCACAACCTCAGACGCACCTTTGCAACTGTTAACATGACGGCCAATCGGGATCCCAGCACTCTTTCGAACTATAGCGCTTGGCGCACGCGCCATACTACTGCCAACTTCAAGATTGACTTTGAGGAGAAGGCGCTCAAGGGCTCTGTCGTTCTCCAGCTTGAATCGCAGACTGATAAGGAGAGCAAGGAAATTATCCTTGACTCTCGTTATGTGGACATTTCTACTATCCGTATCAACTCGAAGGAGTCCAAGTGGGAACTGAAGAGTTACAATGCACCCCTCGGTGCCCCTCTTCATATCGCCGTGCCTGATGGAGTTGCCAAGGGCGAACTGATTGACCTTGCAATTGACCTCCAGACAACGAGCAAATGCACTGCTCTGCAATGGCTCACTCCTGCTCAGACGTCTAACAAGAAGCACCCGTACATGTTCTCTCAATGTCAGGCCATCAATGCTCGTTCTATCTTTCCTTGCCAGGACACTCCTGATGTGAAGTCAACTTTCACCTTCAAGCTGACCTCATCTCTTCCCGTTGTTGCTAGCGGTGTTCCTGTTGGAGACCACGAGGCAACTCCTGGTAAGGAGAAGCTCTATGAGTTTGAGCAAAAGGTTCCCATTCCCTCTTACCTGTTTGCTGTGGCTTCTGGTGATATTGCAACTGCTCCTATCGGCCCTCGAAGCATCGTCGCCACAGGTCCCAACGAGCTAGAAGAATGCAAGTGGGAGCTTGAGCGTGACATGGAGAAGTTTATGGAGGTTGCTGAGAAGCTTGTCTTCCCCTACAAATGGGGAGCTTACAACGTCCTGGTCTTGCCCCCAAGCTTCCCATACGGAGGTAGGTTTCATTTCTCCTCGGACCACCATGCAAATTGCTCATATATCTCTAGGTATGGAGAACCCCATCTACACCTTCGCTACACCCACGATCATCAGTGGTGACCGTCAAAACGTGGATGTCATTGCCCACGAGCTGAGCCACAGCTGGAGTGGTAACTTGGTCTCCAATGCTAGCTGGGAGCACTTGTAAGTCTGAGATCAACGACTACTCGAGAGATGATATTGATGGTCTCTAGCTGGTTGAACGAAGGTTGGACGATGTACCTCGAGCGTCGTATTCAAGCCGTTATCCATGGTGATGCTGAGTTTGACTTTTCCGCCATCATCGGATGGAAGGCTCTTGGTAGGTAACACAAAGTCGCCATCGAGACTTTAACTGACCATCATACAGAGGACGCCGTGGAGCTCTTTGGCAAGGACCACGAATACACCAAGCTTATTATTAAGCACGAAGGCGTGGACCCTGAAGACGTCTACAGCACTGTTGCTTATGAGAAGGGCTTCCACTTCCTCTATTACTTGGAGGGTGTTGTTGGTCGGGAGAACTTTGACAAGTTCATTCCCTTCTACTTCACTAAGTGGTCTGGAAAGTCTCTTGATTCATTTGAGTTCAAGCAGACATTCCTCGACTTTTTCAACGGCCTCGGCAACGAGGAACTCTCTAAGAAGGTCTCCGAGATCGATTGGGACGCCAAGTTCTACACACCTGGTCTCCCACCCAAGCCCGAATTTGATACAACATTGGCTAACCAATGCTACGACCTTGCAAACAAATGGAAGGATGCCGTATGTATAATCACTTATTGTGTGGTAAATTTCCGCTAACGTGTGATCAGAAATTCGAGCCTAGCCCCAAGGACCTGGAGAACTTCACTGCGAACCAGAAGCTCGTCTTCCTGGCTGAAGTACAACAGTCCGGTGAGCTAACTGCCGACCGAGCTCAGCTTATGGGCAAGACCTACGACTTCTTGTCGTCGAAGAATGTCGAGATTCTGTCGGCGTACTACCTGATTGCCCTTAAGGCGAAGGATTCTGCCATTTATCAGGATGCCGCCACCCTGCTTGGACGAGTTGGTCGTATGAAGTTTGTGCGACCTTTGTTCCGTGCCCTCAACAAGGTGGACCGACAATTGGCATTGGACACCTTTGAGAAGAACAAGGACTTTTATCACCCCATCTGTAAGGGTATGGTCCAGAAGGATCTTGGTCTTTAAAGCTCATATAACAAAAGAAATGCCAATGCAAAATGTAGATAAGCCGACTCTAATAAAAAGACATATCTACTCAAGCCAGTTAGACTTTGCCATGACTTCGCCCCAGGTTTGGTCTTGTTCGCGAGCAAACTTCTCAATAGAATCGACATGATCCGCACCGAAGTTGCCGTACAAGTGAGGGAAACCACCCTCCCATTTCATAGAATCAGCAAACTGGACATATTCCAGCTTAATAACCCATAGTGATGTTGCCTTGGTGAAGAACAAGTCGGCAGTCTTGGGTACCTTACTGATGTTAGTCGCCGGATATTCCCTCAGCTTGAGGAGGAAGGCACCTGAGATGACGTGCTTAAATGAACGAAGCCATCATTGCGATCAAGGTCTGACAGGGGATATTCCTTAGGGACTGGGTCCTCAGGGGACGAAGGAATGATTTTGTAAATATATTTTGGAGGTGATTCAGCCGACATCGTGAATAACCAATCAAGAAGTGACTGAGTGAGATAAAGAACGTCGATGCAGCGAAACCCCACCAAATGAGAGAGAAGAAGTGGTGATGTTTAGGGTACCTAAGCACGTGCGAACTGGCACTGTGATAGCTATATCACACGCGATAATCTCCATGGACTTGCAACACTCACACTGTGCTCAACAGTATCAGTGCACTTCACGTGAAGTTCAGCATCCAATACGAACTACTTCTTCAACCTTCGTAAACTCCTCGACCCCCTTAGATATTTCATACCACTGACACACCCAGTATTGAGGGATTTCTTCTGAAGCTGCAGCATAATCACACCTTTCGGGCCTCAAAAAATATCCTGACAAAGCCCGCAGCAGTAAGGGGCATGTCGCGGGGCCCAGTTCCCTCTCAGCTTCACTTGCTGTCAAACCTACCGTGCCTACCGATCGGTGACAAGGTCAGGTTCTTAGGATGGTAGGACCAGTGAGCCCCTTTAAAATTCTATATGTGTTGCAGTGTGTTTGCTTGCTTTCTTGCACTTTCATATACCAGAAACTGTTGGCTAACACTATCTAGTGTCACCTCTTACTCAACCTCTTCGGCCCGCTTGGCTCTTGCTCACCTTTATCCAAAAGGCAACACTGTCACTGCTTCGGTGGACGTAAGCCTGCTGCTTGAATCCCTTACAGATGAGAAAACACGTGTCGGCGAGTATGTCAACGTCATAGGATACATCACAGAACAGAAGACCACCCGTCACAAGAAACAGCCATATCAAGAGTCCAAACAAGTGGGTGTGCAAGCCATAGTGCTCTGGTCAACTGGTCCGATGGATCTTCAGAGATACGAAAAGCTTCTTAGTCCCAAAAGAGATGGCTGTTAAAGATCCAACTCCTGCCTGTCAGTGCACTCGACAGATCATGAAAATCCCAGATCAAACCCGATTCTTCGCTATTCATTTCTAGAAAGGCGATGATACTGACTGACAGGACTTGATCGAACCTGCAGACTCTCCACCACACAATCATGTCACGAAACACAACACAAACTCCGATTGGAACACGAATGCTGCCGGGATCCGAAGTTGACGACTCCACAACTGGACTTTCGTGCAGCTAGGCAAACTTTGTCTTCTCTGCATGCCTAAAAAGATTGTAATTTGGGCAGTCCTGATACTCATATGGGTATGTTGGGTTGGAATTGTGCCAGATGGCGCCGTGTCTGTGGATAGACCTGGCAGCCATCAAAGCACTTGCTTGATTTGGAACAGCTGGGTATCTTATCCTCCACATGTCTATCTTGGGCACCTTACAGCGTCTACTCCACCACAGACCTCTCAGCTTGCTGCCCTATGCTTCACCGCACTCTAACACCCTTCCAACACAAAACGCCGTATGGGCCTCAAACACCGGGGGTGGCGGCTGCCAATCACAACGTCCTTGACGTGCAGAAAGCCCCTATAAGTGTCTGCCATACCTCTTGGCGGTGATTGGGAGGTAGTATGATCATGGCTGCTGAGTCACATTGGAGCTCAAGCATCAGCATGGACGTCAATCATAGTAACGTCGCTGAGAATCTCTGGACGACCCCCTCGAAACAATGACAGGCTGGTGTAACGGTCGTTTCAACAGTTTCTCGGGATTTTGTTGGACCTTAACTGCGGCTTGTCGATCCCAAAGATCTTTCGATTTTCGGCAGATATCATCGATTTGTTCCTGTCAACTGTGTCAATCAAGTTGGAAAGCTGTCCTGCAGAGCCGCAGTGACCAACATCTGTGAGGCAGGAGCCAGGAGTGCTGATGAGGAAACCATCCTCTCCCTACGTTCAAATACATGAGCACAGGATAGCTGTTGAGTGAGCTTGACGAAGAGATACCTCTAACGTATAGGGGCGGACTGTTGCCTGAGGTCCCAGGTAGTACTGGAGCTCTTGGGTGATGACCTTTCTGTGGATGTCTTGATGAGGAATCCAGTACTTGTTCATTGACGAAGACATGGTCGCACAGTCGATTTTAACGAGGAATCTACGTTTATTCGAGATAGACGGGGAAAGTGAAGAGATAGACCATTGAGTCAAGGGGAGGTATTTATTCAAATAAGGCCTGGTACGGTACAGTATCGTACAGCCTACCACAAGATATGGTTACGATGTGCCTGATAGGAAAAGGGTGCATTTCATGCTAATGTATGCAAACCCAAGGTATGTTGGTCTTTTGCGTGTGACTGATGCTCACCGCTCCACAGGATGCCATCTCAACACGAATCTGGAACTGCTCAAGGGGTAGCTAAATCTCATTCGCTGCATGTGTTTCGACCATTCCTTGTTGTCGGAATCAATATCGCAAGAAACCCCTGCCATACGCCGTGAGAGTTGAAAGTGAGGCGAAGCAGGTGTGGTTGGTCATTGGTGGGCGGTGTCCAGCGTCCGCCCTGCCAGCGTGGCAAATATCGAACGGGTGCATCTGATACCAATGAAGCTGCGAGAAAAAGGCAATTCTAGGGAGAGTTTAGCTAATTTGAGACTCAATTGCTTGCTTCTTATGCTCATACACCCAGGTGAGTGTGCTGGCATGTACTGTAAATGTGGGGGTTTCACGCGCATGTTGATATTGACAAGGCTGGCTCTCTTCCAATAACCCTATAAAGATGTCTTTTTTAATCGGACGAACCAAGATCTGCGCTTATCATCCGCTCAAGCTTTTATGATCCAAGAGCCTCATTGGGTGGGCCAAGCGCCAGGTGCATCTGTTGATCTGGGGGACTCGGCACGTGAAAGTCACTCCAACAATAAATCCTGTGGGTTGCCGATCTTGTAAGCGGCACAGGGATGCCTTTCCTTTCTCTAGATGCCGAAGGCCAAGCAATTGCGTTGTTGTAGTTCATGTAAGTTAGCATGCTGTTTCTGTTGGATATGGATGACTTGCTCTAGGGCTGTCGGTAAAGTTTGATTGATCCTTGTCGTATCCACGAACTGTGTGATAATAGGCTGATCTCCTCGCCTCTCGGGACGACTATGACCGTGAACTTTCGGAGTCTGTAGGATTGTCGATGATGATTCACTTTACAAACGAGCTTTGTTAAACCCAATCGCCCGTACAGCCTCACATCAGAGAATGGTCCTCAGAGGGAGAACTCTCCAAGTTGGATTTCCGAATAGCACGCCTCATCTCGGAATAGCAATGAAGGGTAACTGACGTTTCACCGGTATATATGTCTCAAGTCTATTGTACCAAGCTTGTCGTACAAAATGTAAGGGCTCCTCGGTCAGCGTATTGAGGCAAGCGATGAGGCTTGAGATAATCAATGAAGCTTCTCGAATGTATCCAGGAGTTGCCAGATGCGAAGCTAGTAAGTGAGGCACTCCCATAAGGCTGTTCTCCATTCTTGATGGGAATCAATGGTTGGTAGTCAAGAATAGCAATGTGATGAAGTGTCTGTTGACTGTATCAGCCGGGAAGATCTGGTGACAATTAAGCAACTTAAGACATGGTTTTAGACCTCTCGCTTGTTTCCAAAACGAATTATTCGAAGAGTGCATGGATATGTTATGGGAGTTGAGTCTTACTCCGGTTCATGTATATGACACTGCAATATGTTTTCAGTGCTGTTTCTCATCTGTAACACGCTTCTCGCATGGTCTGAAAGTTAGCGTCTAAAACAAACTGCCAATATTAGTATAAGAAGTAGGTAGCTATTGTAAGACGAACGGTTTCGACCCTTGAAACATTGAGTTTTAGTGTTCAACGGTTTGCTACAGGTTACAGGAATGCTAGGCAATGTTGTAGCATCACCCTGCTGTTTATTTGATGACCTACAGATTACCAGGAGTGATGAAGTTTACAATATGTCAGTTTTTTAATAATGTTTTGTTCTAGACAATAATTAAACTTGAAGTCAACAATATCAACTTATGCATGACTTGCGGCTAATGCTCGGTTACTGGGCTAGACAGTTAATTTAACGGTGCTAGAGCTAACTATTTCACGTGAACTCTTCTCTAAGCTTCCGAGTCCCATCAACCCCAGATCCCCTGCTCCAGAATCAGCTGCCAATCAAAGCACGGGACTCAAGCCGAGTGCAGGAAGATGCGCGATCGCGCCCACCAATTTTGTTGACAAGCAACCATTTGCCAGCGCCAGACAACCGTTGAGTAAATCTCCTGGTTTGTCTTTGGAGCCGACAATTTCAGCATCACGAAACTCCAGACCTTCCACGAGCCTCCGCTAGAATCCACGATACCTACCCGAGACCGACACTGTGTCGTCATTTCTGGATACGATACGTACCTCTCTGTGCCTTAGCCTTAACTTAAGCCTGTGCTCTGCTCCAAGGGTCGGTCGGTCAACCCCCCCTTACATAGCGATAGCGATCCAAACGAGCGACGAGACAATGCGCTGAGGCTCCGGACGGAGACTACGTCGTGGATGCGCATGTCGTTACTTTAAAATATACGATTCCGATATATCTATCTGTTCATTGGGAGCAGGCCTGATCGCCTCCGAACCCCGCGCATCTTCAACAAACAAGCTCTTGTCTAGAGGGGACCGGCTCAGGTCCCCTAGACAAATCTCCAATCATGCCGCCCGCCGGTGGAGGAAACATTAAGGTGGTGGTGAGATGTCGGCCTTTTAACAGTAGAGGTGAGTGGTTTACAAACGATTGGGACCGACGGCGAAGAGCGGTGCTAAAGTTGCGCAGAAATCGAACGAAATGCACAATGTATCATCGACATGAAAGGGAACCAGACGGTGATTACAGCACCCGAAGGAAAAGGCGTCAAAGACAGTGGACCAAAGGCCTTTGCCTTCGACAGGTCCTACTGGTCTTTTAACAAAGACGACCCAAATTATGCCGGCCAATCGAACCTTTTCGACGATCTGGGACTGCCCCTTCTTGACAATGCCTTCGAAGGATATAACAACTGTATTTTTGCCTATGGCCAGACCGGTTCCGGAAAGTCATACTCTATGATGGGTTATGGAAAGGAGATAGGTATCATTCCTATGATTTGCCAGGACATGTTCACGAGAATCGACGAGATCCAAAAGGACGGCAAAACCAAGTGTACGGTCGAAGTGTCTTACCTCGAGATCTACAACGAACGCGTGCGCGATCTGCTTAACCCGTCAACCAAAGGCAACCTCAAGGTCCGAGAGCATCCTTCTACTGGTCCTTACGTCGAAGATCTCGCCAAGCTTGCTGTCAATAGTTTCCAGGAGATCGAACACCTGATGGACGAAGGAAACAAAGCCCGAACAGTTGCCGCGACCAACATGAACCAGACTTCGAGTCGAAGTCACGCTGTCTTCACTCTTATGCTGACCCAGAAGAAACTCGATACTGACACAAAGATGTCATTGGAAAAGGTCGCCAAGATTAGTCTTGTCGATTTGGCTGGTTCTGAAAGAGCGACATCTACTGGTGCGACGGGTGCTCGACTAAAGGAAGGTGCTGAAATTAACCGATCGCTGTCAACACTGGGTCGTGTTATTGCAGCCCTGGCTGACCTATCTACCCCCGGCAAGAAGAAGAAAAACGCCGTCCCATACCGAGACAGTGTCTTAACATGGTTGTTGAAGGACTCTCTGGGTGGTAACAGTATGACAGCAATGATTGCTGCCGTCAGTCCGGCCGATATCAATTTTGACGAAACACTCAGTACCCTTCGATATGCCGACTCTGCAAAACGAATCAAGAACCACGCTGTTGTCAACGAAGATGCCAATGCCCGTATGGTCAGAGAGTTGAAGGAGGAACTAGCGTTATTGCGGAGCAAACTCGGAGGTGGAGGTGCTGGAGGAGCAGTGGTTGCAGGAGAGACATACGCCGAAGGCACACCCCTGGATCAGCAGATGGTCAGCATCACTGGCTCAGATGGTGTTCTGAAAAAGGTCTCGAAGGCAGAGATCGCAGAGCAGCTGAGTCAGAGTGAGAAGCTGTTGACAGATTTGAACCAGACATGGGAGGAGAAGCTACTGAAGACCGAAGAGATTCATAAGGAACGTGAAGCAGCCCTCGAGGAACTTGGTGTCAGCATTGAGAAGGGTTTCGTCGGCTTGCATACGCCAAAGAAGATGCCCCATTTGGTTAACTTGTCCGATGATCCCCTTCTCGCAGAATGTTTGGTCTACAACCTCAAGCCTGGTACCACAACAGTGGGCAATGTCGATACGAATGCCGATCACCAAGCGAATATTCGACTCAACGGTTCTCGAATCCTGCACGACCATTGTTCCTTCGAAAACGCACCAGATGGAACTGTGACCCTTACTCCGAGTGAAGGCGCTTCAGTCATGATAAACGGAAAGCGAATTACCGAGCCATCGCAACTGCACTCTGGTTATCGTGTTATTCTCGGTGATTTCCATATTTTCCGATTCAACCATCCTATGGAAGCGAGGGCAGAACGGGCTGAGGTACCAGAGAGACCGCAGAGCTTGCTTCGCCACTCCATTACTGCCAGTCAATTCCAGGCCCTTGACCGAGGCTCGCCGTCGCCGAGCCCTCGTCCAGGTCACGAAAGATCATTCAGCAGGGTATCCGAATTTGGTGACTTCTCTAGACCAGAAACCCCTTCGATATTCCAGAGGAACGGTCGTGAGTCAGATTGGTCACTTGCAAGACGAGAGGCAGCTGGAGCAATTCTCGGGTCCGACCAGAATCTGACCAGTCTAAGTGACGAAGAATTGAACGCTCTGTTCGAGGACGTGCAGAGGGCCAGGGCTGAACGTGTGAACGTACGTGAAGATGGCGACGACTCAGAATCTTCGTACCCGATCAGGGAAAAGTATCTTTCGAACGGGACCATGGATAGTTTCTCGTTGGACACGGCTTTAACCATGCCCTCGACCCCCAAACAAGGCGAACCCGATGACAGGCTAAAAGATGTCCGAGAAGAGCTGCAGAGCAGACTGGAGAAGCAAAAAGAAGAGTACCAGGATCAGCTCAAAAGTGCTGAGGCTGCCAACGTTGAGATCGAAGAGATCAAACAAGAAAAGATCAAGATGGAAGCTGCACTGCAAGAGCTAAAAGAGGATATGCAGAAACAGCTTAAACAGCAACAGAAACAGTTCGAGGAAAAGATGGAGAAGATGGACCCTTTGAAGATGCCCAAGAAGAGTCCGACTCTTTCAGATGAAGAAATTGAGACTGCAAAGAAGGTTGTCAAAGCCTGGCGAGGCCGTCACTTTGTTAAGATGGCCGAGGCAGTGTTGCAAAACGCGTCTATTCTCAAAGAAGCTCAAGTGATGAGTCACGAACTGGATGAGCATGTCGTTTTCCAGTTTGCAGCTGTAGATGTTGGGCATGTTTTGTGCTCCTCATACGACATGGTGCTCAATGGTCTTACGGGCGAAGGTGATGATGTTGCATTGGAGGAGGCCCATAAGCCATGTATTGGCGTTCGAGTGGTGGATTTTAAGCATAGCGTCGTTCATCTATGGAGTTTGGAAAAGCTGCATGATCGGGTACGGCAGATGCGGCAAATGCACCAGTACCTCGATCAGCCGGAATACGCACAGCATCTCAGTCTCGACAACCCATTTATTGAGACTTGCATGCCGTCTTATACGCTCGTGGGCGAAGTAGATGTGCCACTGAAGGCTGTTTTTGAGTGTCGGGTGCAAGATTCGATACTGGATGTGCTATCGCCTTACACGTCCCATGTTATTGGTATTATCAAACTTTCACTTGAGCCATCGCATGCTCGGGCGCCGACCAACACCGTCAAGTTCAATGTTGTTATGCATGAACTCGTGGGTTTCGCTGAACGAGAAGGCACCGAAGTCCACGCACAGCTGTTCATTCCTGGCATCTCCGAGGAGGATGGCATCACGACAACTCAGATGATTAAGGATTTCGATGAGGGGCCAATTCGATTCGAGAGTGTTCACAGTATGAGCATCCCTCTGTTTGCTCCTCAGGATGTCACACTGAGGGTCGCCATTTTTGCCAAGGTATCAACGATGCATCTTGACAAGCTGCTCAGCTGGGACGATATGAGAGATGCTGTGCCCATCAGGGAAGATAAAGCCAAAGCATCACGGATCCACGAATCGCAATTCTTTACACAGGAGAAGCACGACCTGCTGTCTCGAATCCAGATCATGGAGCTGAACGAGAATGGCGAGTACGGCGCAGTAGAAGTTACACAAACCAGCGAGCTTGATACTGGAACTTTTCAGCTTCACCAAGGCCTGCAAAGAAGGATTGGTATTAACATTTCTCACAGCTCTGGGGATGCTCTTCCATGGGACGGCGTTGCTTCTGTTCGTGTGGGAAGAATTAGGCTTGTTGACTCCGCAGGTAAAACACCTGATATGGGAGCCAATGAACCTGACATCTCCTTGAAGCTTTCGCAAAGCCCAATTTTTCGCGATAATGCCAACGGCACCAAAAGCCTCACGATATATACCCAGTGGGACTCCAGTTTACATAACTCACTACTTCTTGACCGAGTAACTCAGGATAAATATCGAGTTCAAATGACTATTTCGTGGGAGATCAGCTCCGAGAAATTGGCTGAACCGATGAAGTTTTCACAAAAGGTTTGCGTACAGATTCTGTCGCGATCATTTGTACGCCAGACATCAATGTTCTCGGCATTGTGGCAAAATGTCCGTTTTGTGCGGTCCTCAACTGGCATCTTCACTCTTGCTATGCGCCCAGCCCCCGTCAAGAAGGTTGGCGACTTGTGGCGGCTAAACAGCCAACACGACTACGTCAAGGGAGAGGAACACCTGACAAATTGGACGCCCCGCGGTGTATCTTTGGTCAATGATTTCCTCATGGCTCGCAAAAAGAAAAGACGTGCTGCGGATATGGCAGTAACCGAAGCAGTCTTGGCCAAACTGGGCTTGGATGCGGCCAGCACGACGTCTGACAAGAAGGAACCCGAACCTCAGCCTTCTCCGGAGCTGAAACCAATTATTCCTAGTGATGACGACCTGCTTAATGACACACCGGAAACTCCACTCGAGGGTGAGGAATATGCTGCAACAGATGCGCCTCAAGTTGAACAATCCGAGGAGTCACAGCAGTCTGAGGCGGAGCATTCTGAAAAAGAGCAAGAAGAAGCACACCCCGAAACTGACGCTACTAAGCAAGACGAGTCGGATGCGCCAGAGGCGGAAGAACTGGAAGGAGAGTCTAAGGAAGAAATTGCAGAGGAGGTGACATCAGAGGCACCAGAGGCAGAGGCACCAGAAGCAACGGAAGCCGAGGAAGACGAAACTATCAAGGTTGATGAAGTACCACCGCCACCTAAGCCAGAATATGACGATGAACAAACGGATCTTTTAACAAAGTGCCTGAAGCTTTGGAAGAAGTACCCGGATCCTTCAGACAACATTCTAAGCTCAACTAACATGGCACCACCAACGGATGGTTTAATGGATGACGCCCCGGTGCAGCCTACACTTGTCGCAACGGTCATTAGGGTACCGAAGAACCCGAAGGTCCTAAAGGGCGGGTATTTGATGATCCCCAACAGCGACTCGACCCGGTGGGTTAAGAGGTTTGTCGAATTAAGACGGCCGTATCTGCATCTACATTCTGCTACTGATGGTGACGAGGTGGGACTAATCAGCCTGCGAAACTCTCGCGTTGATAGTCAACCTGGTGTCTTGGGTTTACTGCAAGGGCCAGCTGACTCTGGAGGTCAAGGCCAGAACGGCCAAGATGGAGGAGCGGACTTTACACCGGGACATCGACGAACTGGTTCAGGCCGCGTTATATCCACTATCTGGACAGGTAGTGGAGGTAATACCTCGGCAGGAGGCTCTGGTCTTCAACGCCTTCCAGAGCGTATGCAGTCGGCAGTGTTTGCCATTTATGGAACGGACAACACCTGGCTCTTCGCGGCTAGGAGCGAACGTGATAAGGTGGATTGGATCTTCAAAATAGACCAGACCTATCTATCAGGTAACGAGAGCATGTCTGGAAGCGGTATGGCTAGCCCGTTCCCGGGTAGCGATTACTAGAGGAGGATGGGCCTGTTATGAGAGTAATGACTTGCGATGTCCTCTCCTGGGGAATATGATTTTCTTTGTAGCTATTTAATGGTCAATTAGATGAGATGACTTATACCCCCACAGAAGTAGGAGGGCACGCCGACTTATGTAGATTTGCTAGTTTAAAATTTGGATATATCTTAGATAAAAGTGTCAATGAGAATCAATGAAACAGTCGTGCAAGGCATGATGGTATTACATTGATTGGGTCTTGTGCATACAGTGGTGAGTGGTCACCTGAGGTCAGGGTCAGCTCCGAGCATATATCGCCTAACAATTATTTTATGAGGCCTATCTTGTTCCTTGCAAAGTATTGAGTCACAAGCACATGATGGTGAGCTGCAAGATGCACAGGTTATGTGTAACACTGCAGCATAGCGTGGTAGTGCTGTGTACGTGGTGAAACATGCATATCACAAAAGTCCAAGGCATGCTGCTTGGGAATACTGTAATGATGTCTTTTTCCAGTAACACTGTTGCAGTGCATTTCCAGCTCCTGCTGTTGGTCACTCAGTCACTCAGTCACTCATAGAACTGCATGAAATGGTCCAAGTGTCTCGCATGAGTTGGAACAGAACATATCAGCCGAGGGCCTGTATCCAATAGGGCTCTCCGAATGGTCTTGCACTTGGCATGAAGCTCCAAGGATGAACGAAGGGAAAACAACACTGCATTAGAAAGCACGGGAAAGTTGGGTTGCTTTTGGAAGCCTTTTAGGAGGTAGGCCCGGAGATGGGAACTCTTGTCAGGCAGTATCCGTTACCAGGTTTAGATGTTGGGACTGGGATGATACCAATATTCTGCAGGAAAGGGAGGAGGTAGTAAGGGGTCTCATGTTTATGAATCGACGTACGGATATGAAGCTGCAGAAAAGAGACGGTTTCGTCTTGAACTTGTGGGTTCTCGACGATCATTGTCTCTGAACTTGACCGGCAGTCTGCAGAGCAAACAATGATAGGATACCGGCTGGTCCCCGAGGACTTGGGTCTTTGAGAGACATAGACGTGTCCTGTAATTAGATTGAGGTGAGTCAGGACAACGGACATGATGGAGCCGAGATCTGGTTCACGGTGAGAAATGTGACGTGCCTCTTGGCCTCGGTGAAGTTTCGAGTACTCTCCGATTTGCTGGTTGTTGCTTTGCCTTCTCAGCCAAAGCCTCATGAGCCCAATACGGTGGTCCGGATGATGCATGTTTGTGTACTGGCGTTGATGGTGATGATCTCAAGTGACATACCGGATTCCCGGAACTGATCAACGCCACGGACTAAGTTAGTTGGTGGTTACGATTACACGTCACCTGGATAGATGCGAGACAGCGCTTAGTCTGGGAATCGATGCGATGGGGAAGATATCCAAGACCCAGGCTGGCGGATCCATCTTTCTCATCATCCCTTGGCCTATGTATGTATATACCGATTTTGACTTTGAAGAAGGCATGTCCGGGTAAATAACAGTTGTGAAGCGCGCGAATTAAAGCTATCGTTTATATCGTATGTACTAATGAGGCCCAGATGCAAACATCCATCCATACATGGATATTCATCAAGGATACCCAGTATAGAAGAAACCTTACGAGACAGGGGGTGTGTCTGCCGGTTCACAACTATCCAAAGTAGAACGAAAAGTATTATTAGTGGTATATAAACCGAGCCCGAGGGATCGGCAGAAGCGCATCTCCCGAGGTGTATCTGTCAAGGACCAGGAAGGTTTGACGTGACAGGAATAAAGGGGACTAATTTTAAACGTCCTCTGACGTACCAGGGTGCAGTGACCAAAGGGATGCGGTGAAAGGATTCTGTATATTTGTTGTGAAATTACGTCGAAACATGCATTGAGTTTGCAAGAGGCTGAAAACTTCACGTCAAGTGCTGCAGCTAGAGCTGACATGAAACGTGGGGCGGTGTAGCTGAAGCCAGTTTGTTGGAGTTGACAGTGTAGACTAATAAATTCTTTTGCCTTCTCACGGATGAGAGATTGAGTTTGTCTTTGTGTTTCAGGTTTTAAAGACAACTTTAATTGCATGACTCGGGTTTTGGTGTGATCCACCTACCAAGACACTGTAATCAAGACTCAGCTGTTGAACTATTATAGAGAACGTGGCTGTAAATCTGGGTATAGTGAACGGAAATGACATTTCCGAATGATTTAGTTATGGTAGAGAGAGACACTTCAGCTTGGTGCTTAGAAGCAACATTGTAGAACTGGCCAACCTACCATGTAGTACCACCGCACATAGTCATCAAAAGTTATGGGATTCACATTTATTTAGAAGCATCACGATATTTCGGTACCTTATATTCGGATATTGTTTTGTTTAGATTTATTTTATGGAATGGATACCGGATATTAGCAGGTAGTGCCATAGCGCCTTCCCTAGCTGGTTGTTCCACCGTTCAGTGTCGTACCTTCCTCTGCGGGTTGAATATACGGCATACGCAAGCTCCATTTGCATCCATTGATCTTTCCCCATCAACAATCTCCTCCTATTCACTCTCTCCCTTACATCTTCAAACCCCCATGATATCAAACAATCATATCATATCATATCATATCACGTCACATGGTGTCTGCTAATGCAAGTCAATTCTTCGATTGACGTGGCCAAAGCCTCGCAGCGCAATCTCCCGGGAGCCACCATAACTGTGAGGCGCCGGTATCAAGGATGCTGTGTCCGTACCTACAGTGCTTCCCTTCCAGCACCGAGACCGAGACTAACACCACCGAAAGTATTCGTAAACGCCTTTGCTTTGTTCTACCAATTCCGCTTAAGACACGGCCGAGATAAAACGACCAACAAAAGTTCTTCCACTTACGTACCAGCTACATTTACCAGACCAACTGCCGGGATATTCGCAAACTCTAAGAGCACGGATCATTCCCAAGCCGCCGGAAAGTCGGTTGGATTGCATTTGGGTTTGATTTGGGTTGGTTGCACTTGCACCTTCATTTGCACTTGTCCGACCCAGGCCACCGGATTTTGATCCCAGTTGTCAGGTTTAATTTAGCCCACCCACACAGTTGGGACTATCCGAAAAGCCCCCCCTTTGAATGGATGGTAATTCCAGCGAAGCACGGTCAGTCCTTGACGTAGGGTCGCGACGGGAGGATGGATTCTCTTTGCAGCTCAAAGGAAACTACCGTGTCCAATGGCATGCTGTTCTTGCATAATTTGACACAGCGCTAATGCAAAAACGAAAGCGTTTAGCAACCGCCGGAAGGATGTCGTTTCCGTCTTGCTTTACAGTACAGTACTCTGCGTTGCGTTGCATTGCATTGTTCACTCAGCCTTGTTTCCTCACTTTTGCAAGTGGAACTGGCTATTTCATCGGCATATGATATGTCCAGGGAACTAGAGAATCGTGTATGCGTGTTTGTCTCTGACTACCTCTAGTGGAAAGCCACAGGATCGTATACCTTCCTTCTTGGTACCTCATTCTTGACCTCGACTCTACTGTACCTCGCCCTCACAGCTCACGCTATGCTGCATTACTGCTACAATGTGCAGCTGCTTGGCAAGTGCTTTGACGCATCGAGGCACAGACTCCCGGAATTCCTTTTTATGGTGGGGGTGTGAAACCCTTCTTGCTAATTAGGTAGGTACTGTCGTGTTACTCTAGGGTCTCAGTATCACAGCCATTCCCGACTGAATGGGTCGCCTCTTGTTCCGGCGCTCTAGACCGGGGTAGTCGACACACCCAATACCGTCCCGTACCAATCCAATGCCACTTCAGCAACAAGCGCTTGTTCCCACTTACAGTTCTCTTTTGGTAGGGCTTTGTGGCTTTGCCAAGCTATCCGAGAGCTAGATACCCGTCCCAAGCTGCTGGGTCCTTTTGGTCCTGCTCTGTTCTATCCCCCGTTCCTTTGCTTCGGGCTACTGTAATGCTACTGCATTGCACCGCTGGTCTTGTCCTCTTGATCTCCTCTCCTTGGTCATTCATCCTGACCGCATCCACTTGTCGAGCCTCGGTCGCACCAGGTGTTCGGGTCCTTTTTTCCTTCCCTTCTAGCTGGAGTGCTGGACCCTGTGCTTCTCTACTCGCTCTGCTCTTCTGGGTTTGGCTCCCTTTATGGTGGTGTTTCCAAATGAGAGCGGGGATTCTATTCAAGCTTCTCGCCCTTCTCCATTTTCATATCTAGCTTATATTTTCCCGTCACTTCCATTCTAGCTTCTGTTTTACTCGCGACCTCGCTGTTACTAAACTGTCCTCCATGCCGCCCTAGGCGATACTCAAAAAGACGTTTAAACGCGTCCAGTTGTCTTTACAAGTCTAACCCACGTATTCCCCTCATTGATTTGCACACCCAGCAGCGCCATCACCACCGACATTGCTTGTTCATTGTATTCCTCCAGCTCTTCTTACTGCCAATACCCACAATTATCTCAATTCCAATCTGTTACACTCGAGCTTGTGGTTGTACAACGAATCCTCCTGATCTCAAACTCCCAGTTGTAGATCATAACGACTTTTGAGTTCCTTTCGAATAGTATAAGCGCTTTCACACCCAGCAGCCAGAGTGTGGGTCGTTCGCCACCATCGTCGTCTCAGCATTCTCTCTTGGTTCTTAGTTCGACAGGTACCATTACTCGCTCCAGAGTAGGATTGTGCCATTTCTTTCACATAATCCCGGCACAGAGCCGCTTACTGTGGTTTTGTTTGATGCTTCATCTCCTTGTCGCTTCACAATTCTGACTGTTGTTGTCTCATGGCTCCTGCTGTAATGAGTAGACAGCCCGCTCAGTCCCATAACAACCAGAGCATGCCGATCTCATCACCTTCCAGCATCAACCAATTTCAATTTACCTTCAACTGTTCAGCTTCCAATTCTGGAGGAAACAGTTTTATCGAGCCAGATGTATGTGCTATTTTCACTTCGCAATTCCAATATGTTCACACGTTTTCTATGTGGAACTTGCTAACACTTTGTGTAGCCTGATGCACAGGACATGTAAGCCATACACTCCGATCTAGCAACTTTTGCTTCAACAAAACTAATAAGGAGATTCAGAGACTCAGAGTCCTTGACAGACAGCGTACAGAATTTCCCCGAAGAATTTGGCCGCACCTATCACGCCTATCGGGCTGGCTGTAAGCTCAATCAGTCTGAATCCCAGCCTTGATTTACTAACACCTCGCAGCATACGCATTTCCCAACGATGAACAAGAGCGCGAGCGCTTAGAACTACAAAATGAAGCGCTGGTCAAGCTGTTCGGCGGACGTCTTTTCTTTGCGCCGCTGTCAGAAAGAGCCCCGCCTGTGAACATACTGGATATAGCGACTGGAACCGGCGACTGGGCCATCAAGATGGGAGACCTGTTTCCGCGTTCAGAAATTATCGCCACCGATCTTTCCCCAATACAGCCTCGAAACGTACCACCAAATGTCAACTTCTTCGTCGAAGACTCGTATGTACTTTCCGTTTCGAGCTACCGTTCACGTTACTAAATCTCCGTGTTTCTTTAGCTCCGAGCCCTGGGACTACTCACAACCCTTCGATTATATCCATACAAGAGTGACCTCTGGTTGCTGGTCTAACTTTAAGGAACAGATTGCGGACCAAGCCTTCGAAACTTTGAGGCCAGGAGGCTGGTTTGAGTCTCAAGAATACGATGCCAATATCATGTGCGATGATGGAACTCTCCCCCAAGACGGCCATCTCGCAACATGGTTCCGCGAAATCAACGAAGCTTCAGAGTTGATGGGACGACCAACAAACGTTGCTGCGAGTGTCCGTGACGCATATGTCGAGGCGGGATTCGTTGATGTTCAAGTGCGAATCTTCAAAATGCCTATGAACGGCTGGCCTAAGGACGAGCGTCTTAAAGAACTAGGTCGTATGTGGGAAAGAAACTTCCTCATGGGTCTCAGCGGCTTTTCTTTCACTCTATTCAACCGTGTTTATGAAAGAACACCGGCACAAATCGAAGTAAGTCCTGAACAGTAGCTTTAATTGTACACTTCACTTACAGACTGCTTCACAGGTGTCGTTGGTTGATGTTAGGAGAGAACTGATTGACACACGAATCCATGCCTATATACCCATACACGTCATTATTGGACGGAAACCATTCCCTGGAGAAGGCTACGTTCCAAGGGCATCTTTCAGTTAGAGAAGGGGAAGGAAGTAGGGAAGGAGATGTAGACGATGTTTTGGTCAGATTTAGGGGGTTGAATTGGCGATTGCATATAAAGATACCCTGATATAATGTTGAAATGACGAGCATGATTAGATTAATGTATTGTGTTCAAATTTATATACCAGAAGGGGGTTTAAAGCTAGTCGACCTGCTGCGAAAGCTTTCGCTGTCCATTTTACCACGAGTCTGCATTTGCACTTGCAGCTCACGTGAAAATCAGCAAATGGTCTTCTCTATATAGGATCTGAATGCTATGATATCCCTCGGCTTTTAGCCGTCAATGTCCAACGTTGAAGGCTTTTTGTTATATATGTAAACTGGTCTACCATTTCTTACTCAGAGTCTCTCACGAGCCAATCTAGCTCGCGGACCTGATCTTCCTTGAGCAAGTCACTGATGCCTTGTCGTGTTAAGAACTCGTGGTCCTCATACTCAAAACCCGGGACCACAATTTCTGAGATGAGAAGACCGTCGGTCTCTTGCTCATCCGCCTCATGAGTCGAGGTTTGTGCGGCAGGAAACAAATAGCTTGCCTTCCAAACGTCACCCTCGACAATCCATTGCAAGCGCTCACCTTTCTCAACTGCATTACCGACGATGAAGGACTCAATCCGACCGTCAGGATGGATGAGAACATAGCGACCCCTTCCACGATGCAGAGTGTGAATAACACGACTGCGGTTGCGGTGGAAGTTTCCTTTGGACTGACGTGGTGTCAGGAGATAGAAGATTGTGGTTGAGAGCCGGCGTGTATTGGTACTATATCCCTTACGGGTACCACCAGAGAGTTCAACCGTTTCATCCGAGAGAGCATTGGATGAGTATGTCGATGGGATAGTTGTGGGATTCGCATCTGTTTGGCGAAAGTAGCCGCCTTCTATATGAAGCTCCAGTGAGAGTGCTTCGATAAGAGACCTGGACCGGGGGTTCTCAGGCTCGGAGGAGGATGTGAATGAGGGTTTTATAATGCTCAAATCGAGCTTGCTGTCGACAGAGTCACCCATATTGACTTTGTTCGTCAGGTTACCGGATGAGATCTTTTCAGGCTATAGTGGAAGAAGAGAGGTATGAGTTGAAACCCTTGGTAGATGAGATGCTTATATACCCTTAATGAGCGTGATTAGGAGTGCTTGATAAGCTTAGACTTAGCAGGGGCTTAGTCTACGTAGTTGCGTACGTATAGCAAGTGATACGATGAGAGTGATTAAGTCAAGTGTTGGATAAGAACCTTCATGAAGCGGACCCTGTTCGTGGTCCAGGGCTCAAAGAAGCTAGTATCGCAAGGATAGTGTAAGTCAGCGTCTGACCCCCAAGTTCAAGATAGTCGAATAGCCAGAGATCAAAGACAGATAGTTAGTCGAAAATGAGCTTTTAAATCCGAGTTTGATAATACGCCGGCCAGATGATGTCAGAATTGCTCTAAAACGAGCTACCGGTGGTGAAGGTGACCCATAGCTTGGTGGTCAGGCCAAGTCCGTGGGTTCCGAGTCATACAGAAGAGTGTGAGCCTTTGTTTTGAGGCTGTGTTTATATGATGAGATATTCTTTTGTGATGCGCAAGCATTTTGATTATTGTTGTTGAATTGTGACGGGAAAGCCATGTGAATGAATTTGGTGATACTATCTCGGAATCAACCGTAAGGGATTCGCAACCCTCCTAGTGATGTACCACTCTTATATAATGAGATGTTATGGCAACAGACAAGAAATGGCCTCTTCAATAGAGCCATTATGAGGAAGTTACCGCAATATTGTTCCTATTGTGGACTTGGCAATGAGACCAACTTTTAACCAGTGGAGGTTGAATGGATGTCATGAATGACTGGAATCCATAGGTACGTACAGTGCTGGAGCTCGCTAAGCCTCAGCGGGCAAAGCCGTCTGAGTGTGGTCCCTGACAGTTCCCCGTAGTGGGGATAGGCCATGACGCAAACGATGGAGCTTCCAATTTGTTCCCAAAACACCAACCAGAAACATCACAAGACTTAATCGAGCGTCCAATCGCCAGCTCTCTGGCCTGTTTGCTTGTCGGCGGGCAGATCTTGTTTCCACCATAGTATAATCTTACTTTCTTCAAATACCCGCGACAATCGACCGACCGCCCGCTTAGACAATGTCTGCCCCTCGTTTGCTCCAACGTGGGACGCTGCACATGAACCGCTCTACCATCCTCCTCCTCCCACGCACCGCCATTCTCCGCCGAAGACTATTCTCACAATGTCACTCTCGATTCCAACAGAATTCCCCGCGGGATCATGAAGAGCGCCTACAAGCCGCAAGACCGCTCGTTCCGCACCAAGCAGCGCGCAAGTTCACACAGGCGGGGAGTAGCCGCAACTCGCGTCTTACTGTTATAGCGACCGTCCTCGCAGCCATTGGCTTCTACTTCTATAACTCACAGACTGTGCCTGTTACGGGGCGAAGGCGGTTCAATTTTCTTTCTGATGAGATGGTTGCGCGGGCGCATTCAAAAGCGGCTGCGCAACAGATTGAGATGGTTAGAGCGTCAGGAAAGCACTTTTTGTCGGATTGGGATCCGAGGACTATTTTGGTCAAGAGGGTTATGAAGAGGCTCATTCCTGTGAGCGGTATGACGAATCTCAACTGGGAGATTTTCGTAATATCGGATAATCGTATGTTGCCTCGTTTACGATGACTACAGGTGAAATGCTAACAGTTCTGATAGGTACTGCCAATGCCTTCGTTCTTCCTGGAGGCAAGGTGTTTGTGCATAGTGGCATCATCAATGTCTGCCGCAGTGAAGATGCCCTCGCTGCAGTACTCGGTCATGAAATAGCACACAACACAGCTTCACATGCTTCAGAACGCCTTTCGGCTGCCTGGGTTGGAAACCTGACAGCAGGAAGTTTATTCTTTCTCGCTGGAGCACTACCAGGCCTTGCGCTTTTTGGTCTCTGGAACTTCATTGGAGGTTACTATTTGCAGGATCTACTATTTTACCTCCCTATGGGCCGCAAACAGGAGGCCGAAGCAGACTATATTGGATTGATGATGATGGCTGAAGCATGCTATGATCCTAGGGCAGCCTTGGGTTTCTGGCAACGTATGGAAGCCCTTCAGCATGCTAGCGGACAAGAAGCGCCAGAGATGCTAAGCACTCACCCTTCGGTAAGATTTCCCTCACGACGATAGCAAGATGTCTTGGACTGACGTGGGATAGAACGAAAACCGTATTCTGAAGATTAGTGAGTGGCTGCCCCAGGCCATGGAGAAGCGAGCAGAGAGCGATTGCCGAGGAACAGCAGCTTTTGCAGACCGATTCCGTGATGCAATGCGACGACGATCTACTGCTGTTCTTGTATAAGGAGTGTGTTTGCAGACGAATTTGAAGATCTTGAACATCTAGATAGAGGATGTAACGGCGTTATTGCGAGACCCGGGTTTTTGGGTTCATCGAGCATCTGTTTGAGTTTACATATATATCATTTCCTGGTTTATACTGTTTGAAGAGATATGATAGAATAGTTAACCGACTACCTATGTTTCTTATGACACCGAGGTCTTGTCAAATGACATGACAATTGCCTTGATTTGACAGGCCTAAGCTCCCCCGCTTAGCAGCTCTCTAGCGGGTTTCCCCAGGCTCTCCCCCAGGCTTGGGGCTTCTGTAATAGGTAAAGACGCCGCTCGTGACCGCGAACCGAGGCAAAGTTCCCCCCACCTGCCGACGCCCCGGGGAGAACTCCTTGTTTTCTTTCGCAGATTTCATCAACTTTGATCTTTAATTCATCTTCAACTCACATTCACTGTACGATATTTTCCATATCTCCTCATAAATTCCTCTTCAACTCTACCACCATGAGCGAATCTTACACCACCGCCGATGTTCAGAAGCACAAGGATGAAGCCAATGGCTTCTGGCTTATTGTCGAGAATGACGTTTATGACGTGACAAGTATGGTAGACTCTCACCATCATTTAAGACTTGTTGCTAACATGATTCTATAGACTTCATCGATGAGCACCCTGGTGGCGCCAAAATCCTGAAGCGCTGGTCTGGAAAGAATGCGACAAAGGCCTTCTGGAAGTACCACAACGAGGGTGTCTTGAAAAAGTACGGCAAGGACCTCAAGATTGGTTCCGTTGCTGAGAGCGCCAAGCTATAAAGGATGTTCTGCTACATAACTTGAGGCGCGAGCCCAGATGTGGTGCTTTGTTTGTGTTTATTCTGATTTATCTTGCGGCATGGCGTATACCATATGTTGGATTACCTAGGGTTATCTCGGGTGTATTTGAACTATAGATGTTGGTGGTGCATCTTTGAGTTAGTGACAGATGACTCTACACAGGGTCTCAATAAAGAAATATTCAAATAACAAACTATTAAAGGATGGCTGAAAACGCGGTATATGCTTTACCAGGGCCTACTTATTGCAACGTGGACACCTTCCAAAATAGTCCGACTCGGAGATAATCACGACGGTGACAAATCAGCACTATTAATCCTTCGATCCTACTAACTTAGAATGCCACGATTGCGGCTTAAGCGGCAACTTCAAGTGGATAAGATTGAATGTGAGTCAGTTCTATTTAACCAATATATAAAAACATAGTCCTGGCACTATCACAACTATCTCCAAGCAAAAATGAGTGACTTATTCAACCTCCAAGTTCAACAGGCCCGTCTCTCCCGCCGTAACGGCCCCGATCCTGGCTCCGCTCCGGCTCCCACTTTACCGGAGCTTTCCGCCATTCAAGCCGCTGAAGCTAAGCTACCTCGTCCGGATTCGGAGAACTATCTCCAAGGTGTTCCACAAGAAGACGTTGTGCGACATATCACCCAGGACATCGTTCCTGCTTGTAACGGTCAAGGCAGCTCTTCTCGATACTATGGCTTTGTCACAGGCGGTACCCTACCCATCGCTGAATGGGCAGACAATGTAGTTACCCGCTTGGATCAGAACGTCCAGGTTCATCTGCCGACGCAGACGATCGCTACGGCACTGGAAGATTCGGCGCTGGAGATGCTTGTTTCGCTGCTGAAACTAGGTGATTGGAAGGGTCGAACTTTTACGACTGGAGCTACGAGCAGTAATGTCCTAGGACTTGCCTGCGGTAGAGAAGCCATCTTGGAAAAGCGAGGACAAAGTGTCGGTGAGGTTGGCTTGCTGGCAGCATGTCTTGCAGCTGGTGTCAAGGAACTCCAGATTCTCACGAGTGCAGGCCATAGTTCCTTGTCCAAGGCCGCCAGCGTTGTTGGCTTCGGCCGAGGATCTGTGAAGGAGCTGAGACTCAGCGACGCTGAGCCATGGAGACTGGACCTCGAGGCTTTGGAGAGGGAGCTCCAGAAGAGTGACACAGCGAGTGTGATTGCTTTGAGTGCTGGTGAAGTTAACACTGGTCGTTACGGCCTGACTGGCATCGAAGAGATGCGCAAAGTGAGAGAGTTGGCAGACAAGTATGGAGCTTGGATTCACGTCGACGGAGGTAAGACTCCCTAGTTGCTTCAAAGTGTGCTATATACTAATATGTTCAGCTTTTGGCATCTTTGCTCGTGTTCTCCCTGAAGAGGACGATTACAAGACTCTCCACAAGCGTATGGGGGGTATTGAGTTGGCTGATAGTATCACTGTTGATGGACATAAGCTTCTCAATGTGGTAAGTATTTCAAACCCCCAGCCATTTGCCCATGATCTAACTTATATGTAGCCTTATGACTGTGGCATGTTCTTTACTCGATCACCCGCCATCCTTCAGTCCGTCTTCACTAATCCCAACGCCGCATACCTATCAGGCGGCGCATCCACCATTCCCTCGCCTCTTAACATCGGACTCGAAAACTCACGTCGGTTCCGCGCTCTGCCAGCATATTCCGTCCTTCTCGGTGAAGGTCGCCCCGGACTTGCAAAACTCTATGTTAACATGACCACTTTGTCCCGTCAAGTTGCCGCTTTCCTGCGAGACTCAGAGCACTATGATCTTCTCCCTGATGATGGCGCTGATCTCGATGAAGTTTTTATGATTGTTTTGTTCCGCGCCAAGGATCCTAAGCTGAATGAGGTTTTGGTGCAGAAGATTAACGAGACGAGACAGATGTATGTGAGTGGAACGAGTTGGAAGGGCGAGAAGGCTGTGCGTGTGGCTATATCGAACTGGATGGTTGATGTGGATAGAGACTTCAAGGTCATCACTTCTATCTTGACTCATGTGGCTCAGGGGAAGGAGTTCAATATTGAGGAATGTTGAGATAGGATTTGAGTCGAACTGAAACACCAGGGACATATCTGATAGATAGGACTTGAGCTAAGGTGTTGTCGCTATATAATAATCTTTGGCGCTTAGAACAATACTAGAAAGGTTCTCTTGGTGCCTTGAATCAGAATTTTTTAGTTGAACTATCGTAGTCTGGTAACTGCAGGTCTATATTGGTTTGACGGCTATTCATGCTGAAAATCATACCAGCCCTCATGGAGGCTTGCAAAACTCTATTACACTGTCACCTACATGCCAATACGACCCTTAATTCGATGGCCTTCCGCCGAGACTCTTTCGCTTTCTCATAATGGAGGCACTGACCATGCTCTCATCTCCACATAGAGAGAGCACTGAGTAGTTGCAAATTCTCAACTAATGATATCTCTTCGAAAACGCAAATGTGTCGCCGGGTTCGAATAATGGAAATAGTGGTTTTTGGGAGCTTCGGGATGAATTATTAAAATAGTATTTCGCTCAAAGGTTGTCCATCGAGTGCAGTGAAATAAACTTGGTATTTATGGTCCGAAAAGGCGATGTGAAGGCCGTAGCAAAAA